AGGTCGTCTTTCCCGGCAGCGGCTGGCAGCATGGGATGGGCTCGGGAAGGGCGTACGGTGTGGCCAACACAGCGTTGGCGAGCAACAGCGCGGATACGATTGTGAAGAGACCTTGTGTCAGCTTCATTGTGGATGAGAACGATCCTTACGCCCCACCGCGCCCCCTTCTCGCCTTTTATCCTCTCAGCGCTGTTCGGCACTGGTCGGCGAACACTGGCATGTCCAGCTCGCTATCATCGCGGAATGTGCTGCATGACAGTCTCGGACAGCGTGAAGTCGTAGCTGGGATGCCGTGCGTGTTCCGGACCAGATCTAACATGTCGATGGGAGGGAGCAGCCAGCGTGCGCGGCGGCTTTTCTGCATCTGTGCTATTTTTGGCAAGCGGGGATCGTGACAGAGTTGATGAGCATGTCCTCCGCATCAATTTATGAAGGTCAGCTGTCTATGTATAGAATCATGGCCCCTACAAGTGTATCAGGCGCTTATCGCCTTTTGATAGTAGTCGGTACATAGGGCAACGCCTGGGGTTACTCTCTAAACAAAGTGAGGAATGACCGTTCGGAATTAAGACGGACAGATGGTTGTGAAGGCGTACTATGATATCCGTCCGCGGCTTCATTGACCGCCCAGTGACGACGCTCTGCTCTTCGCAATCCTGCCTACGTCCACGACGGCGCGTTGCATCTCGCTGACCCATTCATTCGAGTCCGTCGACACGACCTGCAGTTCCGCTATCGGAGGCTGATCCGGCAGTAAGGAATGCCTCAGTCCAAGCGCAGCCTCCATCTCCTCGAGCACTTCCGCGCGGGTCCGGCCGTTCACGAAAGTGATGTACCGCAGCCCAGGATATACATGTTCGTAGCAGGCGTTGAGGTGCGCCAAGCGGGCCAAGACGGCCGGCGAGGTCGCCTTGGTCGCCTGCTCGGCCGCGCTAAGCTTGGACAAGCCGCCGACCTCGCCAATCCGAGGATGCCCCGCGATGAACTGCGCTTGCAAACCGCAATCCCAAGACTGAATGATCGATACCGAAGCGTCGATTAATTCGGAGTAGGTCGTGATACGGAAGGCGTTGAGATAGGTGACCAGCTGCGGGAGGAGGTGGGAGTAGAGGACCGGGGTTGGTTCGAAGAGAATCGCTAGGGTCTGGGCGAGAGCCGGAGCATTGTTGGTAGGGTTGGAGAGTAGGTCGGCTATAAGGGGGAGACTAGTTCGTTCATTCTCTGACATGACCGGAGACGGACGCGCAGCAAACGTTGCGGCCAAAGCAGCTATTGGCACGAGATCTATCATCAAGATGAATCATGGCGGTGGCCACGGTCCTCCACGGTCCGTTGACCTGCTTCACACACTACAAATTAACGGCGACACTCACCTGGGCTTGCCGTGACGCACCGTATGCTTTTCTTGCTGAGATTTCGCCACATTCTGCCTCAGAGCATCAGTGGCATGAGATGAACCCTCTCGAGCTTGCGCCTTCTGATCATTCAATGCGAACGCTTCTGCGCTATCAACACATGTACTTGGAGTCCGGCATCACACACAGGATCCCGTCCGTGGACCCTCAGTCTTCTGGATACCGTTCAAGTCATGGACGTCGCTGGTGGACGCGCTGTGTCGCGCGACCTTGATGCAACGTCTCCTCATCGATCCTCGCATGCATACTCACGACGCCGGCATATGACGAACCGGCCCATTCACGTCGCTCGATGGCGATGGTTCTTCCTTCTTATAACAGCTCTCACCCGCCCGCAGGGTCTGAGTTCCGGTCGGGCTTCCGATAACAGCAACATCCTTACCCCGGTCCACATACGCGTTGCTTACAGGTTCGAGCATGCTGTGCTTATCTCTTGCCAGGCTTCGCTCTTAGTTTTCGATCTGATGGTCGGTATGCTTAACGATCTTCAACGATACGTTGAGAAAAACCGATGAAATACGCGGTTAATGCCACGTCCTTGCTCGGTATGTCAGCACCTTTCCCGAACTTCTGGGTCACGATTAATCGGTCCCGGCTGACATGGGCACACGAGGATCGTGGTACAGTTCGTGCTGTGGGCATTCGGAATGAACGACTGAAGTGACGTCGGAGGATCCTCAGGTTCGACACTTCCCATACTGCGGTTCGTACTTATCCGCTTAATCACGCCACGGGCCGTCCTGACGCTATATCTCATTCGCTGCTAATCTCAGATGAGAATCCGGCATGCATGATATGGGTGACGCCTTCCTTAGGCTCGTAGAGACAGACGAAGAGACGTCTTTTCTCGCTCTCCGGGGTTATTAAAGCGCCCTTGGGCCGAGCTCGTTCGGTCGGTCCCTCGCCCCGCGAAGGATCACTGCACAAGCGACCTCATCCCTAGTGCTGTCCTCGCTATGTTCCAGAACGTCCTCTTGTTCACCATCTTGGCAGTCGGGCTCGCCGTCAGCGATGTCAAGGCGGCCCCGCATATGGCCGAGCGTTCCGGTGCTCATGCAAGCATTGGGGTCCGAGCCAACTTCAAGCACCTGAAGTCGGGGACGAGAATCATCGATGCAGACCGCGCTCGCGTTAAGGCGTTGAAGGAGCGCGCTGCCAAATCCAAGGACTCCAAGTCGAAGAGAGCAGGAGTGTTCTCTTTTGACGTTACCAACGAAGCTGTAACGTATCTGGCCAGCGTGGACGTCGGATCACCTGCGACTACGTTCAACCTGCTCATCGATACCGGTCAATATTCTTCTGTCATATCGATTCCAGACATCTGACTCGTTTATCCGACGCAGGATCCTCCAACACTTGGGTTGGAGCTGATACCCCGTTCACGGAGACTCAAACGACGACATGTAATGGGGACGAGATGGAGGTTATCTACGGCTCCGGACTCGTGTTTGGTCTGGAATGTCAGCTTTCATCGCAACGTTTTTTCAGGTCACAAACTCAACCTGTATCACTGGTTCTAGGTACCGACCAAGTTGCGCTGTCGCCCGATTTGGTCATCCCAGAACAAGGAATCGGTGTGGCCCTGATCCAAGAGGGATTTGGCGATGGCATTGACGGGATCCTTGGGTTCGTTCTATGATGGTGTGGATGCCTTGGTTTCCAACCCATTGATACATAGGATCGGACCGGTGGATCTGACTGACGGTACTACCTTGGATGGGGAGGAGGTTCCCACAGTCACCCAGAACCTCTTCAATCAGGTTTGTATACTTTCAGGACTCGCTGCCTTGTATTTCTACAACATGTACTGACACTATTGTATCCAGGGCACCATCACCTCGAACATTGTCTCCGTCTTCTTTGCCCCCAGTAACGAGGAGGAGTCAACTAATGGTCAACTCACCTTCGGCGGTGTCGATACAAGCAAAGCAACCAGCGACATCACATTTGTGCCTATCACGAGCACAAGTCCGGCCAACGAATTCTGGGGCATCGGTACGTAGTGTATCAGCCTTCAGCGGCATCTCTTATGGTCTACCTAGACGAAAGTATAAGCTTTGGCGGAACTACGATCCTGCCTACGACCGCCGGCATCGTGGACACAGGTTCGTGGCCCATTAACTTCATCGACCGTAATTCCGAGCTAACAACCTCTATAGGCACTACTCTGGTTCTGATGTACGTCATGTATACTGAAGTGCTCAGTTCTTCACTCCTAACATCCATCGTTCTGCAGTGCGACCGGTAACTATCAAGTAGCATGCGTCGATGATGAACAACTCACGATTCTGTCCAGATGCTTTCAACACTTACACAACGGCCACTGGTGCTACACTGGACGAAAATACGGGTCTTCTCCGCATCACTCCGGCGCAATTTGCCAACCTCCAGCCCTTGGACTTCAATATCGGAGGGGAGACATTCACGTTGACTCCCAACGGTGACGATCGTCCATGTATCATTTCTGGCCTCCTGATGTTTTCCTGCAGCGCAAGCCTTCCCTCGAGCCCTCAATACGGGTACGCGTTCGCAAAAACCGGATCGGAGCATCCCTTGATCTCTTCTCATCTAGACATCGGCGGCACGAACGACTTTGTCTATCTCATTGTGAACGACGTGGGGTGTTGCGTCTGCCTGCTTAACAGCACGTATTGATTATCATATCACAGATCGGCAGCGACCTCGGCGAAGGCCTCGACTTCATCAACGGCTACGCCTTCCTCGAGCGGTTCCTCAGGTACTCGAGTTCTCGCTCCTTATATTGTGTCACAGCTCATCATTTTTCCGCGCTTAGCGTTTTCGATACGGATAACAGCCAGGTAAGCCATCCGCTTCATGTTAGCAATACATTTGGCTGACCGTAAAGCAGGTTGGCTTTGCTGCCACGGCCCAGACGGACTCGACCATCAACTAAGCGTTTTGTTTCACTTCGGGTGGACCTTCATTTGCGACTACAATTTCTATCGTTAATGCTGGGATGCATCAGGCGTTGATTCTCATGCTAACGCGCATTAACGATAAGCATACATTTGTGGTGACTTCCTTTTCATGTCTGCTTCTTCCTACAATCCGAATGGATGGTTCTCTCCAACGCTCATCGACTCATCCGGTTGCGCCGTCTCGAAGGCATGCACCGCCTCCGTCCGGTCGAACCAGACATAGCAGTCGAACTGCTTGGGAAGTATCGCATTTGAGTAGTGGCTCCAGCGCTGTCAATGGCCGATATATGACTCCGATGAACCTCTCGAGCCGTTTCTCCATAAGCGCCTGTCTCGTCTCTTCATCTAGCCTCCCCTCACGAAGGTCGCGTGCGAAGGAAGGTATGCCGACCTCATGCATAAGCCCCTCGTAGCTGTCGGGGCGAGACGGTTTGACGTTCATTACCTCCATGGGTACATCCATGGGTTCGTCCCATTCGTCCGCTGTCGCTACGGTGCCCATATGCGTGCCGCGCCTGATGATGGAGGACGCGCACCCACTGCTCCTTACACAGCTGGCCGATGTTCAGCTCGTTCCGAGACTCGCCCATGCCGGTGTACCACGCGTCGCCCACATGCGAGTTGTGCGCCCACACAATCGCCTTCGAGCCCTTTCCGGTGCTGTAACAGGCGCAGCAGCGTCCGGAAGAAGTGCGAGTCCCGCTGGTTCCACGATTCGTCCGAGCCGTAGAACATCGCGCGGTAGTACTTCTCCACGTTGCGCACGAGCCGGGCGTTCATCTCCGTGTCAAAGGAGTCCTCCCCGTCCTCCTTCGCGAGCTCGAGTTGCTTCTCGAGAAGATCCTTGAGCATGTTCACGGCGCCCATTTCGGACGGCGCGGCACCCCTCAGGAACGCTTGTCGCCCGTACAACGCGGGGTCGTCATCCACGGCTCTAAGTAGCTATAGCGCTTTTTCGCCAGCTGTTTCGGGGTCGACGCGCTCGAGGTACTCCTGGACGGAATGGATTGAAATTCCCATGGAGTATAGATCCAGCCCGGCGAAGCTCACTCGCTGCTCGAGCCAGTTGACGAACTCCTGCGTCTCGGTATTGCGCCACATCCACCGCGGGAAGCGGTCGAAGGCGCCGACGTCCGTCAGCTTGCGCGTCTGCTTGGAAGGATCCTGGCGAACGTATCGGTCTATGACTTTGGCGTCTGGCCAGTCGGCTTCAATGGCCACGACGTTGAAGCCGTGTTCTTTCGATGAGATGCTTAGTGATGGCTGCTCGGGCGCGGTAGAACTTGGAAGTTCCGTGGCTAGGCACGCTATCAGCATATAGGACCTCAAAAACATCCCTTCATACTAATTCACCTCGCATCTCCCATGAGCACTACCCTCGACCGACCGAAGGAGTCGAACACGGCCCCGAAGGCAGGATCGTCGATGGAGGGCAGCCTCTGAGCAGCCTCCTTAATCATCGCAGGCAGGTTATGGACCATCTTGCCATTCGAAGAAAGCACAATAGAAGAAGGGATGTGCAAGTCTTAAGACGCGAGCATCATAATACCATCTTGAAGTAGAGCTGTGACGTCATTATTGACGATGTGGGGTAGGTTGATGTTACCAACCTTGCGCCGAAGATAAACAAGTTAAGCTGCGTGTTAATGCGCTAGAGCATCCCGCAGAAAAAAAAGCTGCCAATGTGTGCCTCTGGAGCGTCCATTGCCGCCCATACCAGCCTGTAAAGTATCAGTAACGGTGGCCTTAAATCTCACTTTCAAGTAACTAAGAGCGGCATCAGATATACCACATGTGACGTGCTGATGAGAAACCATGCTTGCGCATTTCATGCAATTATAAAGCATGTACATGCCAAATGGACTCGTTTTCACAGTTCTGCGAGACGGGCAAAGTGCGATGTCGCGTTCCCCACAGCGAATGACGCAGAGTTAGCCCCCTTGAACTCTTCGGCACGGCTGACCATGAGCAATCCCACTGTGAAATAGCATGACGATGACTTCGGAGGGAGACATATGCGGTACACGCACCAATGAGACCAAACAACCCTAAGATACTTCCGAATACTTCGACGACCAGAATCTTCACAAACAGGTTTGGATCCGCCGCGTCCGCGAGGGCGGCGGTTGACCCCGTTATGCCAACGGAGATGCCGCAAAGCAGGTTGCAGATCCCGACGGTAAGGCCTCCCCAGAAGATAGCAAAGCCGGTGAAGTAGTTCTCTCTGGTATATAGCTGCGTCTCAGGCACTGATGTGAGTCTGGAGGAGTAGACAATCCCGATGATGACGCCGTAAATGGCGACGACCTCGCAGAAGATGATGCTAGCAAACTGGTGTCAGAAGAGAGAAATACAACGGGCCTGACGAGCGCATACCTGATCAAATTCTTCGTGCTAATTCGTGGCGCCCTGACACCTCCACCGAGAATCGAGGAGCCTGTGATGAATATTCCCCTGCACCCACAACACGCATGAGCTATCCGTGGTGCACGCTTCCCCGGCAGCCGTAGCAGACCGAAAGGACTCACCATCCAGCACCTAGCACGCTAAGGCCAATGCAAAGCCCAATGCCAGTACCCGCCCATGCATATGGGCTCGTCTCTTCGAGGAACCGCCCGAAGTTGAATGCCTCGCCCGAACCTATGACGAAATCGTTTAGAATTGCGTCCGCGGCTCGAAGGTCATAGCATATATGTACCAGTAAAGAGTAAGTAGAGTGCAATGACCAGAATCAGAAACGTCGGTAGGCCATAGCCATAATATGTCGCGTAACCCATGGTCGAAGTTACGGCCAGATGCAGGAGGTGCTACGCGCAGGTGCCGGGCCCAGTTGTGGCACAGCGGAGGTTAATTTTGCAGCACACTGATTATACTGCTTACTATAATGGGATTGCTTTTGGATGACTCCCTTAAACATGAGTAAGCAGTGGTAAGCGATAAAGAAAACAGCATAGATATATCACTTTGATAATACATATTCCAGGCCAACCTCTCTCCATCCGTACGTCATGTCATCCACTGACGCTGTACCGTTCTTCAAGAAAGGCAAATCGAGGCCGACGACGGCGCGACGAAAGCGGTCTACATCACCGCCAGCCAGTGCTCTTACTGTTCCAGTCCCTTCCTCAATAACATCCGAGGTAGTCCTGCCTAACAAGAAGACTACCAAGAACTTACTGAGCGCTGGCACAAAACGTACAGTCTCACAAAGACAACAAGATGACGAGGACGTGGAATTCACTCGCGAAGGACCGGACGTCAAGTGGTCCGCGGCTGGTTCGCATCAGGAGGCGGCGCTCGAAATCCTTGCCGGAGATGAGGCGCAGGAGTTGCTTGCGAAGCGGGCACGGAAGGAAAAGCAGGACCGGATGCTCGCCGGCGAGCCGGACGAGGATGAGGTTCCGGATGATGGGCAATATCATGGCCAGAAGGCATACAGGAGTCATCTGAAGAAGAATCAGGAGGTACCGAAAGCCATGCGAACGGGTCCTCAGCGAAATACGAGTACTATACGGACCGTTACGATCGTCGACTACCAGCCAGACGTATGTAAGGACTATAAAGGTACGCTCCTATCTTTCATCAAGGTAGGAACCCAGGTATTGACTCATATGCAGAAACTGGATATTGTGGCTTCGGCGACACCTGCAAGTTCTTGCATGACCGAGGAACATGTGCGTGCAGCTCAGCTGGCTATGCTGAGACAAGGGACTGACATGCCTTGTAATTATCTAGATCTTCAAGGTTGGCAATTAGACAAGCTCGCCGAAAACGCGAAACGCCAACCCGGCGACGCGGATTCCGATACCGACGACTCGGACGACGAAGATGTTCCCTTCGCGTGCCTCATCTGCCGCAAACACTACACCGATCCCGTCGTCACACGCTGTGGGCACTACTTCTGCTCAGCGTGCGCGATCAAGCGCTTTACCAAGACCCCGAAGTGTCTCGCGTGCGGTGCACCCACAGCAGGAATCTTTAATCGCGCGGATAAGATACTAGAAAAAATACAGAAGAAGCGGGAGAAGCATGCGGAGAAGGATAGCGAGGATGAGGAGGGAGAAACGGGTGGTGTGCAGATTGAGGGACTTGCGGCTGCGAGTGACGATGATGGAGATACGAGCGAGTAGAGGCTTCTCATACGTTCACCATCGCTCCGCGGTTGGCGGCTCGATAGTCACTTTGTCCAAACACTGTGAAGAGGAAGCTTGTTGTAGTATGCATGTATTGCTATGGAGTGGTAAAAGAGCAGCTAAATTTGTGAAAGAGATCATGCTTGAGGAGGCGTGTCAATGATACGAGCTACGAAAACAAATGGGACACAAAAGTTTCAAAGCCCAACGTGAAATATTTGGTCAAGCAGGCCGCAAGCAGCACAGAGTTTCCCCCCGGGAGTCCAATGCCACGAAGGGCTCTGAGCTGCCTTGCAGTTAAAGCAGCCGTTCGTCGTAGCTTCCAAAGGCACATCTGCGGCTCCTCCTGATGAGATGGATGGCCGCGATTGAGTCGTCCTTTTGGACGAGAATAGAGATATGCGGTGTTTTCGTGCGCTCGCGGTCTCCAGGCCATCGTTATCCGATGCGCCATCAGCACTGTCCCACTTTGACGAGAATTTCTTCCTGGGCGTGAACAAGCTGTAAAGGCTGTCGAAGAGCTTGTTTGCCCTGCCATAAGAACCACTGGCTGCGCTCTGCACGGACACCTGCGATGCCAGTGAGATTTCGCTGCCAAATGGCGAGATGTCATGGTTCTCGTAAGATCCCATGTATAACATGCTGTCGGAGGCGGGTGAACCAGCGAAATAGGGGGAGCTTTCGTTGGCATGCAATGCCGGAGATCCCATCAACTGGTCATTGGACAAGCTGTAGAGTCCTCCCTGCGCGGTCCATGGTAGGTTCAGAGAGCTCGAACTGGCATCATAAGCTGTAGGTATGGGCGACATAGATGCAGGGCTCATGGACGACGGAGTGGCCGAACTGAGGTGTGACAGTTAGCGGATATCCCGGCACATCGATTCTCGCGTACCTTGGAGGGGTGCTGGCATACCCATACGGGCTGCCAAACCCATGAGGTATCGAGGAACCGGCGATGTTGGTTGAAAAATCCGAGCCAAGAAAGTCGGGTTCCGGAAGGCTACTCCAGGACGAAGGGCGGGATAATGTACGCGGAACGGACCTTTCTTTGCCAGAATCCATCGCTCTCATAGATTTCTCTCGTTGTACGCGATGTCCGGCTCTTATGTTAGGTCCGATCAATGCGCTGATATTCAGTTTGGTAAGAATGAATACCTTCTTGTTCTGCGGGGCGGCGAAGGGTCGCATGGTTGACCAGAGACCTCACACGCCTGGCACTTACTACCCTCCCAAACGCACTTTATCTGCAAACTCGTACGTCAGATCAAGCAGACATTGAGAGTAGTTCGTCCGCACCTTTCTGTTCCTACACCGCCGGCAAGCAAGGAACCTCCTGCATAGAGGGATTGGCATACATCTGACAATTATTACAAGGCAGAGCTTACCGATTCTTCTTATTCCTGGACTTATGAGCGGGCTTGAGAGGATCTGCACTGGTCATTGTCCCCTGGACTTCGGGCAGTCCCGCGGCAGAGGATTGTTTGTGATGATCCGCGATATGCCGTGCGAACCTCTCGTCGTCAAACGTGATATCACAACAGCTGGTATGGACAGTATCTTGATCCAGGGTATCACCAACCGGCATGGCGGGCACAGGCGCGGAACTTGGACGAAGAGCAATTGATTGGTTTCTTGCAGCGCTCAGCGCCGCGTCGACCGTAGAAGCACAGGGCCTGTGTTCTGGATAATGCTCCCAGCAAGAGGTGATTAAATTCCACATGTCGTCGGGCATTTCTCTCCCGTGACATTCGTCTCTTGTGGGCCGTGGAGGGCGTTCCCCTTGCACTACTCGGAGAACAATATTAGAGTCTTGTCGTATCCAATGGAAAGGCACATGTCCAGAGAACACCTAAGACCCATCAGATCATGGCTAGATCATGGCCAAGGAGTAAACCCACCTCCAGACAGACAAAGCCGAAGGCGTACATGTCACTGGATGTAGTTCGTCGGAAAGTGAGCATGAATTGTTCCGGGAAATGTAGTTCCGGAGCCATCCATCGGGCTGATCCACGCCCGGTAGTTGAGTCGCCATTGAGCATGTCGATGAGATCGGCTAGGCCAAAGTCACTAAGGCGGACCTGTTTGTTCTCGCCGATCAGTACATTAGCCTGTTGAGACCGTAAGGGAATGAATATTGTCCAAGAATGATAACGCACCCCTTTGAGGTCTCCGTGAACGATGTCTTCTCCGTGCAGATATGCAATGCCTGAAATCACTTGGCGCAGCTTTGTATGCCATAAGAAGAGTGATCACAAGGGAAAGATATCCTCTCACTTACGAGCTCGTTGATATCTTCAATGGCAGTCACAGGATCAAGTAACGTAGAAACGTAGTCGACAATTGTGCCATTGGGCATCCAAGCGGACACCATACATGGGAGGGGCCGGAAAGAGTCCTCGTCGATGCCGATGAGCTGTAAGATGTGGTCATGTTTCAGCTGACGCCACAGCAAGGCTTCCTTGAGAAAACTCTACTTTGTGGAGTAAGCGTGGATTCAACAAGGACCCCTCCCAAGACGTACCCGATGAAATTTGGCTCTCTCCTTGGGTATGCAGAACGTGCGGAATCGTTTCAGAGCCACCAACTGCTCGTCGTAGCGGGCTGAGAATATATCTGCATGACCCCCTCCGCCGATAGGGTCACTCCCCAGCATTTCAACGCGCTTCAGGAACAAGCCCGATGGCAGCTGCGAGCTATCATTGGAAAGCTTCATCATCAACGAGCGAGCGCTTCTCCGAAGGGAAGTCACGGCTTCAGTCCCGAGGATGGTCTGGGATTGATCGAATGGTCCTTTACCGGAGCAAGCCTGTTATTGCGAATCAGAGGAGGGTAGTCAGAGTATGTTAGCATCGAGCACGAACCTCCTGTAAGAACTCCAACATCTGTACCGCTTCATCCAGCCGTAGATCTATCACGGAAGCCCTGAAATCCGGGAAACCGATTTCCAGGTGCAACAACTTGACGACATGCTCTTGGTCCAGGTGAATGGCCTTGGAGAGCCGGCTGTCTCGGTGTAATCCAAGGTTCATAGATATCTAACCCGACTTGTCAGCGAATCCCTGCCCATACTTCGAGCGGAGATCATCGTACTGATATAAGCCACGCGACGAAGGCATGATATGACAGGAAGCAATGGGGTATATCACGACTCATGAGCTGGTCATGGAGCTGCTGAAGCTCTTCGACAGCGCTACAGCCATCCAGAGTCATCGTACCGTGAGTCCGGAGTACGCCTCACTTACGTTCGTGATTTCGTCCCGTCATTGTCTGGTAACTCATGAAGAACGCGTTGGAAAAACTGGATGGTGTGCTAGAATGACGTCAAAATCGCGAACATCAATAGCCACCAACATTACGCACAAAGCAGATATGCGGTCTCCTCTCCGGATGGTCCCATGTAGGCTCTGCGGCTGTTAGCGACAGCAAGGTGAGCTAAGCCAGCACACGGGCGCTTAGTTGGCTTCGTAACGCACCTCGCGGCGACCGGCTTGTTTCGATAGTATGAAGTAACACGTCCTGTATTTCTGACTTCACGTAAGTCGCGGCCACATTGCTCATTGAGTAGATCAGTCGTATGACCAGGGTAGGGGAGGGAGTTACAAGAGACGCGGTTACAGGTTCATCATGCGGCTCTGAATCAAGGCTGTGTGGTTTTTCACACGTGCTTGTCGGAAGCGCAGCCTTGAGGATCAAGCTCCGGTTCGTAACTGTGCTCTGGTAGAGAATCGGTCATCACGGCAACTTGTATTGCTGTGGATGATGGAGTATGATCAGGAGACAAACATGCCATGAAAACGCGCAGGTAATGGTTTCGTGAATCGTCCCGCTAACGTCGTCGTGTTCCTGCATGTAGAGTGTAGTTCACCTGCGTCGGGAATTGTACGGGTGAGAGAGACTGGGTCAGCCTATTCTCGAGCCCTGCTGTTTTGCACGCGGATGAACAACCAGTCGACAGCCTCTCGTACGCCAGTTCTGGTGCACATCCGCAGTTAGTGCATGTTCGAGCGACTTCATTTGCGTTACAACGCGTACCCTTCGAGCGCGCTAATGCCGAGCACGTCTAAGCTGGCGATCCTGTCACGTCGTTGAACCATATCGTCGTCATAGGTTCCCCGACGCGCGCTTTCAAGACGACGCTGGTGCCATTCCTCGTAGTCGTGTCGAATTTCCTCCACTGTTAGACTTCTGGGCGAGTCTTGCTTGTTTGCCAGGAGAAGAAGAGGGACGCCGAGTATTTGGGGCGATGACAGGACGGATTCTACGCGACTTCCGTCAGAGCATGAGTCCAAGGCAGTAATGTATGCATGAGTAGCCCGCACCGAATACCTCCCAGCACTCGCTCAGACGTTCCCGATCCTCGGCATCGATGACATACGCAACTGCGTGGCAGTCGTCGTAATATCGAGGCCATATAGATCGCATTCCACGTTGGCCTCCGAGGTCCCAGAATTGCAGTATCGTCGACGGTAGCGTTATCTTCCCCACTGTCATTCCTCTAAATGGATTTTGTCGCCGATGTGTGAGGCATGGATGTTACGCACTGTTTTGTCCAACAGTCGGGCCTATCTTGTCGGGAGATAATCCAGGGACATCATTATAAAGTGTCTTGATCTTTTCGAGTAGCGTCTAGATGCTCGTAGCATAAACCATCGTGACGCATCAGACAATGTCAACGTCGCATACTGTCTTGCCTGCTCCGTCCAAACCCAAGATGATGACAGAAAACTCCTCCTTCCTGGAAGCACCATCAACGGGTTTTCTGCCATGCTTGACTGGCAACATGGCGTACCTCGTAAGGTATTCGTGAAGTCCCTTGAGCAAGTGATACATGAGCTCTGAGGTGTGGTCGCGGTGGCAGAGGCCAAGCCAGGGCGTTGACGCCACAAGCGCGCCCTGCGATCGTGCCCTTGCTGAAGCGCTGGCCAGTGACGCGGACTCATCTACATGTGTTGGGCTCTATGAGTGGTTTATACCCGGACCACTCTGGCGCGGCTGCGGGGAGCAATACAAACCTTGGCGACCGCGCCTACCAAACATCCGACTTGGCTACCTACCCTCCGCGTCCGTCATGGCAGCATGATGGACATACTTCGTACGCCAAACAGGTCGAGGATGCTCAGGCACGCGACAATGTTCTCGAGAACGGAGACTTGCACGACGACCCCGACGATGCTGCCGAGCAGGTGAAGCGTTACGAGGACTTCACGACCATCGGTGCGTGCTCCTGCATACCATGTCAACCACTCTCTGATGTTCCCCTCGAATGTGATACGGTAGATTGGATACAGGATAGCATAATTGAGCACAACCGCAGGCTACGACGCGAACACGCACAACGCGAAGAGTATTACTCTCATTTATCTCGCCAAACCCCGTCAGGTTCCTGGTTCGACGTCAAGGTCACAATACCGTGGCTATGGATGCAATTGCGTGGTCTGTTATGGGCGGGACAGGGCTGGCTTGTGATCAGTCTCGTTGGTCAGACTTCTCTCAATCTACTTCCATTCGAGTATTGATGTTTAGCACGTCTTGCAGGTATATGTATAGGCGTGAATGCCGCGGTCATCTCCATTACCACGGAATGGCTCTCTGACATCAAAATGGGCTATTGCTCGGATGGATGGTGGTTGAATCGTCAGTATTCTTGTTTCCTCGTCTATAGATATGCTCACAGCACTTGAGACAGAACAATTCTGCTGTTGGGAAGTCGAAGAAGACGTTTCCGATGCTCAAGGTTATGGATGCGCTAGCTGGCATCCCTGGTCCACATATACGTTCGCTCGATGGATCATCTATATTCTATGGGCTGTGCGTCTCTCCCGGTGTGGCCCCGTGGTGTAGCACTGACCATGATTCGTGGCAGGCTATATTCTCGTTCGTGTCTGCTCACCTGGTGAGGTCAATCGCCAAGTACGCCGCGGGTTCTGGTATTTCGGAGATCAAGTGTATCCTTGCCGGATTCGTGATGCATGGGTTCCTGGGCTTCGGGACGTTTTTCATCAAGAGCGTGACCTTGGTGAGCTCTCCTCCGCCTTTCTCTGGTCTATCTTCTTGGCTTGACGTGACATAGCCGATGGTGATTGCCTCTGGACTCAGCGTCGGTAAAGAAGGACCCTCAGTGCATGTCGCATGCTGCATCGGCAACCTGATTGCTGGACTCTTCTCGCGGTACACGAAGAGCCAAGGTATCCCGTTTCTTCTCGTTCTCGTCTATCCGCCAAGAATGACGGGTATCCTACAGAGAAGCGGCGAGAGGTTTTGACGGCCGCAAGTGCTGCCGGTGTTGCAGTCGCCTTTGGCTCACCTATTGGTGGTGTCTTGTTCTCGATCGAGGTCGGTTACTCTTGGGCGTAGTATCAATAATTTGAGATGAATACTCAAATCGAATTTATAGGAAATGAGCCATGTGTTCAATATACAAACTATGTGGCGTAGTTTTGTCTGCGCTCTAGTCGCTACAGTCACGCTATCGGTGCGTTAGCAGATTTATATCTTTCCTGTTTCCACCTTACGGGGCACTCTAGGCGATGAACCCCTTCCGCACGGGCAAACTCGTGTTGTTTCAAGTCACCTACGATCGTGACTGGCACTGGTTCGAGGTCATTTTCTACGTCATATTGGGAATCTTCGGGGTACATATCATTCACAAATAACTTGACCGACTTCCTGACTGTTCGCATTGAAGGGTTTGTATGGTGCCTTTGTCATCAAGTTCAACTTGATGGTTGCTGCTTTTCGTCGAAAGTATCTTGCAAATCACGGAGTTGTAGAGGCTGTTGCTCTTGGTAATGCCTGTTGACCTTCGACCTCCCCTACATACACTGAAATCTGGTCTTGTAGCAACTCTGACAGCCTTCATTGGTTATTCCAACCGATTCCTGCGCATCGACATGACGGAAAGTATGGAAATTCTCTTCAAGGAATGCGAAGGCGGTGGCGATTACGAGAATCTTTGCCAGTGAGCATCTCGTTTAGTCACGTTCATTGGGTATGAGCTTACACTTGTCAAGGTCGACCTACCAGTGGCGTATGGTAAACTCGTTATTCCTGGCTACAATCATTCGCATCGGGCTGGTGATTATATCGTACGGATGCAAAGTGCCCGCTGGCATATTCATCCCATCCATGGCCATTGGAGCATCATTTGGGCGGATGGTGGGAATCATGGTCAAGGCAATGTACGCAGTTGAAATTTGACGTCATCTCTTCTAACAACTTAATACGGGGTTGTATGCAGAGCTACACCTGGCGAAGGGCTCTTCGCGTACTGCCAACCTGACGTACCATGCATTACACCAGGGACCTACGCCTTCCTTGGTGCGGCTGCGGCACTCAGGTACGTAGTCGTTTCAGCCCGAGATACTGAGCTAACCTGAAACTTCTTCAGTGGTATCATGCGCATCACAGTTACTGTCGTCGTGATCATGTTTGAACTGACAGGCGCCCTGACCTATATCTTGCCAACCATGGTAAGATTCACCTATAGTAGTCATGCGTGCTATGACTGATACAATCCCTAGATCGTGCTGCTGGTTACCACAGCCGTAGGCGACTTCCTCGGCACACGCGGGATCGCCGACGAGATGATTCGTTTCAACGGATTCCCGTTCCTGGAAAAGGAAGATCATGCATTCAACGAATCCGTATCTCGTGTAATGCGGAGTGAACTGCATACACTTCATGCTACGGGCCTGCGCGTAGCAGACGTTGGTAAGTGATCACCCTCTCACACCAGGCTCTCTGATCTCATCTATCGTGACAGAGGCAAAGTTGTCCGCTACCGACGTGAGGGGTTTTCCGATCGTATGTGCTGACGGAGCTCGTGTGCTGCTCGGATACATCGACAGAGCGGACTTGCGTTACGTTTTGGGTGATCATTCACGAAATCCCGCACCGCGATTTATACTGACGGCAGATTCCATTGCAGACAAAAGCTCCCGACTACGAGGAACTACATCCGAAACTAGGTGCTCCTTCATAGCGCACGATGATGTACCCTCAACACCAGACCTTCCGGCCTCGTCATCAGGGCAGGCCATCGGTGTTGAAGAGGAAATCTCTGCTGAGATCCTTAGGAATACCGCTACTCGTGATGTGCTCAATTTGTCGCCGTGGGTCAACCAGGTAAGTACACCTGTCCCAAGACGAATTTGAGGTCTCGCTCAAGCTTACATTCGGATAGGCTCCATTGACAGTGTCACCCAAGCTTCCGCTCGAAATCGCTATGCAGTTATTCAAGAGGATGGGGTGGGTGTCTTAGCCATCTTTCGAACCCAGGCCTGGGTCTGAATGCGCTGTTTGCAGACCACGCGTCATCCTCGTCGAGGAGCAAGGCGTCCTTGTCGGACTCCTTACAGTCAAGGATGTATTGCGCTTCATCGCGCAGGAACATGCCGAAGACTTAGCGCTGTGGGACTATCAAGAGGAAGTGGACGAGGTGGCAGAGCAGCTACGTAGTATGGCATCGATATCGTCCGGCTCAGGACTTATAGACAGAGCTCGTCGAATTTTTGGGCGCTAAGTCATAACTTACTTATGTATGGGGGTTGCATTCTTGACGATGCTGTACGACTTGCGATAAGGCCGTGTAGCCCAACGAGCCGACTTTGAAGGACTCCGACTCGGAGGCTTGGAATGTCGTGCAGAAGTCTCTTTGCGAGTGACTATGTACGAACAACAGGCACGATCAATGTCATGGTGGATCACGCTCGCCACAAATACAGTTGTGTTGTGTAGAAGCGGTGAATGGCTTAGCGAGCGACAAAGCGGCGCAAGCGAGCACTCATTTGCGCTCATTCAGCATCCTGCACGATACATTGAGATTATCTGGTTGAGATCGAAACGATGAGGTGTGCACACGATTGAGAGAGGATATTAGTCAATAAAACAACGTGTATGGGCGCGCATGCCCTTTTGAGGCGTGATCAGGTAGGTTCAAATCAGGAGTATCCCATTTCTAGAGGACCATTCCTCCACTCTACAGATTAGGTACTTGGTACGCATGAAGTTATGGTAGTCATCGTACTGTATCTGATTTACTGAAATGCTAGCTGTCCTACATCGCTCAGTATGAGCGATTTCGTGAATTGTTACATATCTCTCGCTAGTTTCATATCCGGTTGATGCATAGTATTGCATGGCTCCCTCCCATGCTATGCCTTCCGCATTAAATAGAGCATATCTACAGTATCGTACTATCAGTGTCGAAGGAATCAAGTGTAGCGTCAGGTATAAGCCTGCAGAAAATGTTCAACGGCCACTGGGTAACCAGGCTCGAAGGTTCTCTGCCGGTAAAATGATGAATATATTCTCGCGTACTCTATACTATATTTCCAGTGTGTCTAGCAGCCCATATACGTGTTCTGTGCATTTTCATGCTCTCTATGCAAGGATTATTGGTGAGGATGCCATGAATGCGATCTAAGCTCCGCCTAAAACGGTGGCAAAGGCTTCACTTCCGCCACTCAATAATTTCTGCACTGCCACCACGTCTTCTTCAGCACGATCATGTTGCGCACCCCGTATGTTCTGCAGTCATTCTACATTATTCCGTAACATCTCAACAATATGATCCAAGGAAACCCAAGAATGCGCGCTCTAAACGAGCGCTGGAGGCGCGAGAGCCCAAAGAGCTCGAGGATGCGAGGACGGCTATCTTCGTGAAGGGTACGCACACGGGAGAGGTTGTGAACAACGCCATGAAGGAGCTTGTGAGTCTACCGCAGGTATGGTGAGAGGGAACCATGATATACATCGATTGTCTTTCTTAGATGGCGTTGAAACGCCCAGACATAATATCCTTCTCCAAGAAAAACACGATCCGGCCGTTTGAGGATCCTGCTTCGCTTGAGTTTTGGTCGCAAAAGAACGACGCATCGTTGTTCGTGGTCGGGCAGAGTACCAAGAAGAGGCCAAACGGCCTGACCTTTGCGCGCATGTTCGACTACAAGTTGCTTGACATGTGTGAGGTCGGCGTGGAGAGTTTCGTGAGCATGAATGAGTTCAAGGTACGGTCGTTGATGTCCACGCGCTACTTCTCCAACTGAGCATTTGTATCGTATCGCATAGACGCCTAAGTCCACCCCAGGACACAAACCAATGTTGCACTTCGCGTCCGAGCTATTCGATACCCATCCCCGCTTCATCCAGCTCAAATCCATGCTGATGAGCTTTTTCAACGGCGAAGAAATCGACCAGCTCTGTCTCGCCGGGCTGGAGCACGTCATCTCCATCTCCCTCGCGCCCACACCCCCCACCCTCGCCGCCGCCGCCGACTCGGACGACACCAAATCTCTACCCAAAGTACATATCCGCGCGTACACCATCCGCCTGCTCTCCTCGGGAAGCCGCATCCCCCGCGTGGAGCTCACACCAATGGGACCATCACTGGATCTCGTCCTGCGCCGGCACCAAGACGCCGACCCGGAGATGTGGAAGGCGGCCATGCGCCGGCCAAAGCTGAAGAAACAGGACGTGGAGAAGGGGCTCGGGAAGAAGCGGAAGAACATGGAGGTGGACGAGATGGGCGACCTGCGCGGCCGGCTGCATGTCGCGAAGCAGGACCTGGGCAAGCTGCAGACGAGGAAGATGAAGGGATTGAAGGCGCGGTTCGACCAGGAAACAGAGAGCGGGATGGACGTAGACGAGGAGAGTGGCCATGGCATGGATGTCGACGACGAGAGCGCCGACGAGGACACGTCTGGGTCGAGGAAGAAACGCAGGAAGTAGGCGTAATAAATCCCGAGATACACCTTTGTTGTTATCCACACCTCACGCTTTTCGATTTGGGATTGTTGTTTCGACACTATTATCCGATCCTTGCTGCTGGTTCCGAATTCGCGAGCAGTAGCTCAGCCAGTCGTGCAACATTGGTTCCGAAAGAGTACAGATGCATAAGCACCGACGAATAATGTGCATAGAATACAGTGTGCGGGGTCGAATATGCGTGGATAATATAGAAGCAATGCTGAACCGAGCAGAAACGGTTGGCGTGATGGAAGGGTGTGCTCTCATGATGGAGGTGGTTGCGCAGGCACAAGAGCAGGAAGGACCGAGCTACTCCCGCTCGCCGCGCTTCCCATAGACGACGTCGATGCTGACGGCCCAACAGCGCCCTTCGTCGGCGATCCCGACGCGCTCGCCGTCCTGTGTCCAAACCAGAATCAGCAATCAGGTTTTACGCCCATACAGATATCCTCACCCGTTCGTGGACGCCGAAGTCCCCGCGGCCGTCTGTTCGAGGTTGATTCTCAAGAACCCGGCCTGGACGAGGAAATCCCATATCCGGCTCGTCTTATTCACGTCGATCTTCACCAGGTCGCGCGCCTCCCTCCGCCGGAGCTTACCGCCCCGCCGCGCGTATTCGCGCACGAGCGTCTCCTTGATGACGAGGTACGGCTTGGGCAAAATGCGCAGCGCGGAGCAGAGGGTCTGTTCGGCGGGGGTGAGGAGGTGCAGGTGCGGCGAGTTGGCGAGGTTGAGCGGCGCGGGCGCTTTGCGAACGGCCGGGGCCGGGGCGGCCGGGCGCGGCGTGCCCATGTCGACGTCGGGGTCGTCGACGTCCATGCCGGCGCTGCCGTGCCGTCGCCGTTGGCTGGGCGTCGCGTAATAATCCACAGGCGTGTTGGTTTTGACGTAGGCCTGCGGAGGAGGGGGTTCAGCACGAATATCTGGAGGGGTGGGGGGGAGCGATATATGCGCTCACGTACCCGTTTGTGCACGTCGTTGTCGTACTTGTCAATGTCTGCCGCCGTGCGTAAGCCCATGCGGCGATAGTGCTGCAGCTCCTGTATTCGCTTCCGGAGCATCGATTCGTCTGCACATGTGGTCAATCAAAGCCGTACACCAAGAAAGGATCCCGCCTACAAAGTATGTCCGTGCAAAAGGACTCGAAGTCGTCCGCTGTCATCAGCCTCGCGAACGGCCTCAACCGATGGACGATGTCCTTCTCCTCTTTTGGTCTCTTCTTGTCGGCCGCTTGCATCTATCCAGTAGAAAAGTGATCTCAGTTCACATCGCAAGGCCGGTAATATTCGGCAATCTCTGACCTTCTTGTACTCCAGCAAGCCGCGGTCGAATATGACCTCCTTATGCTCCTTCCGCTTGTCCACTCGATGCTGATACATCTCGATCAACGCGAGCTTGAACTCCAAGCTCTCCTTCGTCTCGATCGGCGGCGGCTGCGTGACCTCATCCTCCCCCTCTCCTTCGCCCTCCTCCTCCCCGCCGTTCTTCTTCGCTTCCTCCTCCTCCTTAGGCATCGGCGCATGCCGCGACGGCCGGCCCTTCGTCTCCTCTCTCCCCGGCGCCGCGCTCGCCGCCCCATTAGCACCGTTCGCGACGCCGTTCTTCAGCGCATGCGATCGTATGGTCCCATTCGGCGTGAACATCTGCTTCGCCGCCGACACGCCCTTACCCTTACTCCCCTTCCCCGCCGTCTTCCCGGGAACCTTCCCACCAGGATACCCCCTCTTCCCCGGTCCCTTCCCCGCGCCCAAGCCCGCGCCCTTCATCGCGGGGCCCTTCCCCGCCCTCCGCTCCTCGATCCACTTCGCGCGCGCCTTCACGTCCGGATCGTTCTCGTCCTCGACCATGTCCCCGCCCCCCCACTCGAGGCACACGCCGAACTCGAGGTCCTTGATCAAGTCCTCCGCCTCGTTCTCCACCTCGTGCTCGAACTCGAGCCGGCCAGGGAGGAAGCCCGCGACCTCGTGCACGGCCGGCGCGGAGGTAGGCGCGACCTTGGGTAGCGGCGTCGCTATCGTGTCCATCGTCGAGATGCGCCGCCGCTTGCGCTCGTGGAAGGTCGCAGGGTCGACGTCGAACTGCTGGTCCATGCGCTGGGGAAACGTCGACTCGGAGGTCAGCCTACACATTCAGAATGCGGGAGAGAGAGGAGATCCACATACCGGTAGAGGCCAGCCCGGCGAGTTGATGTAGACGCGGTGGTAGTGCTCCGCGACCTGCTCCTTCGTCCGCGTGCCGACATGTTCCGCTATAGCTTGCCAGTTCCCCAGCCCTTGTAGCGATAAACCTTCGATCAGAAGTATCTCTCTAGCGTAAAATTGCATGAGCCCAGTCACTCGTATGCGACGCAAATGGAACCTCACTCGTCGGCGCCCCAGTCCTCCTCGAAGATCGGGTACGAGTGCAGCTCGACGACGCGGTAGGCGTGCCAGCGCTTGTGCCGCCCAAACTCCTTGCCCTCGCAGAAGCAGCGCGGGCAGATGTCGACCGCGTCGCCGTTTCCGGGCTCGCACGCGGGGTCGGCGCACTTCATGCGGACGGAGTGCGTGAGGTCGGCCGCGCAGCCGTCGCACTCGATCTGTAGCCCGGGCTCGTTGATCGTCTGTATCTCGTCCGGCTGGTGCGCGCGTATGCGGTGGCTGACCGTCATCGTGGCCTCGCTTAGGCGCTCCTCGCCCAGGGAGAGGAAGGGTTATCACAAGCGCAAGCCCAGCCACCGACGCGGAGAAGGACGAAGTCAGAGTGTAAGTCACGCAAACGAATCAGGCACGTTCGACCATATCCTAGGGTTTGCTACCCCACACGACGAAACATTATCGTACAATATTCGTACCGAGCAAGAAACGCAGTATGAACCAGTATGAGAGGCACAAAGCAGCCGGGAAAGGGACCTGCAGGAGAAATAAGACGTGGGAGCCCGATTCCTCCATCGTCTTCCAGTCTAGGCAACACCTCACTTTGCGTCCAAAGGTAATATGTGCGGCACGGGCCCACGAGGGATCACTCCAGTGGGATTAACCTTCTTGAGCGCGTAGTACCCGCCCTTGATGTGGTCAAAATTCGTCGTGTCCTTGAAGGCCGGATAGTTCCAGTACAGGTTCCGCACCCATCGGTGGAGGTTCGGGTAATCGTGCCGTATCGTCTTGAGGTTGCATCTGGTCGTGATTTTGAACGTTAGTAGATGCTATGACAAGACCGGGAGCGGCATACTTAAACGCGCCGTGGTACCCCACGTCGAACCGGATGATCGTGGTGTACAGCCTGTTGGTTTGCGTGGTGAGCTGCGCCGATCGCTAGGGTGGTACAGCACATGCAAGCTCACCGGATGTCAGCCTCGGTCAGGGTGCCTTTGCCAGGCCCAACGAGGAACTCCCGCCCCTCGAGAACCTTCTCCACGCGGTCCAAGGCGTCGAACAGCGGGTACAGATTCTCGTCATATGCCTCTTGCGTGGTAGCAAAGCCGGTCTTGTAGACCCCGTTATTGATCTTGTGGTAAACTATCGAACGTCGATGAACATGAAAACGCGGATTGGGCGGAGACAGGAAGGCTCACTCCACTCGTTGATCTCGTCGATGTCCTGGCGCAGATTCTCTGGGTAGTAGGTCACTCCCTTGTGTTCGTCCGTCACGAATTCGTCAAGGTCCGTGTTCAACATCCGGATGATCTCGCTTTTTCGCAAACAGAAGAGGGGGGGGGGGGATGGTGAGCTCGGAGGACCTCATCCACGAAACGCCCACGCAATGCCTCACCTGCTCTCATTGTTCACGATCGTCCCCAACGTCTTGTCAAACAGCACCGGTACCGTGAGCCGCAACGCGTACTCCGGATCAGCGCGCAGGTATATCTCCTTGATCGTCTTAGCCCCGTACACCGGGTCAGGCGTGCACCCTTCAACTTCAGGGCGGAACTCCCAGCCGTTCTCGCCCAGGTGGTAATATCTGAACGCAGGTTCGGTGAGCGAAGCTGTTGACAGCAGAGGGACGGGGGCTTACACAACGGCGAGGTCGATCACGTCTTCCAATCCTTTCAGCTTGCGCACGATGAGGGTGCGCGACGCCCACGGACACCCGTAGGAAACGTAGAGGATGTAACGCCCTGCGACGAAGGAGGAATGAGGGCCCTGTATGCGTGGTAAACGAGCCGTGAAGACTGCAACCTTTCTCAGGAGGGTGTCGCCCGTCTTTGCGGATCCACTCGCGGAACGTGGACTACAGAATCCCCTCAAGTGTCGACTTAAGACCATTGAAACTGAAGAAAGGCACCGACCGTTTGTCTCCTGAAGCGTCCGTCCTTGTCCGCCAGCTCCTGAAAGTCAACCTTGGGCTTGTCTCCACTCGCAACAGATCCTGGTACAGCAGCCATGATAGTGAGAAGAAGGTAGTAGAAAGCGCTGTCGTCATCGCAGCGGTCAAGTAGCTTATATGTGGCCACCGCTTGCGGTATGAATCCAGCGCCATCGTGTTATCGTATACACATTATGGATATGAATTCACCATACAAAGATCGCTGCTTAGCAAGTGGCTGACTACACTGGGTCATCCGACGCTTGCGAGTCGGTGGCGATTCGTCATATAGATGACGATTGTCGCAAGAGCAGGCGGTAAGACGAAATAGCACAAGCGTTGATCTCCCACTTGGGAAGCTTATGAGGGTATGAGTTTGTCTTTCTGGGGCTAAAACAGCGAAAGGTTCGGGCGAAGCTGCAGCTAGCACGCCGCAGCTGGCGGAGGAGAGAGAGCAAAGGAGAGTTGTTTGCCCGTTTCTGTCACGTGCCCCGCATATCGCGGTCTTCGATGACGTCATCGTGCGAGGGAGTCCGTCCGACTCGGATTTCCGAAAAGCGTTCCGCCGCCCCCGATCTGCGAGTCCCAGCGAACTTTGCAAGTCGCGGCCCGAATCGGCACTCACGATCAGCGCAAGTCCCGCAAAGATGCACTGGCGTCTATCGGACCATCTACCAAACTGGCTCTCGTTCTTCAGAACGCCGCCTGCGCGGACGGCCAAGCACGTTCTCTGGGGCGTCCTGCTCGGCGTCTCGTTCTCCATCGCCTCAACCTCTCTCGCGCTCGAATACCAGAAACGGAAGCGCCGACGCGAGGAGGAGGGTTTCGAGCCGCGGCCTATCCAGCTTCGGAGCGACGAGGTCGTGCGAGGTGTGATAGGACTGATCGGTGAGCACTGAGCCGACGGGGGTGCAATTCTAGCCCATGAAATGGAGATTTGACACTGTGCTACAGGTAACACGCCGCTGGTACGGATAAACTCTCTGAGCGATGCACTCGGTATCGAGGTGCTCGGGAAGGCGGAGGTGAGCCAGCATATCTGTCCCGAAACGGTCGCCACGCGTCAAACGTCCGTTTTTCAGTTCCTCAACCCTGGAGGGAGTGTCAAAGATCGGGTAGCGTTGCGAAGTGCGTACAATTTAAGCTTCGTATAATTCGAAGTATTTCTGAGATCCTTTTGCAGTGATCGAGGACGCGGAAGAGCGGGGTTTGCTCCACCCCCACACCGGCTCTCGCATCTTTGAAGGCACAGTCGGCTCCACGGGGATCTCCATTGCCACGGTAGGGAGAGCGAAGTGCGTTCACGTCATTATTGCGACAGTGTATATCGCGTTCCGTTGCTCAAGGAGACGTAATACTTAGAGGTTACGATACGAGTGCGTGACCTATTCTGTTCGTCGGCTTGTAGTGCGCTGAGAAGCCTTGTGTCCGTCCAGCGATAATAATGCCCGACGACGTGGCCATGGAGAAGGTGCAAGCTCTGCAAGCTCTCGGCGCTGACGTCGAGCGCGTCAGGCCGGCGAGCATCGTAGACAAGAAGCAGGTAGACCGTCTTTTCCCCCTCGCTTCTGGCATGCATCCACTGACTATCAATCCATCTGCAGTTCGTCGTATGCGCCATCTCCTAGCGTCCAGTGACATTCTGACTGATCATACCTTCGCCGTCCAATGTCTACCCGCCGCAGAACCTCGCGAAACAACGGGCCCTCGATTTCGGCCGGCACCATCACAAGGACGACAAGGAAGACAGGCCGCACCTGATCCCTACGAGCTCGCAGTCGGTCATCGTCACGACATCCGCTTCTCCGCCATTGGAGTCGGTGTCCTTAAAAGACATGGAGGAGGTCGAGCACAAACCACGAGGCTTCTTCGCGGACCAGTTCGAGGTTCGTCTATGTAACGCTGTGAAGCGCCAGCGCGGCGCAGGTGTAGTGGATAACTGACGACCTGAACGTTGGACAGAACCGCTCCAACTTCGACGCACACTTTTCGGGCACCGGCCCAGAAATCTGGAGGTAAGGATATCCGAAAATTCTGTACATGGGCCACCTACCAGCTACATCATGTCGTGGATTTCCTGACTTACGCGGTGGATATCTTCGTGACAGGCAGACGGACGGGCGACTGGATGCCTTCGTCGCTGGTGCAGGTTCGCACTCCGGACACGGACTAACGCATATGCCGCATGGAGACTGAACCATCGCACACAGGTACGGGCGGCACTCTGGCTGGTACCGGCCAATACCTCAAGTCGGTTGAGCCCTCGATCCTCGTCGCGCTTGCCGACCCGGAGGGCAGCGGCCTATTCAACAAGGTCAAGTACGGTGTCATGTTCGATCGCAGGGAGGCCGAGGGCACCAAGCGGCGGCACCAGGTCGACACCGTCGTCGAAGGCATGTCAGTCATCTCCCCGCTTTCCCGCACAGTGCCAAGCTCGAAAGCTGACGGGCCCTTCCCCCTCGCAGAGGCATTAACAGGCTGACGAAGAACTTCGAGCTCGCGCTTCCCATTGTGGATGATGCGTTCCGGTGCGTGCGGCCGTTCACTCATTCACGCGGCGAGGCAGAGAACGGCGGGACTGACGGTTCGATCTGGTCGGTCGCCAGCGTGACGGACGCGGAGGCGGTCGCAATGTCGCGCTACCTCGTGCACCACGACGGCCTGTTCTTGGGCTCGTCGAGCGCGTGTAACCTCGTCGGATGCGTCAAGCTCGCGAAGAATATGGGCTGGCGCAACGGCGAAAGGGTGGTGACGATACTGTAAGCGTTCTGTACCCCATTTCTAGCGCGAAGCATGTTCACGGATACGCGACGGATTTACCTAGATGCGACTCGGGCAGCCGACATTACTCCAAGGTGAGTCAATAGCTCCGTCCAGCCACTGTTGCCGACCCCGAATCTGACCGGCGTTCTTGATCAGTTTTGGAACGAGGATTATCTCCGCAAGAACGGTATTCCGAACGACCCCAGCATTATCGAGAACATGTTGGCGACATGAATCACAGTCGTGGCGCAGCAACGCATGCTATGCCGCACATGCAATCGCTCAACGGGTCAATTAATGCATGTGCGCGCCTGGCAACCGCGCGCAGGAAAGAGGAAGCGTTAAATAACATACCTCACTCAGTGTCCGCGCCCGGACCCTTCTCGCTTTCTGTACGGCACCGCCCGCCATACCTGGGCTCCCGCGGTGGACGGTGCAACGCCCGAAAATGAATTGGATAGGACTGCGCGCTGCCCTCTGCCCTTGAAGGAATTCACGTATCGCCCGTGCTCGCGGCGGGGCTTGCATGTATATGCAAGATTAATCACTCCGTCGTCCTGTGCGAGAGCGGGTTTTCCGAAGGCGGGTGCCGCCGGCATCATATCTATGTGAGGTTGGTGTCGCACTCGGAGGATGCCCCCTGTGAATGGGAAGTTGGGAGAGAGATCGACGAAAGCTACCGATCAAAGAGCACAGAATAATGACCTCCGAGTCGGGCGGTACATTGCTTGTCGCCTTCTCTCAAAGTGGGTTCCAAAGTGGGTTCCAGTGTGGATTCGGCGTGATGCATATGGAGTCGCACGTTAGTTGCACGTTAGGCCGGGAAGCGTTCGGCAGGATGTATGTGTCAAGATGAGGATGATATGGGGCACGCTTCGGAAAGCCCTCCGAGTCCGACTTGCAAGATGAGCGCGAGCGACGTGCAAGCCGACCTGATCCATTCTCCCCGAGCCGCTCGGGAGGACCGCCCTGGGCTTGGCGTTCGTCAAGCTCGGGACTCGACTCGGCTGTGTCTGGAAATGTCTGAAAAGATCTGAGGAGGCGGTTTTTGTGGACCCCCCCGCCGTTATTATTTCGCAGGGGCGGAGACGTGCCGGAACTTGCCGAACCAGATCACTAAACATAACATTCGCCTGTAAATGATAAATCCATTCGGTAATTCCATACCGGGTTATTCCCGATACGCCACGACTGCCCTGACCGCCACAGTGCTCAGTCTCTGGCCACAACGCCGTTGAGGGGTTGATTTCTTTTGTGGGTTAGGTACGTAGTACATTAGGTGTTAGTGTCTGTGCGAACGTCCGTGTCTCGTATACCTACAACAATAAGCGTGGTCCGTGGCCGTAGTCCGTCGGTGGCTGATAAGTCCGTAGGTAGTCCGTAAAGTGAGAGTCCGGTAGGTAAGGTCCGTCCGTAGGTAAGTCTACAACTGCGATGTCCGAACGGCGAGCGAAAACGTCCATCTCGTAGCCCTACAGAGTCTGTTGGTTAATAAACGTGAAGGGTCGCGATCAACGACGGTAGGGAGGGAACGAAGGGGCGAGAACTGAAATGTCTCGGGTACGAAGTAATAACTAGACGAGGCGTGATTATAAACACAACATTGTAATCGTAATGGCGACTAAGCAGAAAAGTAAGGCAAGTAAGCGATAAGGTAAGGACACGGTGCAGTTGCGACGACGGCGACGGGAGTGTTGAGCGATGAGTGTTCTACAAATGGGTTGCGAGCAAACAAAAAAATGTCCAAAGCGTGCAGTATGAGGTCCGTGATAGTGTGTCCGATGGTTGGTCCGTATACAGGAGAGGTCCGACGTTCGCGGAATGTCCGTCAAATCGCGAAAATGCGTGTTAAGAGCAGGAGTAAAGCGAATGAAAAAGGTCACGCGTCGAGCGAGGTGAGAATCGCTGGAGCGTGTGTCGTGTCAACGTCGTTTTCAGGTTGTTCATGACGAGAAGTCGTCCACGGGCGTGGTATGGCCGTGCGGCCTCGGCGCGACAGAGATGGCGGACAGCATCGCCTGGATCTTGGCAGATATCGCATCTACGTATGATGTTAGCGAGTCAATACGGAGGCGCAGGGGGTGGGGTCGGCATGGCGACCCGCAGTTGACGCACTCGCGATGGGGAAGGTCTGTCCGAGAAGCGACGTCGCATACGCGATCAGGTTGATCTCCGTGCGGACCTCCGTTGCGTTTCCCAAGCCCCAGGTGCGCTCTTGTATCTGCGCCTCCCGGATCAGCACCTCCGCTGCGGAAAGCCCGCATGACTACCAACGACGGATCATCAGCGAAATCAGTTCTGGGGAGAAGGAGAGAGGCGTGTTTCGGCTAGTACGTACGGCGAGGATGGGATCCAGGAACGCGTATTCGGACTCAGCCAGGTGTCGCATCATTCCGACGCAGGCGCGGGCGGCTCGGAGGCACTTCTCGTGCGCGACGGGCGACGCCTCGTCGAAGCGGAAGAGGAGGCGGATAAGCGACGTCTGCGCGAGCGAGTGCGCGGTGATGAGCGTGTGCTTCATCTCAGGCACGGCCGCGTCGAGCTGGTTCGGCGGGAGGAGCGTGCCGATGAAGCGCGAGACGAGGCCCTCGAAGCCGAAGAACTGCTGCTGCAGGGGCTGGGGAAGCGCTGTGCGATGAACCGTCAGGCATCTGGAGAAGAGGCAGGGCAAGACGCGCTTACTGTCTACGGTGCCTGCGCTCGCGTCCAGGCTGGATGACAGCCTGTGAGCGTATGCAAACAGTGCCGACGCCTTGGCCCGCAGCGCAGGCATCGAGTACCCTCCAAAGTAGGTCGCCTGTCCGGTGAGAAACGCGCGCACGGTATCAGAGCCACTAAGCTCCGGCATCTGTCCCTGCAGGGAAAAAAAAGTTCAGCGCACCGAGATGGGACGTCATTAGCAGCACACTTACCGCCTCGTACTCCTCCACGCTCTGCGGCCACGGGATGCCGATCGAGAAGGATGGGTCGATATCTCGAGGAATGGTCGACGCAGTGCCCAGCGCGACGGACCAGCACCGGTCGAGGTTGTACACCTGCCAGAACGCGAGCACGCGCTCGCCCTCGTCCACGTTGTCCTTCGGGCGCTCGAGCGGCGCGGGGCAGAACGGATCCCATGCAGGCGAGTCCACGCGCAGGGGCTGATGCAGGCCAACCTGGATCGCAAGCGCAGCGCCGGCGGACGAATAGTAGCGGCCCTCGAGGAGCCGGCCCGTGGTGAAGAAGTAGAGGGCGAGGAGGCACGAGGCCTGGATGGCGTCGATCGCGCGGGCGGCGTCCGCGAGCGCGTCCGGGAGGAGCGCGATGGTGCGCCGGAGGTAAAGCTGCTCGTGCTCGCTGAGCGGGCCTGGGCGCGAGAAGAAGCAGGACCAGAGGTAGATGGCGTGCATCAGCGCTGGGTGGCGCTGCTCTGCGGGCGGGAGCGTGAGCGACTCCCGTAGGCGGTCCTTGCTGATCTCGAAGCCGAGCTGTGAGCCCGCGTGGGGGAGGAAGATGTCCAACCTGCGGGGGGAAACACGCGTCAGGGCCGCAGTTGGTGGATTGTCTTTGGTGAGTCTGTGCTCACAGGATCTGGGCGAGCGCGATGGGCGGCTCCGTTGGCTCTTCCATCTTGAACGTCTCCTGCCCGGGGATCGGTGAGGGCGAACCCTGGAAAAGGGCATGCTCAGCGAGTGCCTCGGCGTGTGCGAGATCGTCACCGACCGTGAACGTGCTGAAGTTGACCGAGTACGGCGTGTTCGGGCGATCCAGATCTGGCGAAGGGGTGAGCACGTCCGGTCCTGCACGAGAGGGACCGGGGACCGGAAACATGCCTGGCATCACATGCGGCATGGCAGGGAGGCTGGCAGGGGAGCTGCCCGCCGAGGCTGAGGACTCGTCGTAGAAGGAAGCGTGAGGGTCGTAGAGGGTCACCGCCGGCGCAGCATGTTCAGGATCTTCGAGTTCGCGGATCCTTTGCTCGAGCCGGGCGATGTGTTCTCGTAATAGCTGTGTCCGCGTCTTGCCTTTGCCTGGGATAGGGGCTCAGTCCCGTACGCGACGCAAGTCAAGACACGGACTCACCATCGTCGTACTCGCACAAGTCCCCTTTCTTGCTGCGAAGACATTGCTGGCATGCAGGCTTGGTGCCGTCACAACGCTATGTATAATTAGACGCTCGATGAGCGACGATCATCCTGTGACAGCTCGGGGTCCGGACACGCACCATCTTCCTCTTCCTGCAAGGCACGGACACACATATTCTCTTAGATGACATCGGGGCCGGGAGCAGAAGCGGCGGGGATAACTGACCTGCATCGGAGGCACGCCTTGCCCCGCTGAAGCGCGGTGGTGTTCAAGGCCGCGGTGTGGTGGTTGGACTCCGTCATATCTGGGGGAGGGGGCCACGGGCGTCAAGGCCGATGTGGGGAACCGGAAGGGCGAGAAAGGTCTGAATAGGGAGGGGAGAGCGGGGCTGACGTCCCGAGGAAGTATGTCGGAGAATGGAAAGACCTCCGAGACCAAGGCTTGGGCACTCCCTACCCCGGGGCACCGACCCTTATAACAAGCGGAGGGGAGAAAAGGCGAAAGAAGAGGAGGACGAGGGCGGACGCTGGATCCGGTATGGGCATGCTTAAAGGGCTCCCGCCGCTGTGGTCGGTTGGGCGGTGCGGCAAGCATGGGCCGGTGCGCTTGATGCACCTCTGCCATCATCAACAAATCGGCACACAACAGAGTCAAATTTCTCCACCCAGTGGCTTTGCGAGATTAGGGGAGATTCGCGGACCCTCCCAGCCCCGCCGCCGCTTTCGCCCCGATGCCGCATCCAGGAAAGGACGGGGTTTCAGTTCGGGAGCGCTCTCAGGCCGGCGTGTACTGCCCGCCCCCTCCGTTTTCTCGCGAGCCTTCCGTTCCGGGTATAGGAGAACATGCGTACTCGACAGGGGCGAGTAACGTGTCCCCCGCCACCCGCGACCAAACGCGACATCGTGTCCCAGCGCGAACGGAAATCCTGCAACGTCGGGAGGAGAAAAAAGCAGATTTAGAGAGCAACCCTCTGGTACGTATCCTTTCCGGCCCGCCTCCGACCCGCTTCTTCGTCCGCGCGCGCTGATCTTGGCAGGTGCACAATGCGGTGCTCGAGGCTTACCCGAACAAGACACAACAAATCATCCGGCCATTTCGACGGTGCCAGGGCTTCTTTCTTTCCTCTCCCCTGCATGACCACGCTCCAGGGTCGTCGACGAGGCACGCATGTAAGTACGTTAATCGAGGGCGCACCCCTCCTCACGCATCGAGAACAATCAACAACATGGACACCCACTACGTATCACTCGCCGCACTCGAACAAACATCGTCGAGGGGCTGATCAATATCGAGAGCTGCTTCTGCTTAATAAATAATAATATCGCCCGCTGCTTATTCCGACCTCTTCTGAGACTGCGCGAACCCTATTCAACGTGCTTCCGTGGGCTTCGCCCCATCCGCGCGCAGTGATGAATGGACGGCCACCCAGCTGACCCTTGCTGACCCATCCACGTACACACCAGACGTCCGACTCGTATAAGCGACTTGGCTACGCCCATCAAACCTAGCTCTAGCCGATGAGCCTCCTCCAGCACAGACCAGTTGTGCAGATGGGGCCGGTGGCTTTCGGCAACGATAAGGTGGGTCTCAAAATGAGGTACGTCCTGTTCGACCTACGGATATCAGTCTAAAAGACTGCCATACTTAATGACCGCATTATCTCAAAACTCTGACCCGGTCACTATCTAAACTGGTCCCGGTCAATCGACCTCCGGCCTCTTCTGAGTTATACTCAGCACATCGCCGCGCGCGAGCGTCATCCCATGTAATACCAATGCTATCTACCGTTGTTCATTCTCCGCGAAAGCTGAGCACACTACTTCATTGGGCGCGCGCTGATTTGTACGCGTTCCTACATACAATCGTGGGGATGCATCGTAGCCTGATTCTCACAGTAAGAGGTGCTAGCTATTGCCATGATCAGCGCCCAACGCGCGATGGGGACGCATGCGTGCGTGCTGCGTGCTGCGTCGACGTTAGCGCAGGTCGCGATCGTAGTCATTGCATCCACTCGTTCTGCATGCTAATCGTTTCAATCGCCTGAAGAACCGAGAAGCTGCATGCCCCGAGTCGCCGACGTCAGCGCGGTAAACGCTCAAACGTGCCACAATCCCTCAGCCTCGAGTTAATATGTAAGTACACCGACTCGCTCGCCCTGGGCCCAGCATCGATCGGGAGTAACCTCGGAAGCATATAATCCCGCTCACTCCTCCGCGCGCCCACGCTCGCGACGGCGATGAGCGGCAGACCTGCCTTCCTTCATCCAGGATCCACATGGTCGCACATTCGCGGAACCCTCCGACGCGTCGGACATTGATCCCAACGCACTGGCGAGAGAGTATTCATTATCGTGCTTCGCATTATCCCGTCCGTTCGCCCTTTCATCCCGATTTAGCCTCCTGTGGGCAAGTAATAGGGCGGACCGAGTTTCTCATGATTTCTGTAAAGTTACATATGATGATGTTCCGAACGCGAGGAGACACCTCAGACGACCCTTCCGCTCGTCGTCGCCAGAGGTCCGGCGCGAATCTACGATCCTCTACACAGACACAGCACAGCACAGGCACAGCATGCATTTATTCGCAGCCGCATCGCACGTCATCGGTGCGGGGAGGAGGAAAGAAGGTCTGCGCCACAGCGGTGCAAAGAAGCAAGCTTGCCCCCTGGACCCCTCGCTCTTGCCCCTCATCACCTCGACCACGCATATACTCGTATGCTTGCACAACCAGGCCTGCTCACCACCTCCGACACAGCAGAAAATACACACGCAAATGACGCTAACCGTTAGTGGCGTTCCACTCCGTCGTTCACGGCGCACCAAGCTCGAGCGGGTGCCTCAGACTCGAGACCCTTCGCGAACAAAGTCCCGGAAACTGATAGCGTCTCCGACCGCCTCGGCGGTGGCTCAAGGCATTCGGGACGATGTAGCGAAAGCAACGCATGCCAGTCGCATCAACGCGACGCGAGAGTGTTGTGGCTAGCACAGCCCCTGCATACCGACGTACGCGGAGCCCTCCCAACCACGCCCCGCGAAGCTCGAAGCTCGAAGCCTCGTCCAGCGGTCCGGTGCTACTTTCTGCAGACGCCTTGATGCAATTGCCGCGACCACAAGGCGCCGCACCGGGGCTCAGCATGCGGAAACACCATGATGGCCTGGACTTCCCAAACCCTGCCGCGGCGCAACGCACCGGATTAACCTCACTTCGCGGCTTTCCTTGTTTCTCAGCATCCACGCCTCTGATCGGCGAAAAGGGCGAATACCACTAGCCGAACGGTCCACCTGCCAGAGTACTCGCGAACCGGACTATCTGCAGCCCCGATGTTTCCTGCTGTCGATTCTCGGAAATCGGAAATGCGAACCCGTCGCTTGCGAACGCGTGACGACCGGATTATGTCGAAGCTGACCTCGCTGGGAAATACGCACGACATAGCCTCGCAGAGTCGTCTCTGCGTTTGGTGGGCGTTAGCGTATGCGGAACCTCAGAAGCACCGCCAACGCTGACGTCGTGATCGGGTACGACGTGGCAAAAATCCTGTTTTCTCTGATTTATCGATGCATCTGGTCGGGCGATGCTGACGAAAGTCCTCATTCCCAGCTCGGAGGCTCTAGAATCCCGAATGGCTACCAGAATTCTTGTCGACAAATGCTGGGTGCTTCCTGAACACGCCTCAGAGTGTCCCAGGATCGTACACCTGATTCATGGACGATCTGCGCATTTGGGATATACCTGCGATGCCGGCGACTGTCTCATCATTTTATCAGGCTTGGTTGTCTGACTCAAGGCAGATTCTCCTGCGAGTGTACAATGAAGGTGGACTTGACTACCCGGTCGCTCTGAGGTCTCGCGCTCGGGAAGGTTCCCCTCTGTCGCCCAAATGTGTCTCGGCCTCAGGGTTAATCTCCAAAGATTCACGGGGCTACGACCGTCTCGATCACACTATCCTCTGATCCTCGGAAATCGACCCGCCTGGCCTCGTTGACGCGCTGGTTGCAGGCGTCTCATTGAGGATCGTATGGCAGCGTGTAATTTCGATAATGTACGGCATCCTTGGGAAACATCTCTACGCAAAATGTTTACTATTGCGAGGATATCCACTACCTGCAAGCTCCAACTCCAAATGATGCTGCTTCAGATGCTTTTTCATGTCTCCGATTTCACGCACCGTCAATCCATGAAACTTGGGATCGGTGGATGCCGCGGTGCTCAGGGTCTTGGTCCGCACCCAAGCGATGACCGTCCGTAGATACGTACAGGTTCGGGCATGACACAAGGAACCCGCGTCGAATTAGCGATTCGTTGAGTGAGGAGGAACTTTTACTCGTGGACTCTGTCGGTCCTCACGGTTCTTGCTCTCCACGTAACAATCGACCGTCTGCAACTACGGATTCCAATCACATGACGCTCGCAATCCGGCCAACCATACCACACCCGCTCACGCCCCCGAGGTCGTGCCTTTGACGTTGCCGGAGGTGAACTCTGCCATGGATGAGCAACTTCACGGCACGAAGCACTGAAACAGCGTGCACCCTCGTACGATCAGGTGAGCATCTTTACGAATTGTGGACAGGTCCCACTCCCAAGTCCGGTGCGTAATGATAGCAAGCAACTTCCACAGGCACTACCTCCGGTCCGCGCGCTCGAAATCGGCGCCGCTTCTGCACTCAGTATACCCATCCGGATTCTTCGGTGTCAACCCCTTGACGTCTTCCGTCCGCCGCCACTGCCTTCTCCCGTTGGCGGTGAGGCTTCGGAAGCGTGGAACGTGCAGATCCGTCTTCCGACCATTGTATTCATGGAAATGACTGGTCGACCTCCGCGAACATGCAACGGGCGATTCTGAGACACGTTTCGACAAGCTTCAGTATTTATTGGACACCTGACAACACGTCGGTCCCGGCGTGATTGGCTTGCTAACCGTAGGTCTTTTTGGATCAAGGACATCGAAGGAAGGTTGTAAGCATGCTCCACAATGGGTCCCTTCCAGCTCACCAATACTTTCCGGATGGATTAGTGGCGCCCTCGCATGCGTTATGACGAATCCGGCTGGTCGCGCATCGGGTGCGATGCACACTCCGGATCCGCAGTGTCCGCACCAACCAATTCGCGGTTCGGACAGGTCTCAGTTCGTGCTTGTTTGGATCTGTGATAACCTTCCTTGACGTAGATCGTCGAAGAGCGCGATTCCGACGTGTCAGGAAAGTTCCAAGGAACGCCAATTTCATTTCGCCGTCCCCGTCTCCAGGACATCGGGACACCTTGACCTCCTAGGGAGCGACAGACTGTCAAGACGGCTCGGAGTCTGATATCACGAGGAAGTCTCGGCTATGAATATGTACGTCCATCATCCTCAGGATCACCGCACTCCTCGGCCCAGGTTCTATGAATAGAATGTCCAGGCTAGCGTTGCGCCTTCAAGTCTATTGTTGTGGTTGGCGGTATCATCGACACTTTATCAGGTGGCCACGAGGCCTCGTTATCAGCGGTCATCTCGGAACGTCTACGTCTGTAGCATGCACAAGCGGTAGAAGCTGCGATCATCCCTTCACGCCCAATGGGTAAAGAAGACACGCTACATGACTTGTAGCGTGCTAGTGGATTATCCTTTCGCTGGCATATCGATCCGGGCAAAATGCGATTGCCGGTGCACGCCGTACGTGACCTGTGTGAGATGGCGACTGGAAAATAATTATGTGATACAAAACGATAGAGCATACAAAGGAGCAGAAAGCACGAGGTCACATTAAGCCATCTCTTCGTCGGAGTCTTCGATGATCTCTTTACTTTTGCTATAACACGTGTTCAATATACCATTAGCCAGCTGGCGAAGGAGTGGCAAAGGAGTGGTTACGCACAAGACTTTCCTACTCTTGCCAACAGCACCAGGGGCTGGCCCATCGTCATCTTCGTCCTTAACGACGGTCTTATTATTTCGTTGGCGCTATAAGCCAAAGCATGTCAAAGTCTTGCCGGGAACGACGAGTCTTTGATGTACGGACCTTTCGAGGGGGTTTGCTATCGTCTTCCTCGCCGCTGAATAATGCTTCTTCTTCCTCCCCATCTTCCGCCGCGCCGCCTTTGCGTGTCTTCGTCCGCCTCTTCTTCTTCGGCTCAGTTTCGTCGCCGCTGGCTCCGCCTTCCGTTTTGACGCGACGTATAGCCCGCTTAGCCTTCTTCTCCTTCTCTTCGTCGCTCTCCATCTTAACTTCTCTGCTCCATTCCAAGGCCTGCTCCCTGGCCAGCCTCCGCTCCTCTGCGAGTCTCTTAGCGGCAACTTCCAGCTCTTGAGCCCTCTCGCGCTGAAAACCATGTCAGAGAATTCGGGAATGAATAACCGGGGTGAATATTCACCTCCATAGCCTCCTGACGCTGCCGTTCCTCCATTCTCCGCTGTCGTGCAGCGTCTAGTTTGGCCCGATGCTCGCTCTCATATTGCCGTTGTGTTGCTAGGTGCTCTTCGCCTCTCCGCAGCATGCTTTCACCATACCTTCTCCGTTGATCTGCGATCTCAATGTTATACGGTAACGGCGTGGACTTGTCGCTGGCAAGTGAGGCGAACATCCTGCTTTTGTGTGAGTAGTAGGTAACGTGGAAGTCAACATGTAACGCACTTCTGAGCGTGAGTGGCCTGACCAATGGCCTTCTCCAGGTCTGCAAGAGAGCGTTTGGCGGGTGGTATGGAAAAGAGCAGCTCGGCGGCCTTCTGCTGTATCATGGCAATGTTGTAAACGATGGCTTTGTCGTGAGGATTCAAGTACAACGCCTAGCGCATGGATGATTAGCCAAATATGGACGTAAGGTCTAAAGGCGCTCACGTTTTGGGCATATTTCAAGGCAGTGTTCATCGCCGTGAACGATAGTTCCTTGTTCGCTTTGGCGTACCACGACCGACAGAGGCAGAGTAGCGCGGCCACGTTGTGATTGTCGTAGAAACGCCGCGAAGCAGTCTCGTACTACGACGGCGATCATCAGCTACAATGCATGACCGGAGATGGGGGGACGTACGCTCTCAATCGCCCGATCATACTCGTCCCTCGCGTAATGACAATGCCCGATGTTCATGTACACGCTCCCGTCGTAAAGCGTTTCCCGGACCTTGCTAAAAATCTCCAACGCGTCGCGCAAGTCGGTCGCTCTCTTCAGTGGGTCTGGAGCCGGTGCGCCGGGCTGCAACGCTCCGTTCAGAGTGCCTAGCGCATCCTCCGCCGTGACGATCGCGAGGCCCTGCGCCGCAACAGCACACATCGGATCAACGCTCAGCGCGTTTTCGTAGAACCCGGCGGCGCGCTGGAAACCCTTGCGCCTTTCCGCGATACCCTGGGAGGAACTGTCGCGCGATTCGCGAGCTTGGTGATAATGGATGTGGGCGGTAGCGCAGAGTGCGTGGACGTCATGCCGGTCGAAGTCCTTGATGGTGTTATAGAGGAAGTCCTTCGCGGGCTTGTACATTCCTGCCTCGATGAGGAAGTGCGTATAGAAGGCTCGTAGGTTGAGGTTCCCGTTCTGAGAAGACAGCGCCTGCTTGATGAGATCGTGCGCCTCGTTCTTTTCGTTCAAGTCCGAAAGCATCGCTGCCTGTCGAATCTTGGCTTCACGGCGATGAGTCGACCTCGACAGCGATAGAGACACCGCTGTACTTACCATCAACATATTCCGGATGCCTCGCCAGCAGCTTCTTGTAAGCCTCTGTCGCCATGCCTTGCTCACCCTGGTCCTCGTAGCACCGCGCAAGGTTATACAGCACACTCGTCGCCATGCCTTCACCCACCTCACCCTGAAGCGTGCTCGCACCCGTCAAAGCTTGTTCATACAACTCCCGCGCCTCCACATGCGCTCCATCTAGATGGCTCAACACGCCCAGATTATTCAGCAACCGTGGATCCACATCAACCTGCCCGTCCTGCTGGCCCTGTGCGTGTTGCGCCTCGTTCCGCCTCAGAGCCTCCCGCAGCGCACGCCCGGTTCGCTCGAGCGATTCCGTCTGCCACAATCGCGCAATCTCGGCGTGCATGTCGACGTCGTCCGCGACGCGGCGCTGCGACCGATTCAGCGAGAGCCCGGTGCCGTTGAGGCTCCCGTTCGTGCGTGAGACGTCGCTGAGACCGAGCATCTTGTACACCTTCTCATACAGCTCGCGAGCCTTCGTCTTCTCATGGGCGGCGTCCGAGGAGGATATGCCAGGACGCGGGTGCGCGCGCAGAGAGGCGAGCATCGCAGTGGCCTCGACCGAGTTTGGGGCATTCGGAGGGGAGAGGAGCGTGTCGAGAGTGTGGATGGCGGCCGCGTATTCCTCTGGTAGCACGCATGATCAGCGGGCGGTTCGACAGAGTGAAAGACGCGACTCGCCTTTCTTGACGTGCATCTGCGCCAAGCCAACGGATGCGAGGACGGTCTTCGGATGGGGCTCCTTCGTCGCGGTTTCAAAATATTTCGTGGCGTTCGCCACGTCGCCTTTCGCATGCGAGACTCTACCGGCGTGGATGTAACCCTCCGTCAGCACAGAGAGCGTGTCGGCGTATTGTATTGTGCGTTCTGCCAGCTTCATCGCCTAAACGATTTGAACCAACATATTAGCCAGAAAAACACCATCGTGTGAATAGCCACGCACCCGGTCGTACGCGCCCTTGCGGAGGAAGACATCACAGAGGACGTTCGCTGCGGCCGCGGCCCGCTGGTTGCTGCCCTTGAACGCGCTCTCCACGTATTTGGTGCCGGTGACGAATAGATGTATACGCTCCGCATCGGGATGCTTCAATTCATCTTTGCTGGCGTTGATAGCTTCCAGACCTAGAAGGAGCGCCGCGGACCACTCTGTTGGATTCTATACCACAACATAACTATCAGAGGGTGCGCATACGACAGAGTGAGTGCCCACTTACGACCTCCAGACTCCGCTGCCACGCCGCCTTGGCTTTCGCCTTATGGTCCAACTGCCACAAACACATTCCAATGCCTACGCGGGGGTCCGGTCGACACGAAGGATTTAGTTCAAGCACGCGTTGGAAAAGTCGCAACGACTCTTTGAATTGCCTGCGGACATAGTAAATGCGAGCCTTCCCAAGCAAGGCGACCACATTGGTAGGTTGCGCGGCGAGAACCGATTCGAACGAGCGCAATGCGTCGTCCATGGATCGGGTACCAAGTTGATGTATGCCTGCAGCAGCATGAGACATGGACGGGGTATCAACGGGACATTGTTCACCCACCTCGGGTCAGGAACGAGAGGAGCTGTGTCCTCCGGTCCGCATCGCTCGAAGTGGACTTGTTCAGGTGGATGGCGGCTTCGTTGTGGTAATGTCCCTTCGGCTTTTCGGACCTCATATCGTCCTGGTCTGCAAGGAAACGCAGAGGTTGGCATGTGAGCGATGGGGCGATGGGCAACGCGAGGGACAGACTGACGAGGATCGGGCAATATGAGCTTGGGCGCTCTCCGCGCGTTAGCCATCTGTAAGTTGGCAAGGAACGCGTGTATTGGTTTCGAGCCAGCAGAATCCTGTGCGCCTGAACGCGCAGACCCGCGAAGCCGTCAGCAGCGGATTAGTGAAGCATGGCTCGGCAAACGTACTTTCGATTGCAGTCTGCGCAATAGTCTCTGCCTTGTCTGCATGTCCCTTCTTCCAGTACTCCAGCGCAAGCGTGGTCCATACCCAAGGACTACAGCGCGAGTCCTTGATCACTTCGAGCAGGTCTTCTACATTCAGGTCGAGGTCATCTAGATCAATGCCTACTTCTTCTCCGGCGCCAATGTCAATGTTGATAGTTCGACCAGAGGAAGATGCTTCAGCGTTGCTCATACTGGCACGGTTGTCACAAGAAACGGCAGTTCAGACGGGGGGCCGCGATCACAGGATAGAAAGACGAGAAGCGACGTTCGTATGGACGGTCTGATGCACAGTGCCACGACCAACTGCAAGTTCGTCGGTCAGCACTTAAGTCTTGCCAGGAGCAGGGGACCTCGAGACTCGAAGAGAGAGCGACCGATGGCTGCACTGCCACCCGGCAGCGTCGTCCGTCCACTTTCCCAAAATTTCCACGTTTCCGCCTGCACAACGGACTAAAACTCGTCTGCATCACACCAAGACACGGTGTTGGCGTTTATACGGCGGAGAAAAAAGCAGATAAAAAGGGCCTGGCCGGGAATTGAACCCGGGACCTCCTCCAAACGACTCAAGTCCCTAAGAAGGAATCATACTACTAGACCACCAGGCCGTTGTGAGAACTCACGCTTAAGCTTATATAGATGCCTACACAGGCACGGCGGTAAACTCTTCAGTTACCTATATGGCACCCAGCGCTGCATTAACCTATTTCAATCCTTGGACTTGGGCAAAAACCGCCCATTCCATCTCATAATGCCACGGCACGGAACGCGCTGGGCGCTGACAGGATACCAGGTCCACCGCAGTGTTGGCCGGATACTGGGAGGGATATAAGGCAGCTAAGTATTGCAACTATAGCTTCGAGGTCCAACCATTTCCACAATGAAACCTGCAAGGGGCATCTTCGCCATCGCATCCACTATCCTGCTCGTCGACACTGCTGTGGGCACCCCATGCGCCAATCCCGAGCCTCTTCCGCGTTGCGTGCCACCTGCAGGAACAACAGCCTGCTCGAGCAACAGCGGTCCGCATTGTTCCGGTTGTTGTAAGCCTTCATCACCATGTTATACTCTCGTCGAGTTCTTATATTGCCTCCTTCGGAGGTCCCTCCTGACCGTAACCATCTGAGTTATGGAAGGCAAAGCCAGAGACATCGTTGTCGTCGACGGCGGAGGCGCGACGAGGAAACCAAAGAAAGATGGGAAACGTAGGGCCACCTCTAAAAGCTGGTACCAGGGCGTGTATTGAGGAGTCAAGAGATGCGAGTGATGCAATGAGCAGCAGCGAGAGCCTGCATACTGTGCAATCTGGTAATTGGCGAAACCCTACGATGGGAGCAGATAGTCCGGCCCGGCGCCGGGCATCCTCCAACGTTGCCCGAGCTCTTCCAGCGGGCCGTCCCCAGACGTCTCCCGCCGGTCTCGAGATCACTGCCATGGGTATATTTTCATGCCCAAGCGCACGACATGGGCCATTTATTCGCTTGCTCCTGACGGTCTGCCGTTCCGAACCCGACACCGACCATAATGTCCAGCCTCGCCCTCAGCCGATGCAGCGCACGGCGGATGATATCATCCAAAATTTTGCGCGATAATGTGACGCGTGGACGCACCATTCCGGTCATATATCGTCGGGCCATCAGCTCAAGCACCCCTGCATCCTCATCACCCACCTACGTCGACCAGGTGCAAAGCGTTAAGACCATGTCAGTCCTTAACTCTGCTTACACCAGTATGTTATGCTTAATTATTGTCATAGGGATCAAGTTCCTGCACCCAAGCCCACTCCCAAGCTCTCAGACTCGGTGTTCGAGTGAGTGTCCAGCGATGATTGTAATCGCGGAGCCTATCAGTGACATTCAACGCAGGATGTTCTCCATGAAGGGCAAAGTCGCAGTGGTGACGGGTGCCGGTAAGTCGTTCATACTATGTCTTCCTGTTTCTCTCCCTCCTTATGCAAACTGCCTCAGGAACCGGTATCGGATACCAGATTTGCAGAGCGTACGCAGAAGCAGGCGCTACCGTAGTCCTCGGGTGAGTTTGTGCGTCAATCCGATAGCATTTAGCTGAAAGTAGCATTTCCGTATAGATACAACTCATCCGCGAAGGCAGCAGAAGAGAATGCAGCCACAATCGCCAAGGATTTCGGTGTAAAGACGAAGGCGATTCAGATCCCTCAGGTACCCATCCCTTTCACTCTGCCGTCAGAGCTGCACGCTCATAGTAGCTTTGCTAGGCCGATGCCGAGAAGGTAGAGCAAGCCATCAAGTCGGTTGCGCAGGAGTTTGGGCGGCTTGATGTGGTGGGTCGCTCGAAGCCTGTAAGACATAGGAAGTTGCTCAGCTCACCCGGTGCTTTGGTAGGTGGTCGCGAACGGCGGCATAGGCGGATCATTCGACATCGCGGGTGCTTCGCTCGAGGACTGGAGAAAGGTTAACAGCGTGAATTACGACGGTGTCTTCTACCTTGCCCGAGTTGCCGGCACGATCTTCAAGGCGCAGGGCTTTGGCAACTTCATCGCGACCGCGTCCATGTCCGGCCACATCGTCAACATCCCGAAGAACCAGGCGGCGTACAACGCCGGCAAGGCGGCTGTTATCCACTTCTGCAAGAGCCTGGCGGTTGAGTGGAAGGACTTCGCGAGGGTGAACGTCGTCAGCCCCGGGTTCTTCGACACGAAGATGGGCGCCGGGCCGGAGGTTTTGAAGACAGCGCACGAAATGGCCGTTCTGGGTCGACAGGGCGACCCACGGGAACTCAAAGGAGTAGGTCCTCTCTCTCATAAACGTTGCCTGTTTCCTGACCCACGCATCACCATTCAGATATTCCTTTACCTCGCCAGTGACGCGTCAACGTTCACAACTGGTTCGGGTCAGTAAAGCCTCCACTTCCAGTCATCACGAATGCTAATCCGCCGCGACATAGACATCATTGTGGACGGCGGTTATGTTCTGCCATGAGGCACTCAACGTTTTCACTACTCTGGTCTGTATGGGTAATGGATTGAATGGAATAGCGTCTGTCACACTTGTGATATCTGACGTGGCCTGCGGTCTGTCCGGACTTGCCATTGCACCGAAGTGTGTTCTCCATATTATCGAAAGATTGCGTCTCGATCGGCTTGAATCCCTCGGAATGCGATCTATCCGCGAAACAGAGCCGACAACAAACCAGCCACTGCAATTCGTTTTCACGAGGAACTGCAACCCCAAATTCGTGCGAAATTTCTGTGAGAGCGTCGATTCACACTGCGTCCTTGCGGATCCTCGTACGTGATTGGGATTGGGGGACGTCCAATTAGCGCTTGTTTATGCTGTACATTGTATCTGCTGCGTTGCGCCACCGTTACGCCTTCATGCACAATGACATAGCCCTGGTAGGTATGGCCGGTTCGACCAGGTTTACACTCTCGCGTTCTCCTGGACACGTCGAGTATCATGCGTTCAAAATGAAATCACCCCCGGCAACTACGACGAAGAATGAGCCTCTCAGGATTCCGGGGGACTCAGATCATAACTTACCCGTGAATGCCTTGCCTCGAAGCTTGACGCGACCGCCTTCCTTACCGCTTTTGCCGTCCCACACAGCGCGCAGATCTCCGCGCCGCTTCGCACTGCCTTGTGTCGCCCGAAGCTCCACCTCTTCCATCTCCAAATGACCTACGCAGGTTGATCTCGTTTCACAGCACACTCGAGGGTAGCATATCACTCACTCCCTGCGGCGGCGATGAGACGGGGCACGAAGAACGGGACAATCGTGCAATGCGCAGACCCTGTTACAGGGTCCTCAGGGAGTTTGTCAGCGAGAGGCAGCACGCGAGAGTGGACGTGCGGCTGGGTGCCTTGTAGGTCCGTGGAGAGCAGGGTGGTCAGGATGACTGTCCGAGGGGTCAGAATCGGTGCCTAGACGGACTTTTTCAGCGATCTGCATATAAGGAATGGTGATTGAGCATGCTATACCAGTGCGGATTCGATGATGTCCACGTCTGCAAGGTGGACGTTGTCGGCCAACTCGAGCTCGAGCAGCACGTCGAGTCTACCCTGCACAGCCCGCTTGAGCGTCGCCTTACCCTCGAACGCCTCTGATACCGCCTCTGTGTACGTCTTGAAAGCAACGTACTCGCTCCCAACCTCGACGAAGTCGTCGGCAGGGAGGTTCAGCTCGATGTACCCGTTGAGCAGCCTTTCCGCCGTCAGCACGCCAGACAGGGTCGAGAACGATAGGTTTCGCTGGACCTCTTCCTGCGTCAACAGGATGTGCGACGTCGCGAGCGTCACGAGCGTTGCGTGTCCGCAAAAGCTCTCTTCGGCGACCGGCGTGAACCATCGCAGCGAGTAAGCGGTAACGGTGGCAGAATCGGATTTGCGGACGGCGAAGGCGGTCTTGGACAGTTTGACTTCGCTGTGAGCGTGATGGGATGTATGAGCTGATGGGTGCAGGGCATGCAGCCCGCGAGCGATCGTTTGCATCTCCTCATCGCTGAGCGGGTTGGAAAGAATGACTACGCCCGCGGGATTGCCGCGGGAGGGGGCATCGGCGAAGGCGTCAACGAGGAAGTACTGAACCGTGCGGGTAGGTGACATGACTGATTCAGAATCAAATATGCTGGCTTGAACGTACGTCGACGTTGTACTCGTTCCCATGGAAACGCCAGCACGTGATTAACGCGCGGTTTTCCTCCTCGCCTTTCCGCATGGCTCCTCGCGGTACAACTGAGTTTACCCCTTCGAAAAGGGGACGTATACTTGCGCTTAGAGAAGAGGGATATACATACCAGCAAATTGCAGAGAAAGTTGGAGCCTCTGCATCAGCATGCCAGAAGACTGTTCGACGTGATCAGATCTACCATACCCGCCAATACCCAGCTCGTATTCCTGGGATTGACGTCATCACGTATGCACCTAGGTATATATATAGCAAACATTATCAGGGTCCAATGGCGAGTCGGACGCAGTCCCGCGTTCACATACACTTAGGCAGCCTCCAGGTTCGATGCAACAGACAATGTATTCCGGATCTGACTGACATAATCTGCAGGTTCCTGATGCAGGATGATGGTACAACAGCGCGGGTGCGACGAAGATGTGGGGTGGACTATGAGTCGTGATGGCTAGGAATGGTGAGGGGAAACGGTGGGGATGCTACTACCTACTCTATATACGTGATCCTGCCTGTGTGATCCGTGATACAATAGTACAAACAACACTAAAGGTTGTTACAACAAACTGAAGCCCGCCGGGAGATTTAGTGATGCAATAAGATTAGCGAGGGGATGAATAGGATATGATGACTGAAGGCGAGGCGGTCCATGCAGAATAGATGCGAAATAATCGGCTGGATGAAGATCGAGAAGATGGTGGGGACTGATGATGGTGATGAGGAGAGGTTGGTGATCCAGTATGTTCAAGCCTTGCCCGCCATTACAGATGCAGGCGCAGCCTTCTTTGTCTTGGACGCGGCGGCTTTCTGAGGCGCCTTCACACCCGCCTTGGCCTTGACCTTCGCAGCTGCGGCCGCCTTAGCCTTCGCCTTCGTCGCCGCCTTCGCCGTACCTGCCCTACGCGCCTCCACGGCTGCGCCAACCGCGCTCGCGGCCCGTGCCTTGGCTGCCTTCGCCTTCGGCGAATCGTGCTTCGCGCGCGCGCTGCGCCTGCTGGGGGCCGAAGTCGGTTCCTGAGCGGCACCGTCCACGTCCATCGGCTCGGCGTCGCCTGTCTTACGGGGCCAGTCGGGCGGAAGCTGGATAACGGGTACCTCGAGAGGTGGCAGGTCCGGCACCATGAGGCGAACCTTCTCTTCCCAGTTGACGACGCCCTCGAGGAGCGGGGGCGGGTGCGGGACGGCGATCGTAGCCGTCGAGGAGGTAGAGGATGCAGCGCTGACGGCCGTCGCGGTGGATGTGGTGGAAATCGAGCGCGCGTGGCTCGGGCGCGGGGCGGCAGGTGCGAGCGTGGGCTCGGGCACGGAGGCTGGAGACGGCGCCGGGGTCGGGAGCTGAGCGGCGGCGGACTTGGCCAGTGCGCGCGCGATGCGAGCCGAGCCACGCACAGGGCGCGTCTCCTTCTGCTCCTTCTTCCTCTTCGCACCCCCGGGTTCGACTTTAGTAGCGGCTACGAGGTCTAGTGCAGGACTGGCTGAAGGGGTCGACACGGGCGTTGGTAGTGAGGGAGTTGGCAACGATTCCTTCGTCGATGGTGGGGTGACGGTTCTCGAGGCGGAATCCACATTTGAGACCGAGGACGCAGCCACCTTCCTCCGTTTTCTAGTTTGAATGGGCGCTTTCCTGGCGCGCATCCTCGGCGGTTCCAAAACCGAATCCGAGTCCGAGTCCGGGTCCGGGTTCGTGGTCTGCTTGTCTTTCGCCAGCCTTGTCCCGATCTGCCGCGGTTTCCACTGTGGGTCGTAGATATGTGACGTTCGTTTCTTAGAATTGAACTGGGGCGGTGGGTGCTCCCCGATGATGCGCTTATACGTCTCTGGCTCCTTTCTCTCGAGCCGCCACAGACGCTCGTGTACGAGCCGAAGCATCCTAACTGTTCCCTCTTCATCACCGAATTCGTAGCGGGTGTCGGCGTCCATCCGGTGCGGAAAGAGCTCTGCGGCGTGGTGGTCAGCTCATGTATTCGACCAGACGAAAGGGACGGGAGAGGAAGTGGAAGGGGTGAAGCAGCAGCTTACCGAATATACGGTCGACTATGGCCATTGTGTCCGAACGATGAACGTGGCCCCAGAGGAGCTCGTGTGCAGGGTGCAGCGGCATGTAAAATGCGTGGGTCGCGATGAGCGCAAGCATCAAGTGGTCTTTCAGCGCGGGATCGTCGCGCGTCGGATTGGTGCGCGCCATGAAGGCGGTGATCAAGGGGTGGCGCATGGTGAGCACGCCGTCGGAGCGGATGCCGGGCATCACTTCGCGCGCGGTGCAGCTCTCGATCTGGGAGGGAGTGAGGCCCTCTTTCCAGGAGCCGGGGACGGGGTAGATCGGTTCGCGGCGGGCGAGGACAGGAAGAGTGGCGGCGGCAGGCTGGAAGACAGTCAGCGGGGTGGCAGAGGCGGCCACACCTGCGAGGAGCGAGAGAGGGTCTGTGGCTGCTTTGCGGTGGTGTGGTCAGACGACGTCGCGTCCGCTGGGGGTGGCTTTGAGACTTACAGCTCCATCCTGCGCGTGCGGACGCGTCCATGATCTGCGCACGAGTTTCTTTGTCCCTGAGCCGAAGAGGAAGATGGGCTTGGTCGTGTGCTTGAACGCGATCCATGTCCATGTTCTTTGTCCAGACACTGCGGTGGCTATGCTGTTATTGCTAGATGTGGGGTAGGATGTGGTGTGCGGCGCGGCGAGGGCGGAGGAGGACTACCAGAGTTCCCCGACGCGGACAAGGGCGCGGACGCAGTGGAGGAGGTGGTCGCGGTTTGCGGTAAAGAGTAAGAAAGAGGCGGGTCGGAGCTATAAGGGCGGGCAAGGCCCTTTGTTGGATGTGGCCCATCGCTCGATTGGTTGCTTTGCGCGCCAAAGGGCCGCCCTTTGCTCAAAGGAAGTCGGAGTGGCAGCTGGTGGCCGTGGGAATCGCCCTCACCCTGCCACAAAGCCACGTTTTTCGCACGCACAGCGTCTACCATGGCATTTTCTGGCCGTTTTTATTCGACTGTTGGACTCGTCGTTACGAATGTTCTGCTTTGCAGCTGTGTATATGTGGTGACTTACGCGCATCTTGCTCGAGTGTGAGGAGGAATGTCTGTGGCATCTGTCGCAGGACGTCATTATCATCTCGGTTAGATCGGGTTAGATGCCGGGCCATGGGTTAGATTAGATTATCTAACAAAAGCTTGGCTGCGGTTATCTGCTCGCGCTCAAGGGATAGCCACATACGACGGAAACTTACGTCCTCGAATACCATCTAGTGCGCAGCAAGTCTACAGTAAACAAACAAGTCGGATAAGTGCATGTATATCTCCAAGATCTGGCGGTCTGCGCGGTGACCCTTTACCCCCACGGACAAAAAGGTATCACTGGATCGGATCGTCGAGTGCACGCGCATCTCCATCTCGTCTATGTTTTTGTATTCAAACGACACACGGAAAGCAACCATGACGATCTTAATGCGATCAAACAACACCGAACGGCATTTGTTCGCGCCTGTAAGCCGCAGCTCGAGCGCATCCATCACGACTCGACGCCGCCAAATCCAATCTCCTCACGCTCCCGGATCGCGACATTCCACTGCGCGAGGTCAAGCTCCGGCGCGTCCACGACGAGCAGCGCCTTCAACACAAGCCGCGGATCTGGATCCGCTGCAACGAGCGCGCGTACGACTCGTCCGACCGTCGGTACGCGCACGGGGATCTACCATGTCCTCAGGGAGTACCACAGAAGACGTAGAGACGCGCTCACAGCTGGCTCCTCCAAGTATCCAATCACCTTGACCATCGCCTTCTCCTCCTTCATCCACGCCCTCGCAGTAGACCTCCCGCCTGCGTCCTCTGCACCCACGCACAACGCACAGTCAACGAGCAGCGCCGCGCGCGCGACGCGGTCAACTAAAAGCATCACGTCCGTTGCCGTGTCGTACGCTACTTTCCTACACATCGCAGAAAGGGTGGAGGTGAAGGATGTGTATAGGACAGCCGGGACAGAGAGCTCACTGACAGGCCGGCGACGCGGAGCTTGCGCGAGACGTGAGACGGGCCGACGCTGTCCAGCGTCACCGGGACCGCTGGCTCCATCTGCGGCGCCATGTTACGCCTCTTTGCTGTCTCCTGAGACGCGAACGGGGAGAACGAATGTTACAAGTCTGAATGAAACGCGTCGCACCTGCACGCTAACAGTAATACGGTTACGGACAGCGCATTTCCACTCACGTGACCGTGTGGCGTTTCATACCGGTCCGGTACGATTGAGTCGCCGGTCTTTGACCGCGTTTGCTACCGTGCCATCGATATCGCAGGTAGCAGCAAAAACAATCAACGCGGTCTTGTGAAGGCCTGAATGAACATCCACTCGCCGTTGAAAGCTACTCTGGCTCATACAGGCCCTGAAATAGCGCACCGGTTAGCTCATATCCGTGTGAGGCTGATACATACACCCACAGTGGGCAACCGCAACGATGCGACAAAGCGCGGAAGCATCCTCTTTGGGATCATGCCTATCTACTCTAATTTTTGGGGTACTCATAGAGGCACATGCGGTACGCCTACGCCGTCTTGTGAGTTTTTGCTCAGTGGTCAGGCTGCAGGGTGAACCTACACCGATTCGATGGGTCGGAGGGGTTCAGGTGTTTCGTCCTCCGATCGATGCTCTTACCATAAGGCGGCTGGATCCCGGCTAGAGCTTCACCATAGCCTGGAGGATAAGCTACGGGACGGCGGAAATACACATGCATCGGCAAAACCGACCGCCAGCGTGGTCAAAACCTCGCGGAAGCTCCCTATTTGCAAAAGCCGAACTCTGTGACCGCGGAATGAATCTCTCTCATATTGGATGACGTGCGGCGCAACGTCCGTATCCGTTCTGAGTATTCAACTCCTGTTGCTTCCGTATCCTTAGATTGTATGTCCTCTACCTATCAGCCGAATCCGCTTGAAGCCTCATGAAAGGTATCATGTTATGAACTTACACATCTGGTGAGATCGCTGATATTACGCGCATTCGCGAACATTCGTGCAGATGGATCCTTTAGGAATGAGATCTCGGAGGCTGATACTCAGCTGATCATGTCTATCGCGCAGGATAACGCAGAGCCACCCGCGATTGGTACGGCTAGATACGTGCACATTGCTGCGACCTCTTCGAGCTCCTGCTACTCGATCAGCACAAGGATCCGCATCCACCGTCAGATGTGTCGGACCTAGACCGGGTTAACCGCCGGGAGCAATAAGTAACGCTGCACATGATTGGTAAATCATGCATATGCTGACATGATATTGCCCTACGTTTATGGTCAAGGGCGTAAGTATGGCTGGCGTGAATATACAGTACGCAGACGCAGGCAGAAAGGTCGTACAATCTGGAGGCCCTCCAGAGCAGGTAATGTACGGCCACATGGGCAGCCGGCAACCAAACGTTTGCTCCACCGACGCGACGCTTTCAGGGTTCCAGGTTCCTGGCGGAGATCAGTGAGAGCACGCTCACCGTGTAGACAACCCCGCGGTCTTCAAACGACGAACCGAACATTCCATCGCCGTCGTATCCGCAAGCTTTGCATACATACATTGAAGCAAGCTGTGGTATGATGAACACATGCAATCAGAATTTGGGGCGCAGGCTCAAAACAGGAACGAGGAACCCGCTCGAAGGACAACTCCGTACATTATGGTCAGAACTAGTATGTTGGCGTGCGGCGGATGTATATATACACACGTAATTGTACGTACGGATTACGCCGGGAGATCCAGAGAAGTCAGAAGGCGGGCCTCGTGGGATGCACAGTTTGTCGATATCTAAGCCCGCTTGGGTAGAGGTAGGCCTAGGGGCGGGATCCACTGATGTGCAGTCGGGTGGTTTCTCATTTTGTGTCGCAGTGTAACCTGCCGGACCAGTTGATCTGTCCACGGTGGGTTAGAGGACGATAGCCTCAGTATGAGCAGCGCGCTCTCGCCGTCGACGGTCACGACTGCCTTTCATGAGGTTCCGAAGTCGACGCCCCGTACCTGACTCGGACGCACGTCCGAGTCATCTAGATCGCGAACGCTCATTCACAAGCATAGCTAGAAGACCAAGTATAGCACGAGACGTACCGGCATCATGTTCGAGGAGGGATCGAGAAGACAAGCGCGCCCGTTCTCGGTTCATCTCCGCGAACGGCGCGAGCCCTCAGGCCTCAGGGCCTCTCCGCTGGTGGACCTAGCGCGTGATGAGCACATAGTGCGTTATCCCCAGTAGGTCCTGGAGGCTGTGGAAGTGCCGAGGGGGACGTCGCGTCACCGTCGGAAATACCGCACCCGACGAGCCCGGAGGCACCGAGGGTGCCGTTGGATAATATCGCATTTCACTGCCGGGGAGGTGCCATAGGGAAGCGTTGCAAGCAAGCAGTGGAAGATACCGGGAGAGAGGATGGTGCTGCGTGGGACGCAGCAGCTGAGCCCGGAATACGGCGAACTGGGTATACTCGCGTCTTCGTGGCTGGATCGTCTACTTACCCTTCCGAATCTAGATCCAGAGCGAGACGAGGCCTGAAAGAAGGGTTTCCACATCGTTGCTATAGATGACCCTTGAGCTCGTTGGTGGGTATGGGCGAGTTGCCCTCCGTGCGTCCGTGGCCCGAATCTGCGAGGTGGGGAGGAGCGCGCGCGACTGCGGGTTGTGTGGTCCGCACGGGACGATCAGGGCTGAAACCACGCGCGCGCACAGCTGTCGCGTAGGGAACGGAGCGCCCGCAGTTCAGATTGAGAAAGGATGGATAGAGAGAGAAAGCGCTCGCGATCGCGTCAAACGGGGTGCTGCATCAATCGACCTTTGTTAGCAACGCGCAGCATGCAACCATGGCCGTTCGTACATATAGCACCATCAGTATAAAAGACTTCGCAGCCCGGTCCACAGCGCGAATATGGCACGCGGCGAGTCTCGGAGCGGCTTTCGTTCCAGACAAATGCAAAGGCTGTATTATGCAGAAATGCCGTGCGCGCGGTTCGGAAGTAAACCCTGGCAGGGAGCTGAGGGGAAGCGCGTATGCGATGCGTCATCGCCTTTGTTTCTCAGAGTTACGTATGTAGTACGTGTGCCGGGCGAGCGTCCCGGAGAGCCGTCGAAGAACGAGGTCAGATATGTCGATGCGCACACCGCATTCTCTCTTGCGTTGGTCGGAAGCCCCCGGATTTATTGTCCGCGTCTGGTCCTTGCGGCAGCGTCGACCGCCACGGACGTTGACTTGAACCGTTCGGGAGCAGCATGGAATGCAAAAACCTAATCAGCCCTGTGCTAGGCTAGTCCATAAGCCCGCCAATATAGGCATGTGTGCGGTTCAAGGCCGGCACTGGCAGTCAAACCCGCGGTAGTCCATTGGAGTTGTTGACGGACGGATGGCGTGGCAAACGAGCGAGATGGAGAGGCCATCTCCAGACTGGTCCGGGGCGTGCGTTGATGGCGGATGGGCTGGGATGTACGGCGATCGAGCCGATGTACTCTATATTCTTCGGATCGGACCGTAAAGCATGGACAGCTGAGACAGGGCTTTGTTTAAGAGAGCGGGAGGTCCTTGTCACCGGGTCCCATCGGATTGTCGCAGAGATAAGGAGCTCGGACCAGGCGAGTTGGCGCGACTTCCCTGGGAGGTCGTTATATATGTTGGACGCTCCGGGCTGTCAAGCGCGGAGAAGGTCACTTGATTGCGCGACGCGGGCGCTGCATGAGTCCATGTTAGGGCAGCAGGAGCGCCTTTGCAGTGATAAAACGATGACGACGCCCCGGCCAGGCGCGTTGTCTCGGATTCCTGGTGCGACGCCGCGACGGCAACAAAAGATCCACCCTTTGGTCCAAGAAAGGCAATTTTCAGCTTGATTGCCGGCCGGCTCTTTTGTCATCCGCATCCTCTTCCTCCTGCTGTGCCTGAGAAACCCCGCCGAAGGTCGCGTTTTAAGTATGTACAACTTGCGCATTTCGTGACTGAGATCAAGCTTTTGCGAGGAACCGGTTTAGTCACTGGATGGTCATGGCGTTAGTCACCCGCACCCTCTTCTTGGGCGCGCGGTGAGTCACCTGGACGCGGGTAGAGCATGAAGAATTTCCTCGAACGGCGCCCCGTCCGAGGATCCAGATGAACTCTACGTACTGTAATTCATTGCGCGAACGTTGGCCGGGGACGGACGGCGAGCTTCCCGATCGGCGGATCCCTCCGCACGCCCGGGAGACACATGCATTTGCACTTATCTATACATGCACCCGGAGCGAAATACGTTTCTGTCGAACGAACGGGAGGGGAGGCGGCTTCCACGCATGTGCGAGCCCTCGTTAAACGCACGGTACGGGATAGGATGCCCATGTGCGCACGGCTGGGGCTTCGCACGGGCTGGCGCAGATTATCGCCCCTCCGCGCGGTGCGTGAGAAGGCGTGTGCGGCGATAGATTTTCGGGATTGAGAGAGAGGGGGTATGGTACTACTTATGGCATGCAGCTTCCGTTGCATCGGGCGCACTTCGCTGTATTGGTGGGATTTCCCGGCCTCGCGTCCATGACTGATCATTATCGCGTCGACGGGCACGAAAGGGCTGTTGTTTTGCTGACGGTCCTCGTTTGTCGGTGGCCGTCGACGACGAGGGTTGGGCCAGGGTTCCCAAGGAGTGGGCGGCCAAGAGTGCGAGCCGAGGACAGGAGTGTGTATTTTAGCTGCGAGCCGCGATACATTCGCAAACGTCATGTCACGGGGCGGAGCACCAAAGTCATCTTTAGTGCAAGGGAGGACCGAGACTAGTGACTACGTTATTCATATCCAATGGCCGGGAAACGGCCAGATCGAGCGGGTCAGTTGATGGGCTTGGGGTCCCATCGGGCCACGGCCAACACCGATCACGCCGGTCAACGGGGGCGAGGGGAGGGCGAACAGACATGAGCACTGCCATCCGTCCCGGGGTTTGCGCGTTCGTCGCGCTGGAGGGGATGAAAGACGCGCGAGAGGAAAGGGAACGTGGTCGCGAGAGGCCGAGGCGGTGAAGGAGACTCGCACAATGCAAATCGGAACGCGAAATAATAAAACGCCAACGGGCCATGGAGACGCCCGCGGAAGTAACACAATCACTGCCGCCGGTGGCGCCGTCCAGAGCCTGGGACTCCTTGCGGCCCTCTCGCACCTCCGCCCCCCACCACCACAGGCCGGCACCGCACTTCTCTTCCTCCTACTACCACTACCCATCCCGCCCGCCCCGATGCGCGCCTCGGACTCGTCCGCCTCCTCCTCGTCCGCCGCCGCCATGCCCGCCCGCCACAAGAAACGGTGAGCGCAGCCTTCCCGCCCCGCCTCGTGCCTGACGTGCTCACCGTGCCCTTCCCTCCACCTCCAGTCGCTTCACCCGCGAGCAGCTGCTCGAGCATATCGAGGTGCCCCGAACCCGCTGCTCGCCCCGCCCGCAGGACGCACTGACTTTCGCCATAGATCCTCGGCGCGATCTCCGCACCACTACCGCCGACGCTCCCCCCGTCCCCACCGGCCTCGCGCACCTCGTCCCCCGCGCCAGGGTCCAAGCGCAAGCACGCCTCCGACCCCGACAAGGACGCCGACAAGCCCAAGCGGCCACGCACCACCATCCCCAACGGCGCCGCTCCCACCGACCGACCGCGCCAATCCCAGCCGCAGCACCGGCCGACGAATCTCCGCACCGACTCTGCCGAGGACGGCGAAGTGCGAGATGACGCCCCGCGGCCCTCGACAACCACCGCGGCAACCACAACAGCAACGGCGGCAGCAGCCATATCATCACCACCCTCCACGAACGCGCTCGCGCCCATCCGCCGGCCGCGACGCGGCAAGTTCGACAAGGCCCGGGTCGACACCATGTACCAGAACCTCTACGGCGCCGCGCGGCTGCTCAAGTACTCGTCCGAGGCCAGGCTGCACTCGACCTACCCCGTCTCCGCGCCCGAGCACAAGCCGCTCCCGAATCCGCCACCGCCAGACTCGACCTACCACCAGCACGGCGGGATGATCGCCCGCCTTGAGGGCCTCGACGCCCTCATCTGCTTCACGTACGCGTCCTGGGCGCGCGACATGCTCCGCAAGGGCTGCGACCGCAAGGCATGGGAAGGCGTGCTCGGCCTCATGGGCTGGTGGACGAGCCGGTGGGCGCCGTCCGACTCGGTAGGCGAGCGCGAGCGCGCGCTGCTCGGCGTCATGTGCGTATATGCGTATACACTCGACCGGGTGGCGTTTCTGACATCGTTATCCTTTCACTCAGATACATGCTACAAGGCTTCATCATGGGCCGGATGGTTACCTTTGCGAACCAGTACACCCTCATGCCCGAGCTCAACAAGCTCAAGACGCGGCAGGAGCAGCTCGCTGCAGAGGCTGCCGCGCTCGCGGCGCAGTCGCTGCCCTTCGGGACCAACGCCTCCACGCCGCCGATGCTGCCCTCGCCCGCGGGCACGAACAGCGCCAATTCGACGCCGAACGTGAAGCCCCAGCAGCAAGGGCCCGGAACCTCGAGCTCAGGCTCGAGTCTCGCGGCGCCCGGTGGTGCGAAAGAACCCCACCCCGCGGCGTCGATCGCGGCCGCGCGCCTACAGGCCGCGCCACCGGCCACCAATCCGGTCGACGTCCCGGTTCCCGTCCAGGCGTCCTTCTTGAGCACGCTCCGGGAGCACGCGGACCAGGACCAGCGCGCGCGCGAATGCCTGATGAAGGCGCAGATGGTGCTCACGCTCCCGACGCTCCTTCAGCACTTCCCGAAGACGTTCTCGCGCGTGGTGCACACCACGCTCTCCGCTGCGGACGAGCACGAGCCGGACATCGATGACGACGATGGCGAGCTTTACTGGCCCGGACAGGCGATCACCGGCGAGGGCATTGGCTGGGTGTGTCTCATGGGCAAGGCGATGTTGCGCGAAATCGGGCGCGAGTACGGGTACATGGGCCTCAGCGGCGCTGTGCCAAAACCGGCGAGCAACGCCGTGCCTAAACCATAGCGCGGGTCACGCGGCTTAGTCACTGCTACCACCGTCCACCCGACAACTCGACGAACAGTCCCCTGCTCTCTCGCGTGCTCCTCGGTATTCCCCCGGCAACTCTTGGAGATTGAGCTCGCTCTCTCTGCGTCTACGCCGGCAATACCTCGGCCACGCCCACGGCACCACTGGCACCTGCTACCCATGCCGATCCGCGAATGGGGCTCTATATCGATAGCTACTGTCGCTCTTCCCGCCGGATCGCCCGGAACGCCCCTTGTACTACTAGCCCTGCGCCTCACGGCCCGTCGCAACCCACTCGAATATCTTGCCAAAATCAAACATCCGAACGCTGTATTCTATCAACCCATCCACCGCCGCCGCCTAGCCTGCCCGCCACACACGCCAAAACTGCATACACCCCTGCTTCTCTCTCCCCTCTTCCATCACTCGACACCTGGGCGCATCGGCATCTGCATACACTCGCACTCGACGATCTTCCACATTCTGGCACCCTGTTGTCCCCTCTCGCCTGCCTATAACCTTATCTTCAATCGCACCCCACGTCCGCCCCGGCGCCGTTTCTTAATTGCCAGACTTCTTTCAAACCATCCCAGCGTTCACCCGCGCGCTCGATCCCGTCCCACCCTACTGTAATATCATTGGAGCCCCGCGACCTGTTGTCATAATCCCTCGCCTCTCTTCGTTTGGTTCACACGGAATATCGCCCCCCCTCCCCTTTCGCCGTGGCTCGCTCGCCAGCTTGGTTTATTGCGCGCTGCCATTTCCTATCGCGTTGCGCTTCCTCCCTCCTCTTAGAGCTCTCCCCCCCCTGCGCTGCCGCACGCGATGTCTTTTTTTTATTTAACGGATCTCCCGGTCGTGGTTTTAGTCCAGTCGGACGGTAGCCCCTTCAGTAAACGTTTTTTCTTTTTCTGCGGGAATACATCGGACTGAGCGCGGCCCTCTCCCGCGCCGTCTCCACACCCCCATCATGCAGTCGTCGTGTTTTAGAGTGAGCGTGTGAGTAGGTACTAGGGGAGGTGTCGCCGCACCGCCCCGGAAGATCCATGCCCCCGCGCAGCGCTCTGAGTCTCAAGTCGGGTTAATGCGCCCGTCCGATCGTTGGCAGGCGGCGGTTGCGCTGTGTGTGTGTGTGTGAAGAGAGCCTAGAGGTCATCATCATGGGGTCCCTATGGACAACAAGCAGTTAGCATCATGCGCGGACGTCGTGCATTCGACGGGCACGATGAAGGATCTCTCTAGACCGGATCTCTATTGATGGACGCGCCGCCGCACCTGGCGGCGACCACAACGGACGTTCGCGGGGGGAACGCAGCTATGTAGGTTTTTAGCTCGGGCAATCAGCTGAGGTCTGGGCTGGGAACGCCCCCCCAAGACGAGCGGGCTTTCACATGACGCGCACGTTCTGTGTCGGGCGGAAAAGGGAAACGCTCATCCCTTGCCCGAATCCGCGAGGATCAGCAGCGCTCATATGCGGAATGGGTTCATTGAAAACCCGCAACTTCGGGAAGAGCGGACGTCACGCTCATCGCGCTCTCGCCAGGTGGAGCTGCCGCAGTGGATTGCCATAAGGAGCATGGATACATGTGTAACCTGGCCGATGGGGCGAAAACGGGAAATAGCATAACAGGTGACGGTGAGCGGGTGCTCTACCGGTTGGACTTCGCCACACGCTCGAGCTCGTCCTTTTTCTGTTATCGTATAAGGTTATCGTCAGTAAATGATTCGACCGGATCGCTGGACAGCGCTTCGCGGGGGCTCACCTTGATCGCGTACGAGTTGGAAGAGCCCTTGGCCGCGTTGATGAGCTCGTCAGCCAAGCACTCGGCCACCGACTTGACGTTGCGGAACGCCGATTCACGGGTCTGTGGAAGGGTTCATTTGTAAGCTTCGCGGATGCGATCAACTGCTGTGGGGAGGACGTACGCCGATCGTCAGGAGCGCGACGGCCTGGTTCACCCGGCGCAGGGGCGAAACATCAACAGCCTGTCGCCTCACGGTTCCCTGAGAGCCGATACGGGTGGAATCCTCGCGAGGACCGGTGTTGACGATGGCGTCGACGAGAACCTATGAGCCAGGGCGTCAATACAATCAGGCCGGGTGTCCGAGCACGCTTGATGCAAACCTGAATAGGGTTCTGGTCGGTGAGGAGATGGATGATCTCGAAGGCGTGCGCGACGATGCGAACGGCCAGGAGCTTCTTGCCGTTGTTGCGGCCCTTCATCATCAAGCTGTTACCGTATATGAGCAACGCTCCAAACCGGACGAGGCAAGGTCAGGTCACGGACCTGTCGACGAGACGCTCAACGATGGGCATCTGAGCCTTCTTGAACTGCTTCTTCGCGTAGCGGCCGGCGGTGTGGGGCAGGTAGACGGCATGCCTGACTTGAATGTAGTCCTGCAGAGAAATGTCCTTCACCTCGATCCTGCGTTGGTTCGCGCGGAGCCAGATTCGCGAAGGGCATCATTCGTGCGTAGCAAGTCGTAGAGCCACGCAGAGTTGCAGAATTGGAAAGACGATTTGCGAGGCGAAATTGGGAGCGGAAGGCGTGAAGCAAGCATGATCAACTTCCAGCACGAACTGTATGCGGCCAGGTGGACGCACTCTTGTGTCTCCCACTTGCCGAAGAGCTTGATCTCTCCGCCCAGCTTAGAAATATCCTTCGGCAGTGTTTGTACCGCGGCCATTTTGCGAAAGTCTTGAGGGCGAGCAGCGCCGGGCGATGGCCGTATGTGTGAGGATGAGCGGGAAGAAGTAGTGGGGCGTGGGAAAGCTGTACAGTTGCACCACCGAAAGGTTACGGAGTGGTTAGGGTCAAGTTCGAGTTAACGTTCACTCAGCGCTGGCCATAGCATACACGAAACAACAGCACGATGATCAAACAATTGTGATGTACCAGGTCTGCGTCAGGCCGGTAGGGATGCTGCGCGAGCATGAGATACAGTTACGGCCGCTCTTCCCTATTGACCATGGCAGAGCCCCGTGCATGGATCCTATGATCGCGTTCACTGAGTCCGACGTTTACAACGCTGCTGCAGCAGCCGTGACGTGCTACGGCGCTGTGATTACTCTGGAAATCCTCTTTCTTTCTGGGAGACACGGCCGAGACGGTCACTCCGGTAACTCGACATGAATCATCTTCGAATTCCGGGGATTAGCATATGCAGGTTAATCGAATTCAGTTCGATCTATGTCCATGTTCTTCCGGGCGACTCATGCCTGTATGTATTCACCCGGACCCTGCCTGCACGCATTCATCACATTCCGGCACTCACATCCGCTGGGTGCGGGATCACTGGTCAGGCGGTGAGCCGCCGTACGATACTCCGGCGGAGTCATGCATTAAAATCCCTGCGATTGATACATGCGTACACTGTGCAAGTACGCCCCGCATATACTCGAATTACTCTGAATATCCGGATAAACCAGCAGTTCTTTGTCACCGTCTCATCGTCGCAATGCTTTGGCTTGTTTCCTGCAACTCGCCGTAGATTGTCGAATTGGACGTTATCTAACACAAGAGACCGGCGTAGGGTAATTGAAATACCCACTATGAATCGGGCACTGCTGGCCGTGACCACCAGATATATTATGTGATAAGTTGCTTGGTTGTGCATTGATACCGGCACCGTCCACTCGTCGACCTCTTTGAGATTTTGAAATGAATTCCTGCTCGAACGCAGAAATAGTATGATGGCAATGCGAGCGGAGGTGGATCCTGACTGGCGGGCACCCACCGTTTTTTTGAAGTTGATGCAGGCTGACAATCCACAGCCGCGTATCGACAGTTCATAATGACCTGATAAAACATCGGATGTATATGATCACTAGCCGACATGGCATTGACATAACAGGATAACCATTAACCCCTGTTCCCTGAAATGCCGGTCGACCCCGATTGGCGATATATGTATGTCTGGGGGCCATTTTTAGAGATTCCGATGGCCTCTCGCTTCGGAGGCTCGATGACCAAACTGGCCTTGTGTCGAGCTGGGCGACTATCCATAATCCCCGTCGGATGCCCCGAAATACCGCGCTGATCAACGCCATCCAAACATCCGCTCCTTTCGGAATGTCAGCCGAAAAACACATAGAACTAAATGCCGAGAGCGCGCGAATGACGGATTCCAGGAGGTTGAGAACCCGGCAGAGTCTGCCGAGGTTATACATAATTCCAACGGTGTAAGAGAAGCGGGACAGCGAGTCAGAGGCTTACCGGGAACCGAAATGACAGGTGACTTGTGCGGCGGCACCGCTCTTCTCGCAAGTTGGAAGGACAAGCCCCAGTGTCTGTTTCTTATACTCCCGTTCCTATAAAAACGATCAACGCTGTGGCACAACTCCACAACATCAACCTAGAAAAATGAAGTCTCGAGGTGAATGCGCCTCTTGTCCTTGCACTTTTTTACCGTGGCCAAAATGATGCTTTCCAACGTGTCGACATCGTCGGGTACGAGGCTAGCACCCTCGTGTGATGACAATATCTCGTTTTCTGAACCCACCCCTTTCAATGCCCATTGCACCTGCGGTTTACTGACAGCTCGCCGTCTGCAGGTACATCGGTAATGCGATCGAGGTCACGGTGATCGCTACGTATAGTGGCGTATTTGTTTTCTTGCCTACAGTCGATGGGAGATAGCATACGACGCACACCTGTGCAAGTGGCGGACACATACCCAGCACTGCTGCTATGTTTCCTTCCTGCACATAGCGAAGGGTGAGCGGCGCATGACTCAATCGCAGGGAACAATACCGACTCAAGAGTAAGCGTTGCCTGTGCTTCGTATCTCACAATACAGGCGCTTGCACTGGCTTCTCGACGTAGCTGCTGACTGTCGTCCATGTCTGGACGCGACGATAGTCCACTGCGAGGTGGAGACAATTCGGGTCTCTGAGGCGATCGCGGTTAACGATGGAGGAATCCGTTGAATCTCCAGTGGAACCAGGGTCGAAAACCCACGTTTATATTCACGGAGTCTAGTCTATGGCGGAGGTGGAGTTCCAGCTATATTGATGAACCGCGTAAGACTCATGCCATATAGCTGACAGAGTACAGTCTCTGCCGTTGCCTGCCAAAATATCAACTCCGATAGCAAGATGACAGAAGCATCAATCACCTCCAAGTCTGCGATGATAGAAACATCTCGGAGTGGAGTTGGGCCTATGCCGATCCGGAAAGAGCCACGACGACAATCAGTGTGTCTCCGACGACTGGTATATCTGTTTGTACTGACATAATTTCATCAAGCCATCAGCTTTCACAGACATACACTTTGATGTCACTCACGCTTTGTGCCATGGCTCCTCGCGTAAACCGGGGAGCTGTCAAAGCTGATAGGCCACAATACTATTGGAGAGCACAATGCTGAGTCGCATATGCATCCGATCATGCCTAAGGTATTGATGTCGCCGATCTGTCGTGGCCCGTTCAATACCTTATTACATGTCCACGCAGAAGTGCAACTTACCTGGGCATGCATATGCGCCCAACGATGTGTGAACGGACTCTAGTACGATGAACCTTCCCGTCACTGGGAGAGCAGGGGATCAAAACTGTACGTAATCGTTGTATCGTGCTGCGAAATGCCATGCTTGGGCCAGGAACTACCGACGTTGTGCATTGTCGAAGTATTCGAGCGTCGCCCTCGCTGCGATCGCATGGGCAGAGTCATAAACCCTGTCCCATACATCAGCGTGGATTGTCGATCTTGGCATGCAATGTCCTTGTAGTAAATGTTGCAGCCATCTGCGGTGGATGGCACTCGCGATGGTACAAGACATACAGCATAGTCAATGTCGGTGGGCTTGATGATCCTTACGCCAGCACAGCAGCTAATTACGATTACGATTTCCAGTGCCTCTGCGCCATGGACATGATGATTCGAGTGAGCTCCGGGTGGCATCACCGAGCGTGCATCTGGGTTTGGGACAGGGTACATCGCGGATCAAGCGTCGCAGAGAAAGCATGGCTGTTGTCCGTAATCCGGAGGGGATGATTCTGGCGCATCCCGGTCCATCAGTCTCAATTCGGTTGGGGGGGGGGGGTGTCTCGGCTGTCTCCTGGCTAGCACAACGCCTGAAGAAGAGTTACGGGTACAGCGGCGAATTGTTGGCTATCGAGCATGGCTTACGGGATGATCCAAGAGGCGTCGAGGGCCCGAGAGCTCGGCGCTCAACGGTCGAGGGAGTCATGCCGCATGCGGCGGCGTGCGCGCTTGCTTTCGTTATTTCCAGCCTGGCTCGATCCCCTTGCTAGGTCCTGGACGCGTCTCCATCGACAAAGACACGACGTTGCGGAGAATGTTTGTATGCAAGATTGACATGGGTACCAGACGTGAAGGTGAGCTTGGCTTTCGTAACCTGCATTCATCCTCTCCCCAATTCTCTTCATCATCTGATGTTCCGTGAAAACTTATCTACATTGTCCGACGCGAGGCGTGTGCCTACGTTTGACGAACACTCAACGTTCTGATCCTATCCTCTCCAACGTTTCTCTCATACGCGCAGAGCCTTGCTGACGAACTCTCCGTTGCACAGGTGTCGCAGCCCTATACTATACATCACATTGTTCGCCTCATGGATCTGCATATTCGTAGTCGATGCATGCAATCTTCATACCCCTGCAATGTCACTGGTCTGAGAAGAAACGAGCGCCTCAACCCCACCGTGACAGTTTTATGAGAGCGAAGACGCTTATGGCGTAGCGCTGAGCGTATCCATCAGTGTCCGGGGAGTCGTCATACGCGCTCAATGGAATAAGATGGAATCTTCAATCGTACGTACATCAGAGTCGTTCACTAGCACTTCGAGAATATACGGGCATTGGGAGAGGTGTCGGTGCGTACGTCTCGCCTCGTTCACAGGTACACGAATACATTCTTTGATCTTCGCAACATACGCATACCGTCGGGTACGCTGCTATCCTACAACGAATGCCCCACGTTCCGTCCAATCATTAACTGTATGTACGAACAGGTCTTCAGATAGCTCCTCGAAACCACGCTTGCGGTCTATACCTTCATCGAGGCCATCACGGCCCCTCCGAAGCCTTCCTCGCAGTCCTTGCCTTGCTCGATGCGCCGACGCGACGTGCGTTCGTTCCCTGGCTCGTCTCCTAGGCTGTCTAATCGACGCTTGGTGGGTTGCGATGTTTCCGACCCAGAGTGGGGTAGTTGTGCGACCATCGAACGCTCTCGGACGCCGGCCACTGCGCTCCGAGCTCCGGTGTCGAGAAGAACTCCGCGGGTGCTCGGCGGCGGGGGCAGCGCCGGTACCTCCCTCCCGTAGACCTTTTGCAGCCACATCTTCGCCTGGTCGAAGTGGGCGCGTGACTCCGGCGTTTCTTTCCCTGCGGGAGTGCGAGCACGTCGCATGAGGTCCGTGTGGCAAGACGACATGAAGAGTTGTACGGGCTTCAGATCCGCGATGTTTACCGCAGGTGTCTGTTTCGCCATGACTGCGAGGATGTGATCAGCGATGGTTTCCTTACATGTGAAAACCTATCCGATCGCTCACCTCCCAACATGGCGTCTACGGTCGCGATCGCGGCTGCGAGACGTCACAGTCATCAATAGGCGACCAAAGACAACTACAGGCCATTCACCTTGTGGCAAACCCCTTCTGCGATAGTGAGCGCCCGCGATCATCCACTGGTCCTTCTCGCTCTGCGCCTCGCATAGAAGTGCGATGATCGCCTGTGGATCGTCATCCGCCGCGTCGAGGTCGACGGATACCAGTCGACCAGCCAATGAGAGGGTGAGTGTGTTGTGCAACGTGAAGGGTACATGCACGGGCACAGTACACTGCGGCGACAGTAGAACTTCGCTCGTGGTCGAAGGCCCGTAGGATGGCGAGGCGAAAGATGGGCGCAATGCAGAGGGATTTTTGTCCGGGTCTGCGATCGGCTTGGATGGGTCGTCGTTCTCCGACACCCTAAACTTCAGATCTTTGAGGAATGACCCTGTGGATTTCCGAAGGGGAGATTTCGCAGCCAAAGGAACTGTTGTCACTCCGTTCAGAGGTAAAATCCGTGGGCTGTCGCCATCGGGAGCATTCGAGACGTTTGGAATATTTTGCAAGGGCGCCTGCAGACCGCCAGACGGCCTCTCGCGCGAGGCCTGCATGTAGGGCCAAATGAGCTGCGCGTTCGTACATAGCGGCTGTATGCGCGTCTCTGGCAGCTTTGGAAGCCGGTCCTCATCACGTCCGAACGATGCGAAGCGGAACTCCACGAAATAGTGTCGCCGTCGCCGCTGCTGGTGCGAAACGGGAACCCCGTCGGTCGACGTATCCCACGGCAGGAAACGTGTCCTGAACACGAGGCAGAAGAAAGCTTGTGAGATTGGGTATATGCGCGCGTGGCCCTACACGCTGTAAACGCGTCTCTTACATCTCTCCGCACGCCTCGCTCAGCTTGCTCCGTAGCTCGCGCTCCGGGAGATCCGTCTCAACGTCGACGATGCGGTCGGTCCAGTTCATGGCGAGGACGAGGTCAATAAAAAAGCTGGGAAGGTTAACGAGGAAATCCAGGTTGCGCGGCGCAACGACAGAAAATCTTCTCCATGCTGCCAGACGATGAGGATCATGAAAGGCAAGGTCATTGCCAAATAAGGTCGACCGTGACTCCATCCAGTGGCGCTGCCTGTGATGACAATACCTCACAGAGGCCCAGCTCTTCCGGCGCGCCGGTTATAACTACTACCTACCTACTTCACACCTCTGCTTCATCGTGCTCAGCGATGTCCAAGCACTTCCATCTGTCTACACGCGGACGCCCTCCCGCCCCACAAAATTCTGCATGATACCGACAAACTTCCCCGCCCGGCGACGACGTTCGATGGGTGGCGTCCAGATTGACTCACTCTGACTAGCTTTTCACTGTTGATATGAGGCCAGAGGGAACTGCCCCGCGCGTATCAATCAAATCGTTCCAGTCTGTTGATGATCCATGCGATAGCCTGGAGGCAGCTCTTTGCCGCGGACAAGGGAAAGAGGACCTTGGAGCTTAATTACACCACCAGTACGCCGGCGCCTGAAGACTTGGGTTAGCACCGATTGTAGAGAGGGAACCAAAGGGCAGAGGGGGGTGCAACGTAATGATGCGTACCTCGAACTCAGCCTCGTTGCACCCGCCCCGCTCAATAAGCCTCCGGGACTGTAAATCCGGGCTGTCTTACGCATACTATGCCACCGAGCGCCTCATCGCCTCTGCATAAAAACGGCTCTGGGACGCACCGATGCGCTGGATTTGGGAAGGCAGGTAGGCAGAGATGACAAGATTTTTGGTCGGCTGCGGGGTTTGCGTGCGTAGGACACCCTTCGGGTAGCTTGGGCAGGGTCTACGGTCCACTTCAGCCCGACATCCCCGAAGGGAATAGGAGAATGGCACGATCGCTCGATGTCGTGCGGGCCTTCACAAAGGGACATGCACGTACTTGCCAGCAGTGCTGCCCTGCCGAAGTTGTGCCTCGTGGATTACACGCATCGGCAGTGAAATGAGCTGTCGACCCGCGGCATGTCATCCAGTCTTATAGCAGGGGCCCAAGGAACCTTGCCCAACTGGCCACCAGATCGCGACAATGTTCTTTTCAGGGCGATACTCAGCTCTGCTCAGCAAGGGTTCCAAGACTAGGTATCATGATCATGCTACGATTACCGCGCCGCTCTTCACTGGCGAAGCACTTTCTCTTGCTGGAGAGACTGTATTCCCTCAATATGCACTGTATGGACATGTGATCGAGCAGGAAGCACCGGGCTTTGCCTCGACCATTCAGGTGTCGCAGGTGTTTGTCAATTCGAACTCCCCCTTCAGCGCTGTGATATGTGGAGTGCAGGTAGGTTCTTGCAATATTGACTACGGAGTCCCAATCAACGCTTCTGCCTCACCAGGGCTCCGGGAAGAGTCATAGCACGAGTGTACTGCTCGAAAGTTGTCTGATCAAGGATGACCGTGTCGGGACATTGGGTGCTCCCCTCAGCGGCCTATTGTACGTTTGGCAGGTTGGTCGTCGCTCGACATTGGCTAACTGACGATAGATTCCATTTTGACACGGCTGCCGGCGGGGGCGACGGTGTGCAACCGTGTGAGGCGGCTTACCTGGCATCACTGGACCCGCTCCGTGGTGAGAATGCTATCCCGCCCGCTGTGACTGTCCTAGTTCTGTGAGTTTCTTTATCTATAAGTTAACTATGGCCCTCGACCCAGACATTTGCAGGCCCAGTTCGCTCAAGTCCATGCGAAAAGTTTATAAAGGACTATCCGTTGATGTTCGGCCACTTCATTTCGCAGAACGAGATATCAGTGCGGAACGTCTGCTCTGCATGATGAAGGTGGATGGTGACTCGCGTGCGTCTTCTCTCCTTCCTCCAGGCATTCTCGGTGATCTAAGATCTCGAGTACAGAAATGCCGCTCTATATGTCGAAAGTAATGGCACACCTCCGCAAAATGGACCAGTTCTCGTATAGCGACTTCCTTCGTTTTGTGGAGGAGGAAGAATTCGCCGCTACGCAGAAGGCAATGCTCAAGCTGCGCTTGGGTCTTTTGGACGCCTGCTTGGAGGGGGGAACAGACGCCAACAGCGTTTCGACGCACTTTGGTCGCGGTAAACTGGTTATTATCGAGTAAGGATCGCATATACATTAAATGAGTAGGTCTAACCCACATTGGTATTAGCCTGTCATCGCCATTCATGGACGCCTCATCAGCGTGCGGATTTTTTGACATGATCCTTGGAATCTTCATCGAAGCAAAGGTCGACTCATCGGGGAAGATTGTTGGTAAGCATCATGGAAGACCACGTACCTTACGGTAGACACTAACCGTTAGTCATATTTGGCAGTACTTGACGAAGCTCATAAAGTGGGTGGTTTCCCGTCTCTATCTGTTATTAGTGCTGATAATGAGCTAGTATCTGACTGAACGTGGAGCGTCATCACGCCTCACCGAGTCGCTTCTGTCTGTGATACGGCAGCAGCGGCATCTTCGCACCCGTGTGGTGATTTCCACTCAAGAACCTACCGTCGTGCCAAGCAAAATTCTCGACCTATGTTCTTTCATCATCGCTCATAGGTTCTCATCGCCCAGGTGGCTGACCCATCTACTCAATCATGTCGCAGCTAAGTCAGCCGATTTAGATCCGTGGTTCTCCAAGGTGAGAATCCGTGGTCGTACGTGCACTTCAAGGGCACACCGACTGAAACTTCAAGCTACTAGATCGTATCTTTAGGAACAGGAGAAGCGTTGGTGTTCGCTTCGTCGGGTTTGAGCGTTCGTGAGCTGCCAGACGGCGCTGTCAATGGCGCCGATCGGTCTATCCATGGAGTGAAGCAGATTGCTGCGCTCGGGGCAGGGTATCTGCATGTCAAATCTCGTCTTCGCATCACCATCGATGGCGGACAATCGATGCTGGCCATTCAGGTTCCAGTGCTCGATTCCGACCTTGGCGAAGAAGATGAAGCCTCCTCCCATGCATCCCACAAATCGCGGGATATCTGCGAACCACATGCACGCAGTGCTCATCATAACGTCACAGCAACCAAGTCTAATCCAGTACGCGAGGGCAAGCAACGCCTCCAAGAATCATCCCCGCCCCCGAATTGGGCGGAACTGGCAGCCTCCACTCCTACGGCTCATCCGCCCGTTATCTCTTCGACCCTCTCCTCCACCTCATCGGAGGCCGGCTCATCCACAACGTCAGGGTCTTCTACCAGTGATGAAGTGCCCAACTTCTCGCCGCTCGTAGAGTTCCTCCAGGATGCACCGGCGAACAGAGCCAAATACTCCATCATCGGCGATGCGATCAGGTCCAAATATCCAGGGACCTACCCTGTCGGTAAAGGAGAGTTGACCAAGTACATCGCACAGGCTGCCGCTTGTGGTATCGTCACTGTGGGTGGTAGTGGTGTGTACTCCTGGGCCCAGTTGCAAGACGACACTCGACCCTCCCTGGGGCACGACAGCTCTGAAGGCTCCGACTCGGAAGCCTCGTCTGACGGTTGGGCGTAGAGATTGTAAAGTCACCCTCAACTTTTCGTGATGCAGTGGGCCAAGGTTCACACCCCTTCATGTAGCTTACTGCATCACGACAAATCAGGAACGAATTGGATTGCGTATAAGTTTTGATATATCGCAGTGGCCTTTGTATACGTAGTATGCAAATATGCACATATCCTAATTGCTTTTCCGAGGAACTTGATACATGGTATTTCAAAACAGCCTGCGACTGCGAGCAGCAAGAACGGCGCTTGACAAGGTCCATGTGCATGTCAAGGAGGCAAGGAGTTCGCCTTCTTTGTGACTCCGATGCTCCGATCTTCCGGCTCGTTACACTCGGTCACATCTCTTGCTCACCGTGCTTAGCGATGTCCAAGCACCTCCGCCCGTCCGATGCGGAGGCGCTTCCGCCCCCGAAACGCCTGCATAACGCTCTCAAACATGTCTCCCGCCCGGCGACGACATTCGATGGCTCGTTGTATGATGAGCTCGTGCTGCACATCTTTACGTTCCTCCCCGCACAGTCGCTTTGCCGCATCCAGCCTACGAGCCGGAACTGGTGTAGGCTCGCCGCAGACAACCAGGTGCGTACCACGCTCTTCTAACATGCTCAAAGCAATTGCTGATATAAATCCATGCGCAGCTATGGAAGGGGCTGTTCCTGCATGAGTACGGACGCCCTAGACTGCGCGGTGCCAGGGGCTTCATCTCCGCTGGCCACATCCACGAAGGACGGCCTACTAGACCCCTCCCAGCCCGTGCAAAGGGCAAGGAGGCATCTCACCACGACCATGAACGCGACTGGAAATGGATGTTCCGCATATCGTCCAATTGGCAGACAGGTATGTATCTTGCTTTCCCATCTCGCAAGCCTCGAACTGACCTGTCAACTAGGACGCTGCAGTGTCGAACAGCTGCAACCGCATCCTATCAGATTGTCCCTTCCGTGCCGAGGCGAATCCGCAGAGCGAGGATCGCACGTCCTCCTGGCCGGCACGCTCATCATCACCGCACCAGCCTCACCGTCCTCACATCCTTCTCTCGCCCTCCTCGCACCCTCTGGTACGCGTCACACTCTCCACTGTCCACCTTCTACTCCTCCATGCCGTATAACCGCCCTTGCTTTGGATCAATCACGTCCCTCTTCGGCCTCCCATCCTTTGTCGCGTTTAGCGGTATTCCTGTCCACCGGCGCCTTTTATATCTTCACTATCGACCACGCCTCTCTTCACCTTTCCACCCTGCTCACATCCCACGTCCCCTCTACGCACACGTTGACCCCCCGCGTGATTCAAACAGCCGCCTATCACCATCCCCTTCTGGTTACCCTCTCTACAGCCTACTCCGCCTCATTCTCCGTTTCCCTCTACTCCATTTCGTCCTCCGTCCCCAGCAGACCGAAATACATTCAAACCCTTAGTAGCTTTACCTCCTTCGCGCCCGCATCCCTTGTTCTCTCCAAACCTTCCTCAGGCGCAGGAGCCGGTGGCTACAAACTCGTGATCGCCTACAGTGTTCCCGTCTATCCGCGCCACTGGTCCGTCGGCGCCACAGAGCTGCTCATCTCTCCTTCATCCTCCTCGTCGGTGAGGGAGACACTCGGCACCGAACACAGTGCAGAGTTCATAGAGGAAGAGGAGTTCTCCGTCACATCTACACGAAGCGCGCGCGCGTTCGACGTCCCCGCCGGCTTCCTCGATGCTTCTAAGGTCCGCGCCATGCGCGAGCAGTGGGGCCGAAAAGTTGCTGCTGTTGCGGACGTGCAAACCGACGGGAAATGGGTGGTCCTCGGACCCTCTCCCTCTACGCCGGCATCGTCTCCGTCCTCGACAGGTCGCTCTCGCTCCCCTTCGCCAGCATCTACGTCTGCGTCGTCTGCATCGACATTTTCAGATCAATTAGCTATCCACTCCTCCACGCCGCTGCAGCTATATCGCCTCTCTTCCCCGTCTTCCTCTTCATCGCCACCGAAGCTAGTATTCACGCGCACGCTGCACGGCGCTACTGGACCCCTATCCTCGCTTGCCCTAGCCGACGGGCGCTGCGTCGCCCTCGGCGCCACTGGCGGCGTCTGGGTTTGGGATCTCGACAAATACAGGGCCGAAACTCGCCCTCGGCTATCCCAGCGTAACGAGGACGCAGAACAGGATGACGAGCAGCGCGTATTCGGCGTCGAGGTTGCGGAGCCGGACCTTGCAGCTAAGCTCAGCGACGACGCGGTCCAAACGAGCGTTGCGTTCGACGAACGACGGATTGTGAGCGCGGATGCGCGCGGGACGGTTGCCGTGCGCCGATTTGACGTTTGAATGCCCGGACTGCGTGTGGCGACGGACGGGCCGTTCTTGCTTATCGCTGGATATCTAACCCTCTTAGAGTGTACCTATAGCATCTGGTCGTTGTATTGGCTCATGGTCGTGCCTTGTTTTTCTACGTTCGCCATACCCGAAGCATTACTACTTGAAGAAACGGCGGGTGCCCCGCCGCTCCACTCTCGCTCGCAGTTACTTCCTGAATTGTATTCAATCGTCGACTATGCGGTCTTGTACTCCACTTTCTGCTGACAAAATTGCAGTCACTTAGCTTAGCCACGATTGGTGATGCTGACTATAATTTTCGGGTTGAGAGATGCTTGAGACAAGCTCAGACAATTATCGCGAGAGTCATGCTTGCACCCAGCCTTTATCGCGACGATTCGCCTCGTCGTGTCCGATTTGGAGCTCAAAATGGACGTGATGGACGGGGCTTCAATCAGCTTGTTCTTAACAATTACGAGCACGGCTTTCGAGAGGATTCTTGCGACATCATATTCTTGTGCCTGAAGGAATGTTGTGGGAACAAGCATATGCTTGATGTTCATCAAGCCGTGAAATTGATTTACTGTGTGGTTAGGCGAAAGGGGACGCTAGTACGAGACTTCGTTTGCAGGGACGATTTCGCGATGCATCATCAGAACACCGACATAGCATAAGCACCAGAGTTTATAGCATCGCCCGCAGGTCCCAATTCGTCAACCGGCCTGTTGAGTGTGAAGGAACGGTTGTTTATAGCCAGCGACCACGTTTTCAATCGTCGATCGATCTGCCAACCGGGGATGCTTTTCTGGAGCTTTCTATGAGGACCCAACAGCCGCAGGACTGTGCCGTGCAAGTTGATGCAGGTCGAACGTTGTCGGCGACATGGTCGTTGCGCGGAGTTCCGGCCCGGACGCGCTCGGAGGTTACCGTCACCCGTGGAGGTGTGACAGTGGAGTCACAGGCCGGGAATTGCCCTGGCAAGCTTTCGCACGTGGCACCGGAGACCACAGCCATCAGAGGCGGGACCGGATTGAGTTCGCCATCGTGTCCGGCGGTGAAGGCGTATACTTGGACGTCGCCGAGCCGAGGCGCACACGTTTCGCAAACTGTTCTCTGCCACGACCAGCATACCTCTCTTGTTTTGACCACCACGTCTTCCCGTCTTTCATTGGACCTACTATAATTCTCGGAACTCCCAACTTTTCTGATCGCAGCCTTGCACATCGACACGGATGGCGTCCTCGCCGACCCCGACGGCCCAGCGTCGTCGCGGAGTATGGGAGCCGCTGCCTATTATATATTACGGCTACGCCATATATCCCTTATCACCTTCGCGTCGTGATACGCGCATCTCTGCACGGACCCGGCTGTCCAGCATCACGGAGGCCTCCACCGACGACCGCTTTGCTTACCGCGACGTGGTCAGCCTTGAGGTCGGAGACGAGGTCTATGCTTTCGAGCGCTACACTCCGCGCGGGAAGGAGGTCGAGGGCGAGTGGTATCGCGGGTGCGTTCTGTCTCTCGTCTCCAGTACTATGGGCGCTTAGATTGCGTATCTCTGTCTCTCCGTCCGGCCATGCAGATATGTAGTGTGCACCACGCGCCGCCCAAGCGTAACGTGGGCGATGTCTGCGCACGACGCCGTGCCGACTGCGCCCCCAAGGCCGCCCCCGAAGACGGAGGAGACGCAGCAGGTCTTCCTCGGCATCTTTCCCGCGTCACATATCCACGTCCGGGACCAGCTCGCAGACGCCGAAGGCCGCCTCGCTGACCTCGCAGCCTCTTTCGCCGCCTCTTCGCCCCCGCACGTGAACGGACACAACGGCCGGCCCGAGGACGCGCCCACGCTCGTGCGGAGCAAGAGCGTGCACACGGTCAAAGACAGGGACGACGACGATACGCCCGGTTCGGAACGCAAGTCGTTCCGGCTCGGGCCGCCTGCAGACCAGGCGTCCTCCTCACGCGCAGGACTGACCGTTTACCCGCCCTCGGTGCGCTCGCTCTCGCGCTCGTCTTCACCGACATCGACGCATTCGCATTCGCGCACACACTCGCGCTCAACTTCCATCAACAACGGGCCGCCCGGACTTGGAGGTGCAGACGAAAAGCCGCCGCTCCCTCGTCCGACGATCAAAGCTGCGGACGATACGCGCTCTGGCGCGTCGCAACCGCTCATCGATGAAATCGCATCGGCGCTTCGCGAATGGCACGCACTCGCGTTCCATCACCTTGCCGCACGCGACTACGTTCGCTTCCGCGCCGTGCGCGAGCTAGTTGACGCGCTCCACCTCGGCCGCCGCCAACTCCTGGCACAAACGCTCTCGCAGGAGGAAACCGCCATGCTCCGGCGCGAGTGCGTGCGGCAGCTCGTCGCTGGAAACGTACTCCAAGGCCTCGACGTCGTCGTGCGGCACCCGGTCTGGGGCGGGCTCGTGACGTGCGACGTCGTGACCGAGTTCCCCGGTGCGCAGGGGGGTGCGAACGCCGCGGCAAATGCGGCACTGCAGGCTGCGTTGGAGGTCGACAGGCGGAACTGGGTGAGCGCAATCCGCATGTATGCGATGCAGGTCGGGCTCGCCTACATGGACGTCGGGCCACACGACTCCGGTCCTGACGTGGGACTCAACGGCACGCCGCTGCCTACCGTGGACTTCTCGACGGCCGGCGCGCCACTGCCGACGCCCGCGCACTCCGCGTTCCCGGAGGCGTTCCCGGGGGGCTCGCTGCGCGCACGCGGCGGGACCGTCACGTCGACGTCTTCGCCCTTTCCCTCCTCGCCCCTCCCGCAGGTAGCCTCGTTTTCTTCCTCTTCTACCGCCGCGGCCACCCTTCCGACAAACTTCTTTCACGTCTTTCTCGACCTTCGTGCCTTTGTCGCGTCGCCCTGCGCGCCGGGCGAGACCGCAGAACTCTTTTTCTCGCTTTACGACCAAGCACAGGCGCGCTTCGTCTCTGAGGAGTTTTGTGCCGTGCTCAACCACCATGGCGTGCTCGCGCGGGACGGGGGCCGGAGCGGGCGGATACGGACGTTGTTCACGGACCTGGTCAAGGCGGATGTGGAGCGCCCGATTTGGCTCGTGTGCAGAATCGTGGTGCGGCGGGCGGGGATGAAGGCCTCGAACGGCGGCGGGTTTGTGAATGGCGGAACAATCGAGGAGGAGCCGGGTGCGGAGACGACGGGCATGGGGCGGAGGGGGAGCGAGGCGATGGTACATGTCAATGGCGAAGGAGATAGAGAGGGCGGGTTAGCGTATAGGCGGCCGTTTGGGTGCGCGGTGCTGGAGTTGACCCAGCTTGCAAAGGCGCGGGTGGCGAGCGAGGAGGGGCGTTGGGATGCTGGCGCGGCGAAGGAGCACACGATGCCGATTTGGGTGCCAGTGAACGAGAGCGTATTTTCGATGTTGCACCAGGATGTTATTGCGGGGAACACGCGAGAGTACGAAAAATCACCGAAGTAAGCTGCATTCGTATTATATGTTAGGCGCGCGACCTATGCTGATGTACGTGACGCGATAGAGCGGAGATGCTTGCCGTGTCGATCAAAATCTTCCGCGGGAACGCGCAGACGATCGTGAAGGAGAATATGTCGATCCTCCAGGACGCTCCGCTCACGCTCCGGCTCAACTTCCCCGACGTTGTCTTCCCAGGCGACTCGCGAAATGAGCTGTACGTGAAGCTTTGGGCGGGCGACTTCGCGCCTACCCACACTCGAACCGGTTCTACTTCCGCGCGGCGCTCTATGGTCGTTTTCCCGCGCATGGGTCAGCTCGGCGGTGCGCTGCAAGGTGCAGCGGAGAACGTGCAGGTCACAATCGAGGTCCGCGATAACGAGGGACGGCCCATCGAGCATGCCATCAGTATGGGCGCCGGAGAGCCGCCCGTTACGCACTTCCACTCTATTGTCTTCGCGCGTAACAGCCAACCAACGTTCGGTGAGCTCGTCAAGGTAGCCCTTCCCCGTACCGGGCTCGAACGTTGGCACCTCTTCTTCACCTTCCGCCACCGCTCCGGGCGCGAGCGCGGAGCGCCCGACCGCCCATTCGCGTTCGGTTTCCTACCGCTCGTTCCGGATGCACGCGCGTTTCTCGAGGATGGCGAGCATGTACTCGTGCTGTACCGCGCAGATCGCCTTGCACAGCTCGCACCCGAGACGTACCTCGCCGCGACGCCGGAGCTGGGCCCCGGCCAGCGCGTGGATCAAGTCTCCGTTCCGCCGGAGATGCAGCGCATCGCCCAGCCGCTGCGCGATAGCGCCACATTACGGACGTCGTTGACCTCCACGCGCTTCACACAGAACACAGTATTAATGCACCTTTTCAACTGGCCGCAGATCGCGGATGACCGCGAGCTGCTTCGGACGGTGCTCACCAAGTTCACGTTCGTGGGTGAGATGGAGATCGTCAAGTTCCTCCGCGACATATTCGATGCCCTCTTTGGCCTCCTCGCTAGTGCACACAATCAGGCGGGCGAGTTCGATCGCCTCGTGTTTGACGCGCTCGTAACGGTACTCGGGATCGTGCAGGATCGGAGGTTCAGCAACTTCCAGCCAGTGTTAGACGTCTACATCGAGCAGCACTTTAACAGTGCTGCCGCAGCGTCGCACATGATTCACTCCATGAACCAGCTCCTCGCGAACCCTACCGCGCCTGACACAGCGAGCGCGCTTCGCGCGGCGCTCAAGGTATGGCATTACGTGTTCAAATTCATCGCACGATCGCGAGAGCTGCAAAAGGTGAAGGAGGTCGGCATGGGCGGCGGCGCGACGGCCGATCACCTCGAGCTTACGTTCAGGCGCGAGCTGCGTGCGCACCTTGCGGAGGTGAACAAGTTGATGGCTACGACTACACCGCCGTCGATCATCGGCACGCAGACGATCGCCCTCCAGCACTTCACGAGCATCCTCCCTGAGCTCGCGAAAATGTTTACCACCGTCGAGCTTGTCACGATCGCAACCACGTTCGCCAACTCGGTCGCGAGGACGCGAGGGAAAATAGTGATCTGGAAGTTGATCATGTACCTCCAGATGGTGAAGGGCTTCCTGTTCGACAACCCGCAGTCGCGCGCGCTGCTTGTGGAGGCGGTGGTCATCTGGATCAAGCCGCACTTCGGCCGGTTCGACGAGTACGCACATGTGACAACAGCCGACTCGGAGAGTGCCAGGGACGCGGCAAGGCTCGCATGGATGGAGAGTACGCGCCTGTGCGTGACGATCATCGCGGTCATGCTTGACAAGCTGCAGCAGTGCTTGATCGACCCGAGCATCATCACCGACCGGAGCCGCTTCCGCCAGGAGCAAGACAATGTCGAGTATCTGCTCTCACTTCTTCCGAGGTAAGCGCAATGAGCCTCTGCAATATCGAATCTGACCGTGTCACATCAGACTGCTGGATGCTTATCGGGAGTTCCAATCCCCCCAGTTCATGCTTTCGCTGGAGCACACCCGCACGGTGACCAGCCAGCCGGCGGCGGTCCCTGTCACCTTTCCCGAATCCTACCCGTTCTCGATGCTGGCCTACATGCCACACTCCCAGAGGCCCCCGCACGCATCGTCGAGCACGAGCCTCGCGGACGCCACCTTCAACCCAGGCCTGGGCGAAACGGCCATCGTATTCCTCGTGCTAATCTTGTCGTCACCAAAAAAGCACATACTCGAGTTCTTCCAATCGAGTTTTGAGATTGAGGGGCGGGACAATTTTGCGACGCTCCTCTCGCTGTTTTTCAACGTTGCGACGTCGATTCTGAACAATGATGCCTTCCCGAGCAACTGGCTTAACGTGAATATCCTCGTGCACAAGGTTCTTATCAAGATCATGGAGCCCATCGCAACGTTGTTGGAGAAAGAGTTTATTCCGAACGACGAGAAATCGCCGTCGTTTAATGCGGGGCTGTGGCAACAGGTGTTCCATATGTTACTCAAGTTGCTGTCCTCGGAACAGCTGGCTATCGAAGAGTGCAGCCCTCAGGTGCGTGAAGTCGCGGATCCGCTTTAGGTGTACCCGTTGACGTTTCATCAGAAACGTCGCGCTGTCTGGAGATTGGCCGGTGACATCCGTGGTGAAGGGGCAGCAATCCTGCTTAGGCTTTGGGACTCCCTGGGATGGTCGGATGATGTCTCTGCGGAAGCAGGAGCGATCACGCGATACGGCGTAGGTGCCCTCCTGATCCTGGCACCATTCCAGCTGAAGCACTCTTTCAGCGCTACCAAGCTACTCTCAGCTCTCTGGTCGGCCAAGTTGTCAACCTTTGCCTCAGTCATCATGATCAACTCCGTAATAACGGCGTGCAGATCCTCTACAGCATGATTGTGTCGGAGTACTACCAGTCTGACCATTTCGACGAGATCGAGAATGAGGTTGTTAACAAGCTGGACTCGTTATTCATGTCGGACAGCAAAGGCGACGACATCTCAAGAGCGTTTTTTATCAGCCAGCTGCGTCATCTGTTCGACAGCTCCGATGTGGACGAGCACCTGCGCAACCGCGTGAACAGCTTCCTAGACTCCGTGGATCTTTTCCTGGAGCTCCTTCTCAGCGTGCGCGCTCTCCCAGAAGGAGAAGAGTTTGCCGATGATCGGGTTATCGCAACTGTAAGAACCAACCGTCCTGTTACGCATACATCCTTGTTAAATCGCTTTTGCACAGTTGCGGTTGATGAACTTCATCCGGAGGATCGGACGCGACGAGATATACATCAAATACGTCCATCAGCTTGTCAATGTACGTACATCCTCACCGTCCTCGTGGCAACGCTATAATTATGCGGGATCGCAGATGCATCTTCAATCACAAAACTATGTCGAAGCAGCGTTGACCCTCAAACTTCACTCTGATCTGCATGAATGGGATCTCAACTCTTTCGTCCCGCCCATGGAGGACCTTGGCCTGCCCCAACAGTCCCAATTCCACAGAAAAGAGACATTGTGCCTGCTCATCCTTGATTATTTAGGTAAGTGTGGATAAAGTCCAATGACGGATATACCCGGCTTACCCTCAGCGCAGGGAAAGGCAAGGCTTGGGAAAGTGCGATTGAAATATGCAAGGAGCTCGAGTATCAGCACTCGGAGGTGACCTTCAATTAGTCGGTATCCGTTCTCCGAAAATAAATTGCGGTACTCATTTTTCGACAGTGGTCGGTTGTCGGAAATTCTGCGACATCAAGCTGCCTTGCTTGAACACATCGTGACGGACCAACGATACTATCCCGACTATTTCCGCGTCGCTTATTACGGCAACTTCCCTACAGCTATTCGCAACAAGCAGATAATTGTGAGCTGGCTAAAGCAAGGTCCCATGTTCGTATCTCACTCCGTCACAGTATCGAGGATACGAATGGGAGAAATTCGGCGCATTCTGCGAACGTATGCTGAACAAACACCCCGGTGCCCAACTGCTGAAGACGATGGGAGATCCCCCTCCCGATATACGTTTCGGAAGCGACCAGTACATACAGTGTACTGCAGTCACTCCGGAACCTAATCGTGAATTGCCGATCTTCACTAACCCGGACGTACCGGCGGCTGTACGGATCTATTACGAGCATTGGTATTTCTTCATTCCTTTCCCGAAAGCGCACGATCTCATGCACCTATCCAGCGCTGTCAATACGTTCAGCTGCTCACGCCCCTTCATCAAGCGCACCCGTGATGGTGAAGAGGAGCAATGGATCGAGAAGACGTATTTCACCACCGAGGCATCCTTCCCCACGGTGCTACGGCGATCCGACGTTTTGGCTGTAGAAGTTCAGGAAATATCACCCATCGATAATGCTATCACGGAAGTACAACAAAGGACCAAGGAATTGACCATCCTTTATATGAAATACTCCGTGCTCGCCAAGGCCTCACAAACCGTACCCACAAATGCCCTATCTATGACGCTCAACAGCGCCGTTGACGCGCCTGCGAATGCTGGAATAGCGTTGTTTCGACATTATCTCAGCTCAGAATACTCTGTCCGACATCCCGATCGCGCTGAAACAGTGGAGAAGCTGCGGCAAGCCATCGACGACCAGGCATGTTCATCCCTCCGATTCGTCCTGAGGATAGCACACTAAGCTTTGACGATATAAGGTCCGCGCAATAGACAATTGTCTTAAGCTCCATGGGCAAGTTTGCCCACCGGAAATGCTGTCGTTCCACGATACACTAGAAAAATTCTTCAAAAAGAACTTCCACGAGGAGATCAAACGGTTATTCGATGATACTTCCATCAACGGCGACGTATCTTTTGGCGCCCGATCGAAGCGCAATGGTCCTTCGCAATACGCTGGCTCGCACGATCAGCAATCAGTCAACTCTGCGAGAGATCCTACCCTCATCGCGCCCCTACAATTAGGTCATACCCCGCTTTCCCCCATACCGTTGTCCCCACACTTCTTGTCTTCTCAGCAAGGGTCGTCCTCCAAGCAGACTCCGCTCCAACGCCATCTACGCCATTTGGCTCGTCATGGAATCAACGGCGTGTCTTCCGGACCCGAAAACACCACCAGTGACGAGCATCACTCCTTGGCTTCGCCGCCGGAGTCCTTGATCACAGTTGGGAACACGACTGCGCCTGGGGCGCCTTCCATCGCACCTTCAGAACTTCGAAGCATCACCGGATCTGTCAAGGGAAGATTTTCACGACTGGGCAGTTTGAGTTTTCGGAAAAGAGGCGGATGAGCCCGCCTTCGAAGTTCTTCCTCGGATTTTGGATCACGGATCTCTGTTTATTCTCATAATCTGTGGCAATGTACGTTCTCGTTTCGTTCCGGTACTTCACCTGCTTCATGCTATTCGATTGTCTTGCTACGTAATACTTGCCATGCACTGTTGTATACATTTATCGCTTGCGCAACGGGACCCTTGTGGTAGCGCTGGATACAAAGACAAGAATGATACCACGTGTCTACTGGTGTCTTCCTCCATCATACTCTGAATGCGAAATGCCGCGATGTCTCGGTCATACTGCATCGCCATTCGCAAGAAGGTACCAGAAGTAATCGAAGACTAGACGTTGCTGCTTCGCCGCGCCGGCGGAACGAGGCTATCCTGGACTGTTGGGAAACACCAACATGTGCGTAGTTCATGAGCGTACTATCCATTGACTATAGGTCGCGCAGTTAGCGCGCGCGGGCAACTTCGCCCCAAAGCTTCCTGGGGAGCAGTCCGACGGCAACGGTACGCAAGATTGCCGGGTGCGATCCTATGCCACAGATAGGAGGTGGACTCATTGGCGGACGCGTCGGTGAGAAATCCATGCGCGAGCGCTGTTCAGATACAGCAATGGTGGCATGCGCCTTCAGATGGAATGGATTTCGGAATGCTCCCAGTGACCGCACACATTGTGGCGATGTCGTACCACGATTCATGTGGTACGGTCGTCCGCGCCGCGCGTGATATGCTGCGAGCGCTGTCAACCCACCCGTTGCAAGGATCGCACGAACAAGATCTCTGAGTGGGCGGCCAGGGCAGTGCAGTTGTAGTCATGCTATTCGTCCCTCGTTCTTGTCGCACAACGACCGAGCAGCATTGATAGGTATGCACTAGATCTCCCTGCGCAGGACACTTGGTAGGCCCACCTCGGTGCAGAACCCCGCATTGCGTGTTGGATTCTTGCCCGCAAGAAGCACGATAAGCTCCGGATGTCGATGACGAGGAAAAGGGCTCGTTTGCGTCCGACCAACGAAGCGCGGGATTGCCGCCCGTGTCGAATGTCGTGTTTCGAGTTTTGATAGCTGGTTCAACGTAGCTCCATGACTTGGTGCATTTGCCAGCGCCAGACAACAGCACAATGGCCGCGGAGCCCTACACAACGCTTGATGGATGATTCGATGTTGGCGTGAGCAGAATCCCTTCGATGTATTGAATCTCGTCGCACGGTCGAACGGAATGTGTTCCACCCCGAAAATATGTCAAAGAATATGATTGGTCGCGGGTCGACGCCGTCTGCACACCGGTATGACGTTGCTTCATAGTGTTCCAAGCGGAACCACGAACGGGAGAGGAATCGGCATTTCTTATGTCCCGGTTTTCTCTTGAATTCATTGCAGCCCTGAGATGCCCTATCATTGGCGCTCATAAAGATTGCATCATGATTCAAGGCACGCAGTGTGTCGTGGTTCCCAGTTGCTGTTGTTCCCTTCGTCCGCGCTCGATGAAATGGAGCAACCCATCCAGGCACGCGCGATAGGAGGTAAATGACCTTCGAGGGAGAGGACGCGGTCGCACACTGGACATTTATCCGTGAAAAGCCCGTCATAAGCCTGGAGAAGCTCCTGCGGAAAATAACCAGATCGTTGTCAGCTTCAGGACTACATGGGGTGATGAAGCAAGCGCACCAAGAGATGTTGGAGGTGAAGTTGCGGGTGTTTCTGAAGGACTTTGGCGAACTCTTGCGAGAGTTTGAGATACACGGTGTACTCGGACTGAGAGTGAGGCAAGGTCTATACCGCACGGTTGAGCGCTACATGAGTGCCAACTAGAGGGGGGATACCGACCTTCTCCCGAGGCCCGAACGCAGTGACATTCTCTATTACCAGTGGTTGGTCGTCGGCATGTCGCTCAAAGCGTATGAATGTTGTCAAGATGTCCGGTATCTCGAACCTCAGGATGAGAGGGTTTGGAGGGCCTGTAGCCGATACCCGATGCGACCGAGACAACGCCCAGATGCGGAGCACTCTTTCCGTACGATGGGCGTTGAACTCGCGGACGAAGCCTGCTACCTCGTGGGCGTATAAGGGAGGCAGTTCTCCGCTTGCCAGCGGCCAAGTAGCTGGTCGTTGGTTGAATGCGGGAAAGGGTGATGGGGCATCCGGAGAAGGTCCTCGTCTGTAAGATAGATACCAAAGTCAGTGCTTCAGCACGCGGATCGAACACTCGTGGAATATATGCATACCGAAATTGTCGCTGCTCCTTGCGTACATCCACGCCAAACGGCCCCTTTTGTGACTCTCCGCTTTGCTGAGCAGCCTTGAGAGCCGCTTGGACGTTTTCTGACTTGACAAGTTCCACGAACTGCTTCAAATCTCCAAAATATCTTCGAATTTGTTCGGGTCGTGAGAGGCTTAACCCGACACTCTCCAGATCAACAGACCCTCCGAGGTCGTTGACGAGACCCCCGGAAGTCGGCGTTCGCAGAAGCTGAGCAGGATATTGACGCAGTGCTTGAACCTTCTCGCTGAGTTCCACCAGCGTTTGAATCTGCGACGCGTATGAGCTTGCAGCAACTGGCGTGAGTGCCTTGTCCTTGTCCACCTCCATCGCCATCGCAAGACTGAAGCAGTGAAATATCCCTGAACACAGTTCGAATGGGTGGGAAGAGAGAGCCACATCCGCGACGGCTCTAACGCGCACCGCGTCTTCGCCCTCGACTGCCATATGCCTGTGCTTTGTATTGATCGGCAGATATGCCCTCCCTCACGGATTCTCTTGATCGTATAAACAAAGCCACGAACGCAATCCACGATGTGGTTTCAGGAACCAGCAGACCAAGCCGTAGCGCGGGTTGGTTCGCGCGGGCCGTACTGGAGACGCCGACCAACCTTCCCGATCTGATACGGGACATAGACGACTCGGAGCTGGGGCTGTTTACGTTGATCCCACCGGATCCAGTGGCAGGAAGCAACGGGACTCGTCCAGAGATAACGCGGATGGCCCACCATGCCGCCACGCCGTTGAGGAAACAGAAATCAACTGTGCAGGCGAAGGCTCCAAATCCGGAAATCTTCGTAGAGGCTGCTCAACGACAGTTGGACAGATAGTGAGGCTTCTTGAGATGCTCATCACCTCTGATGCGTGCATTTAACATCGTATATAGCGACTCCATACACCCAATGCCTCAAGCAAAAGCTGCAGTGGAGTCCCTCATGGAACGCGTTCATTCTGTCAGGGATCAGATACGGCGACTATCTATGGAGCTTGAGCGGGTAGGCTGGATCTGAAACTCATAATGTTTAACGAAACTCATCCCCGAGTGAAGTCCGGAGATCGAACGACCGACTCAGATACGGACGAAGATCACCGGGCATCTGACCAATCCCAATACAGACGGGAGCAACATCGTGTCGAGGAACTTCAGGGGAAGATCGCCGAGGCCCGGGCCCGTGTGCGTCGAGTTCAATGCCATATCCCGCTTCACCCGAACTATAGGTCTGACAAGGTCATGATGGCATATAGAAAGAAGCTTTCCTGGATAAACGTGCCACCTCGGCAGGCTCAAAGCCCAAACACCCTACGCCTCCTGTACAGGCGCCCAATAGTAAAGAAGCAGAGTTCTGGAACAGCCCGGGTATCGGCGAACGGACAAGGCAGTTCACCGGTGGTCTTTTGATGGACGAAAGCGTCGACATGAATGCGGATGACTTGACAATGTCGGCCCTTGCGAGCCCCACACCTATGAAACCTCCAGCTCGCAGCTTCGGGAGTCGAAGTCATGCCGCCACGCCTACGCGTTCGGCGGCGAATCCTACCAACAAGAACAGCGGTATGGGAATAGGTGCTGACCCGTCAACTCCGATGGAAGCCGTAACGCTGGAAACTGGCGAGCCAGAGGGAGACCTTGGCGATGTCCCGGAAGACGACAAAACGGTGGTCCTGCCCAAGCCTCCGGCGGCAGCAAGTCTCAATTCACCTACCTCTCCGAGCGCTCCGGACGATCCTGGACATACTAGGGAACCCACTGCGCCTCCTACACCAACACCTCTTTCAAAAACCTTGATCGAACGAGGTATCAAGGTGACGCCAGGAATAGAACGCATCGTGGTACGTCGCCCGACGAGTTCGAAACTTTGTGACTATTGAGGCGCGCCTGCCGCTGATTTGACTTTTATGGCATGCTTGCGTATGTGTGATACAGGAGAAGATATGGTCCACTGTCGGAGAAATCATATCGCCCGGCCAGCAGTACGATGGGAGCGGTGCTGCCGCTGCGAAACCGCAGGCTAAGGACACGATGTACGTATCTCCGCCTTCCTCTCATTATAGCAAGGACGGACGCTCATGGATTGTGCAATGGGACTTCCGCTTGTGTCGATCTGATCCCTGCTTTGCTTTTCAGACGCCACCTCGAAATCGTTTCGACACAAATGCCCGCTCCGGGGTCGCCCGGCCCGTCAACTGCGTCCTCATTCTCTGGCGTCGAGGCCGCTGAAGGCGGCGCGCCGACGTCTCAGCAAGTGTTGTTGGCACACCTGCTCTTGGCGCTGCTCAACTCGCCCACGCACTCAATGCCCTTGAACTCGATCAAGGAGCTGATGGCCGACAAGGCGACTGGCATCGGCAGCGATGATGGACTTGGCCTCGGGATCGGCGGAGGAGCGATGAAGGCGTATTATACGTGCGTTGCGAAGAGGTTGCTGAAGGTGGACCGGTCCAGCCGCGAGCAGGTGGTGAAATTCAACGCCCTATGACAGTTGGGAGGGACAATCCAAGGACAGGGATTACTAATCTATGCCTATCCTTATACATGCGTATTTCATGACTCAACCGCGTCGTGGAAGGCGGTGGTCGCGCTGATTGTGCAGTGACGGTGAAGGGCCAGCCTTGTTCGACATTCTCGCTGTTGCATCCAATGAAGAACGACTCTGGAAGTGTTTGCCATGGCTGAGTATCTGAACGAATATGTCGAGCTTGGTGATAGCTGTGGCTACAATTATGGCCTGAAGCCATACGCTGCGGCGCAGGTGGCATGTATTCCTGATCGGTTGTTGCTGATCCAATTCTACCGTCGCACAGCGGTACGAGCGACGACCTGGGATTCACATGCTAACAAGATATCGATGAAGCAGTTCGCTTTTGCGTGTCGGCGACAAATGCCTGCATAATGGCGGCTATGCTATGTATATGGTAATGAGGGTTATCATCGTTCAATCTGCTGGACGCATACGCCGCTCTGGCTTGGATTCAAGACGCACGACGGTTTCACAGGCATCACAGTGTCACCTTGATAGGTAAATGGGAGATATGACCGCGCTTTGAGGGTTTCTTCATTTGAAGGGTACGTGTGCTTCAGCTCCTATGTGACGACATAGTTCTGGCGCTCTCTTAAAGTTCGTCAGTATGCTAATGCTTGAATCCAATATCTTAAATGTTCGGGCACCATACTACGCGGAAAAAGCTCCGTCAGACGGATCTCGTGTTCATACCAGCCAATTTTGAGAAGTAAGCTCACCGGATCATATGGCGAGACGTCCCTGAGCGGAATGTCGGTGATCTGCTGCGGTTCGATGAATCGAAGAATCTGGTGTGAATATCATCTACAGTATCTTGCAGTAGGGATCCATCCGCTTGAATAATGTCACGCTTGTTTCTGTCGCTGCAAGACAGGAGGAACAAAGGCAATGGCTGTCCTGAAGGATGATATCGTGTACTGCATCGAAGAATCTTCGGATGGCTGCACGCGTAGCGGATGCCCCGCCCAACGAGGCCGTACAATAAGTTGTTACGGCCGTTTGGTGCCCGTGGCAGGATGTTACGGACATTGACTAAGCACGTGATCTCTCCTCTCTCTCTTTCTCTGAGGGAGACACGTTCAGTGTTCGCGCCGTTGACCAGACCTTCAACACTGCAGTCTGCAGTTCCTTCGACCCAGGCGTATTGGCTTTCCTGAATCGAAAGGCTTGACCGTCAGGACTGTAGCAATATGGTTAGCTCGTAATCCTGTTGACGCTGGACCTTTCTAGAGCATATGTCATGACTCTCGTCCACAGTTGATTTTCTCCGTCTTCAAGACATTGACCGACCAACGAGTGACTGTTGAACTGAAGAATGATCTGTGCATCACCGGCACTCTAAAATCCGTTGACCAGTCAGCAATGCCCAACATATGACCTCCAGGCATCGCCGTTCAACGTGGCTCCATGTTCCGTCTTGCTATAGGTTCTTGAACATCCGTTTGGACGGAATATCAGTGTTGGATGAGGCGCGGCATCCCCACATGGTATGTCTAACTTACCTTCTGCACGGTTCCAGCACATACACGACCTGCTCCAGATGGCTGTGAAGAACTGTTTCATCCGGGGCTCCGTGGTGCGATATGTTCAGCTACCTGCCGAACACGTCGATACACAGCTTCTCGAAGATGCGACGCGGCGTGGTGCGTCACGATGTGTGTTCGAATTCAATCCTCACTCTTATCGTTATTCGGTCGCAGAGGCCAGCAACCAAACGAAACGATGAAAGTGCCCAGGCATTCCTTGGTCATCCGTCTATTCCTTCAAAGTTGGGTCGTTTAGCTGTGAGCGAGGTTTAGCTTACTATTTCCTGATAAATTCGTCATCTGTTACCCATATCATTGACTTTGCCGCAGCATGGCATGTATGCAGGGTATTAAGCTCCATCCCACTGGTTCAATGTGCTTCGTGACTGCGAGACCGGACATGCTGGCGTGCGAAAGCAAATATCGACGGATTGTGCATGCCAGATCTCGGCCATCGTGATGAGTGATCTCCTGAGCTTGCACTGGCGAACGTAAAGCAAGACTATTTTTGCGTTGCGCTACTTCAGGTTCTGATTTGGTTACGTATCCCATCGTCCATCTCGGGATGATCCAGACATTCTGTAGGCTATGGATTAGCATCTCCTCTCAGCGGGGTGGCACAGGGGACATGCCAAACCGAAACCCAGTTGCGATGCATCCGCTTCTCACCGGCCTGACTCGGAATACTTGTCCGGCTTGGGATCCGCTACGTGTACACCGAAATACACTCCGGTGAACATGCAGAATCCCAATCGCCACTGCATCTTATATCTTGCCGGGCAACTTCTTCGTTTGTGCGTATATGGATGTGAAGTGACTTCAAGCCCAATTCGATAATGTATTTCCTATAGGCGAGGAAGTTGAATGCGAAATGCTGAGGCCTTGCTGCTTAACTCCGTGAGTGCCTTGCATGTAAGTACCGTCTACGCGTAGTCTATCACTAATCCCTCCGACATCTTAGCGACCGCGATTGCATACTTGAAGGCAATACTGTCATCACTCGCCTGTCAGGCTCTTTTCAAAGCCCGATGGCTCGATAGCGCCCTCTAGGATGCGCGCTCCTCATGCAGCAGTAAAAGTCACATGTTGCTCCATGCCCAACGAAATGGAAGCACACAAGGGACCACGCTAGGTCTCGCACGCCAAATCGATGAGGTGGGTAACAGCGGCCAAATGTCATGGATCACAGCACATGCCGTCATTGCCGCATAAAATGGCCGAAGAGAGCACCGAAGTCAGTGGTCGGGATCCGTAGGCAAAATTTCCGCCACCGGTTTTTACTCTTGCTCCGGCAATACGGCGCGCCTAGCCGTTTCCGGTGCTCAAGTTCATGGCCTGCGGGGCGGTGTATCGAGTGTGTGATGGCAGACCCCTTGGTCAATCGTAGCGGAGGTTTTCACTCGCGATCAGATATAGACATCTCGTGGATGGAGTCTACATCGTCAAATTGGTCCGCGGGCGGGCAATGGCTGTGGAAGCAGAGCGCGGATTCCCACGGTAGCGTTCCCCGCGAAGCCGATAATGCACAGCCGTTTGTGACGAATCTAGATGGGCTCGATGCTTCATACTTCCGCTCTGCATCTTCGCACGGCAAGCGCAGCGCTCACGCCGGGAGGCCATGTGTGGGGACTTGATGGGTGAAAGAGAATATCTATAAGAGCCGGTCATACACAACTGGACTCACTCTAGACCGTTTATCTATCGTCACGGTCCCGTTCGAACTGAAGACGCGAGCCCTCAAAGACCGTCGTCTACTCGAAACTTCCAGGACTGCATTCCACTTGCTGTTCCATTGCCACAGACCACGATAGCTACCCCTGTTGGTGCCAAAGACGCGCCTTTCCAGAGCCATCCCAGGCGCAGACCTTACCATGCCGTATGCATCCATTCAAGCTGTTCCCGGTAGTTCTTGCATAACGATTCAATGTATAGTTTTCAAGATAGACGACCTATTCCGGGAACGAATGGCAGTACGGAAGGTGGAAGCGGATATACCGGCCGCGCCGCACGACTAGCTCACCCCTCTGACCCGTACTATGGGCGAGCAACTCATCACTCATCTCACCAAGAGAATTCCGGCCACCGTCGCCACCCTAGCGGGACAAGTCCGACGCAATCCTGGTAGGCGAATTTGCCACTTTCATATCACGGACGTTCCTGACCAGAAGATAGGGACGCTCATTCATATGGTCAATATGCATTCGTGTCACCGACCTGGGAGTAAGTGAACTTCAGTGATTGTTAGTTGAAATCCGTCTGACATTTTGTCCGCTTAGATCCCAAATGTGATACTTCTATATTCGCCGTGAGATTGACTTGACTCACCCGTTGAAGCAGGCCCGAACAAACCATCTCTTCTCCGACGTACGGTTCGCACGAGGCTCGTATATATGGCATGAGCGCACCCCCGCCGCAACTGATGCGTGGTTATGATACTTCCCGACGTATCCATCCCGGCTCCATAGAGTCTGTCCACCCTGGATTGACCCACCAGATGCCTACGAGCCCTTCCGGGCGCTTCACCCCGCCGACGAACTCGATGTTCGACGTGTCCATGGACTATTCAACAAACCCATATGCTCCGGAGATTTCTTCTCCCTCGCATTCCGATAGCAGCTCTTCGCACGGCAACACCAATGACCACGACGAGGGCTTCAGGTCGGCTAGGCCATCCAACCCATCATCCCTCAGTACGCCGCCGCCCACGGGATACGCAACGTCAGGGCCCGGTCCAAGGTCCGTACAGCCAAGGGACTGGGACCAGGTATTAAGCGGACTGCAAGACAGATATGGCGCGGCAGGGGGATTCGCGAGTAGCCATCATGCAGCCATACCGGCGGTGCCGGCCTTGGTTCAACCGACCCACGTCTTACCACTCGATAATATGGTTCCCCAACGTCAAGACATTGCTTCGCAAAGGGTCATCGCCGCCAGCGAGGCTCGCAGGAAGAACCCTCCCCAGTGGAGCTGCCCTATCTGTCAACAGACGTTCACGACGCGGACGAATTGCGAAGGTTCGTGCCGTGACTTGCGGGACATAGACACATCCTTACAATCCGCCGTGTTTTCGCAGATCACATGCGTGCTCATAGCAACCAACGACCGTTCAAGTGCGACGATTGTGAGAAGGCGTTCGCGCGCAAGCATGAACTGAAAAGGCATCAACGCACAATCCATTCCACCGAGCGCCCATACCAATGTGATATCTGTGGTGCAGGATACGCCAGGAGCGATCAGCGGACCAGACACATGGCCAGTGAGTGCTGCGGGACATTCATAGACCCACTCCACGTGCTGATGTCACATCATCCATCCAGATTGCAATGGCAATCCCAGCACCGAATAAACTGGTGAGATACTGCAATCTTCGGCTATGTCTGTGTTCATTTCCCAATGCTATCCAGAACATACCAGATTTTCGGAGTCGGCGCTACGTAGTATCTTGCTGGCTTGGCACGTCGCGACGGGTCTATGTTGATATCTAGATTTCGGGATCTTTCTCTAAATCGGTCATCTTCCTGGTTCAATTCCGTCGTCTAAAATGACCTAGTGATTCTACACTATTCTCCCATAACCTTTTCTCATACTGTACATGACGGCAGATAGAACCGCGTTGATAGATATGTATATTAATGATTATGCATGTGTGACCCTTCAGGGCACATCGAATTCAGGGACACGACTAGGAGTGATAGCACATGTAGCGGGTATCCTCAATACTGCCCTTTGCGCGACTTTTATCAGCTGCATGCCATGCACGACCGCTTCAGACTCAACCCTCTCAGTCACAAATCGTATGCCGCGCGCCCGAATCAGATGTCAATATATCAAGGGGGATTCTTCCACACTTTGACGGTTCCATCGGCGCTGGCGGTGATCAATTCACCAGCCTCTGTGGGGTGATGTTCTGTCCAGAGGATGACCTTATCGTGCACCTTTGCCGGAGGATTGGGCGGAAGGACACTGCTCTGAAACACGGCGACTGTCAGTGGGGCCGTCGATCCAACCTGGATCGTATCCGTCGACACTCACATCAACCAGGTCCCAGGCCCAAACGGCCCCGCTTTCATCGCCACACAGTACGCTGGCTTCTCCGTGACCAAAACAGGCCCTACAGCGATACTGGGCCACTGCGTGCCCCTCGAATTTATTGAGAAGCTTTCCGGTTGCGGAGTCCATCAGTCGTATTGTGGAGTCGAGGGTCGTGACAAGGTATGTGCCATAATCCTGCGTCGGAACAACCGCAGTCACCGGTTCTGTTTCGTGTCAAAACAAAACAAAAGGGATCAGCGGACGTGCTTCATGATAGCAAAGAATAAACGAAGAAGTTGCAATGCTAGGCGGAAGAAGCGACAAAGTACCGAGCATAAAATACTCACGACCGATAAAATCGGACCGCAGTTCGCCTTTGCGCAAGTCGTAAGCACGAACATAGCCATCCACTGAGCCAGTGAGCACAGTGGTAGCGCCGACATGGAGCGTTTGTACTGCATCCCCTGCCTCTTCCAAGGTTTGGATCGCCTGTGAAGACTGCGCGCTGCGGTCGGCGGTTAGCATAATGTGGCAGCAAGGAAGCGAATTTCAACACGTACCGCAAGTCCCAGAACCTCACCGTCGTATCAAAGGATCCTTCCGGGAGTATCCATCAGTCCAGAGAGCGACTTCTCCAAGCAGCAAACGCACCGCTCACCAGAACGGTTGCATCAGCATTGAAATCAACAGTGTTGACTTTTCCCATATGACCCGCAAACCTTCTGATCGTCTGGCCGGTAGTGACATCCCAGAGAAACACGGAGCGGTCCCCTCCACACGAGGCGAACTTGCTGTTATCATGCGACCTGTCGCACGAAAGCATTCAGAAGTTGGCGACCGGTGATCACACCCAAGAACAGGACAAGGCGCTCACACAGCAACGGACAGGACTTCATAGCCGTGTGCGGAGTATACTTTTATTTCCGTTCCTAGTGTCGGATTCCACAGCCGAACAGTGCGATCTTGACCGCCGGTCAAGACATACTTAGCACTGCCTTTGGCGTATCGCGCAACATGGACTGGCCCCTTGTGGTTCGCTAGCGTGGTGTGTAAAGTACGGGGTGTCTGAAGCGCCGACATGTGTCGCCAAAAGACAGTAATCCCGATGCGGATGGCTATGTAGTATGTCACCAATGGAACATGTGCACGAAGAATCAGCAATCCTTGTTTGATGAGAACCTGAGCGTTCCTCTTGGTCCTCACTGAGTGCTGGCTACTAAATGCAGAGACGGTGAGAGAGGCGTTACGCCGCAGTCGTGGAAAGCAGTCGCGATTCATGCTACCGGCGGATTATGTACTTTTCAGCCACCGGGTACCATCTTCATCTTACCGGTCGTCCTTGACACGCGTTTCAACCGTTCCTCGTTATGTCTACGTTCGCAAAACCTAAGCTGAAGGCAGCTAGAGAAGCCATCGGCAAGAAGGATTGGACCAAAGCCCGTGACACGAGTGCTGAGGTTCTCGAATATGAGCCGGATAACTACCACGCGTTGGTCGATCCCTTGACTCGCATATCTGAAGGCCTACAGAACTTCGTATAGACATGTGTTCTTAGGGCTTTCCTGCTTTGAGCTAGGCGAATACCAACAAAGCGAGCAAGTAATCGGATGCTTTGCTGTTGTCTGTCGTTGGACGTTCAATTTGTTGTGATTCCAGTACTCCAGGAAGGCTATCGAGTTGAATCGTGATCAACCACTAGCCTGGCAGGTGAGGCTATATTTATCTTCTAGGAACCTTTTAATTGTTGGCTCCAGGGATTAGTGAAGTTGTACGAGCGGACTGAGAGATGGGACGACCTTCATGATACGGTGCAGGCATTGGCGGATCTTTGGGCTAAGTCGTGAGTTCAACAGTTTTTCGCGGACATCCTACGCTGACATATCGCACCCTCCCAGAAAGGATGCGGTCAAGTGCGCTGAAAATCTCCAAAAATTGGTGGATCTCCGACGTGACCACGGAAGTAGCCAAGATGTAAGGATTCGGGGTTGGCCTTACGTCGCTCTCACTGAGCGAACTGCACAGGTTGTCACTGCACTGTCCAACTTCCTTCCGGATTCCCCATACTACGACACACTTTCATTACTGCCTCCCCCCGATCCAACGAATCCGACAGGGACGACAACGTTCTTCGCGCAATCCGCAATCCACAATTCCCTTCCGATATTGGAAGAGATCGTAGAGCTGTCTGAGCGGGCGGAGGAAAACTCGATCGAGAAAGAGATCGAGAAGCGGAGAACTCGACTTGGCGCCTCCAGTGCTCAGCAGCTACGCCTCGAGGTTGGCCGGGAATATTGGTCTATCTCTAAGGTAACATGGACTTTCGAAGAGGTTTCAAACTGCTCACGCGTCTCCAATACCCTAGTTACCTAGACTATACACCGACATAATCAACCACCCCAATACCAGCGACGAACTGCGTCGGGCTACGGAATCGAAGCTTTTGCGGCATAAGCAACGCTATCTGTTTGCTCTGCCTTCGTCGGGTGACGCGGCATCTACGAAATCACAGCTCGCTGAGGAAGTGCAAGATCTTGTGAATGGTGCTGTATTGCTCGAAATCCCGGACGAGCTCGCATGGGAGCTCTATATCGCAAGCAAAGACGTCGATACCCTCGGTGAGTGCTTCTTCTTCCGGAAAGAAGCGAACTTATATGAGATCTAGAGGCATATGATTTTGCACTGTTCCGTCGCTTCATGTGTATCTTCCCTTCCTCAGACTTGACCAAGCTGCTCCAAGGTTTCTTCGCATATGCACAGATACCTCCGAGGGAAGAAGGCGATGATGAAGCAGTTGATGAACAGCCTCCAGAAGAAGACCCATATGATACTATCCTCGCATGTAACTTCGATGCGGGTGCAATTCTTTACTCACGGTCTAATTCAGGACGCATTCACTTCATTGAACGAATCGGTGCTTGCTCATCGGATCCTTTGCGAGGTTTATACGCTCGGGGCCGATCATGAGAATGCTATCCGGGCTAGCGAGTCAGGACTGGAGCTTGTGGGAAAGACGGAACAGAGCTGGGGGAAGAAGTTTCCGCAGTGAGTATACCGCATCTTCGCAATTTGTCATCTGAACGCAGCATTTACGCAGAACGAGAAAGGCGTTCCGTATCGCTTTAGCTACAGCGCTCGTACACTTCTATCCGCCGAAGCACCACGCGCGTGCATTAGGGATACTGGATGATGTGTTGGCCCAAGACCCTGACAACGTCCCATGCCTCATGGGTAGAGGGTACGTCATGCAATATGCCGGAAACTGGGAAGCCGCAGGCTCGCTTTTCGAGCGAGTCACGGAGGTAGAAGATGAGCATCCGGAACATGGGCTTCGTGCTCGGGAGGAACACGCATGGTGCCGAATGCACCTCGGCGATGCTTCCAGGGCCGCAGAGGCGTTGCAAGTTGTGCTCGATAGCCTCGATCACCTTCAGGAACACGGTCAGGACCAGGCTCGGTGTTGGTGGAGGCTTGGGCAGTGTATCTGGCACGCCCGCGGTTCGTCACCTGATTGGCTTTGATACGCCTCTAGCTGATGGGCAGCTGTAGATGGAGACAAAGACGTTGCCTATCGCCACTTCATCACCGCCCTTAAACGTTCATCCACGTTCGCACCCGCGTTCACATCTTTGGGAATATACTACTCTGAGTATGCTTCCCCTCCTGATCCGACCAGAGCCTCCAAATGCTTCCAGAAGGCGTTCGAGCTGGACGCTCGTGAGAGTGATGCAGCGCATAGGCTCGCGCAAGGGTTCGCCGAAGAAAGGGAGTGGGATCTTGTGGAGGTTGTGGCAAGGAGAACAATTGCGGGAGAAGGAGGTCTCGGGGGAGGAATCGACGTGGAGGAGGGGGCCGCCGCTGCTCGCCACCTTCCCACCAACGTATGGGCGTGGAAGGCCGTTGGTATTGTCGAGCTAGTTAGCTGCATCTTTACTGTCACCGGCGAAAGCTAACCCGTGCTGTAGACTAGACGAAACTACCCAGCCGCCATACAAGCACTGCAAACGGCTCTTCGTGCCCATCAACAGGACCACACATCCTGGCTCCGGCTCGGAGATGCCTATTACCGAGCTGGTCGTTATGCTGCTGCTTCGAAAGCACTCGCTCGCGCAAAAGAATTGTGCCCTGATGACTGGATGTGCTCCTTCTTCATCGGCGAGGTTCAAAGGCAAACAGGGTTCTTCCGGGAAGCTGTAGACTCGTTCGAGTCAGTCTTGGAGGATAGGCCTGAGGAATTGGGCGTCCTGATGGCACTGGCACAGACATACCTAGATCGAGGATTACTAGAAAGCTCGTCGGGCTTCATCTCACGAGCAGAAGAATCTTGCCTCAGTGCAATCAAGGCAGCGCAGCGGGCGATCGAGTGCGGATCAGGGTTCCGTCATCTGCAGCTCAAGATCATCGGAGACGCCTTGTACCACCTTTCCTCGCGACCAGCGTTCACCAATGAACAGGTCGTGCGGCCTGTTGTCAATTCTGTCCATTCACTGGTCGGCGATGACGTCAGCGAACGGATCTCCGGGTTCGTCGCATCCAACCCGCTGAAAGCGGCTCTTAGCGTCTGTGGCGTAGAACTACTAGAAAGTGCGCTCTTCGTATATGACCACCGCCTAGATCTTGGATTTCACGACGACGCATCTGCGGCAAGCGCTTGGTGCGACCAGGCCGTTGCCTGCTACAAATGGGGAATGGTGTCCCAGGCAGAGGAACAACGGAATCTCGCCTTGAAGAGAGCAACGGCAAGTATGACTGAAGCGGTCAAAGCCGATCCCGGAAATGACACCTATTGGAACCTGCTTGCCTGCATGTCACTTCGAGAAAGGCCCAAGTTCGCACAAAATGCATATATCCGAGCCTTAGAGATCGATAACAAGGTATGCATCCTGTATGCCACTTTCATCGTTATAACAAACGTCGCTTGCAGAATCCGGTTACTTGGACGCATCTTGGCTTGCTGTATCTCTATCATGGTGACGCGGAACTTGCCAACGAGGCTTTGTATAGAGCGCAAACTCTTGATCCTGATTACACACTCGCTTGGGTGGGCCAAGGGCTGGTGGCGACCGCGAACGGCCACGATACTGATGCCAGGGCCCTCTTCGAGCACATCAACAACAGCTTGACCCCGACGGTTGTAAGTGCCGATTCTCTCCATGAAGCAGGCAGCAAGTGACGTGGTTGTTCTACAGGTGGCGGCAGATCTTGAATACGCATCACGGACCTTCGAGCTGCTGTCTAGGCCCTTACACGGGCGTGCAAGATCAACGGAAGAGTTCGTGCCAGTGTTTTTCGCCCTAGATCGTTATTGTAAGCGGCGCCCAGAAGATGCCTCTGCCCTCCATTTGTTTGGGCTTGTATGCGAGCGTATCGGTCACATCGAGCTGGCCGTAGAGCTGGTAACACGTTCGATCGAGATTCTGGAAGGCATTTACGAGGACACGGAAGACGCCACCGTCGAGCGACAGTTCGTGATTGCAAACACCACTCTCGGAAGAATGAGGGTGGCCACGGGCAACTTTCCGGGTGCACTAGAATCTTTCGAGACCGCCCAGGCACTCGTTCCGCTGGATTCTGATGACCGCTCCATAAAAATTCTCCGGTGTCAATGCGACTTCGGCCGCGCGCTTGCATATTTTAATCTTGGTCACCACGATGATGCACTCGCAAGCTTCCAGACGGCATTACAGATTTCTGGGGGGGACCGCGAGATTAAAGGACACGTTAGCGTACTGCTCTCTCAGGCCCTGTGGGCATTGGGCAGTACGGAGTTCCAGGAAACGGCGAAGAATCATCTGCTTCAGAGGTGGGTCACTCACGTTCATCCGTATCATGTGCTGCGACCCATACAGTTTCGCAGCATTGCTGAGGACCCAGAAGATTTAACCGCTATCAACACGCTCGCCGGTATGGGCATCGTTTCCGAGGACAGCAGCCTCGTCGACGCTGCTCTATCGGAACTACTCTCAATGTCCCTGGATAAGCGGCAGCAACTGGACCCCGGACGGGAGGTGCCGTACCTTCTGCTTCAACACCATCTCGGTCAGGTACCATATCCGTTGTCTCCCCATTCCAACAGAACCATCTCACCTCGGCTGGTTGTTAGAATGATGTGATGGGTGCAATATCTCTCGCGCAAGCTGCGGTCGTTGCGGAACCGACACGGCCAGAATTGAAGCGCAACCTTTCAGTGTTGACCCTGCAACAAGGCGATTACAGCGCAGCACTGGCTCTGCTTCCGCAATCTGAAACGGAAACAGCAGACGAGTCACGTAAGTCAACGCCGCTTCGAGCCGTCGCCGTGACACTGGCCGGTGAAGACAACGCGGAAGCTCGAAGGCTGGCCCAGAAGGCGGTGATGTTGAGTCCGGCGGACAAGCGAAGTTGGGAAGTCCTGGCTCTGCATTGCCAGCTGCACCAGCCTGGAAACGGGCATGGATTCTCGTCCTGAACCGGCTCCATTCGCCTCGGGAGACTGTTCGCATGTGCATATGACTCTGTCAGGGTGACTCTCGACATTGGCTCGAAGAACGCATGATTGCAATCGTTTATGGGCCGATTCGCCGAGGTTCGTTGGTGAACGGAGTTGATAGGGAAAGAAGGTTGCATTGTCCAGCGTGGCTTCTTGTCACGGAAACACCCCGGTTGCTTGTCCAACATCTCTCGTGGTTCTGAAACGTTGGAAGTTCGTAGGCTATGCAAGGTTCTGTTCTGTCCCGCACGTAATGATGAAGGAGTCATTCGAGCTGAATTGCACCAGAAGTACGCACCGTCGCGGTGTTACCGCATCTAAGCGCTTGATTTGGCCAGCCCCGCAGCATCGCCATGGCTAAGGAGAATCCATGTGCATGGGCCAGTCCAGAATACCAGCCGTGAAGATTTAGACTCCACGAACCCACGAGCACGATCTTGGAACGACGGAATACATATGCTGCGGCGAAGCATGATTTTCGGTACTTCTACGCAGGCTGTACCCGGCTCGATAATGAAAAACCGGGGATTGCTGTCGGACGGGGCTTGCACTCAGAAATAATACCAATCAACAAAGTATGCCCGTTAAGTACGTTCCGGTATACCGCGATTGAAAACCGCAATACCAAATCGTCTCGGACGATGATATGGTTGGGGGACGCGACCCACACTAAGCCGCTCTTCTCCCGTTCATGAACGTATGTGAACTTGCCATCGCTCGCGAAAGAATATGAAGATGAACGACCAGACGTCCCGACGCGCAGCCGCGGTTGTCTCCGGATCCTTCGTTGGTCCCCGCTGCGAGATCTCAAGAATAGCGGCGCTTCGGCCGACGAGAGCGGGGCAAGATGTGTTGGACGGCTCCACTCCATTACCAGCACGAGGCCACCAGGCATGAATGGTCTTCAGAGAATTAGGAGCAATGAGCAGTGGATAGGCGATTAACAGCTATGAATGTAGATGTAAGAACATGCGGGCTCGGCTATGACACGACTGTGAGGATCGGAGTTCGCCCGTTCGTTCCAAAGGAAACCGAGTACCGGAGCGCGGCCATCGTGGATGCGAGGAAAACTCGACGGCTGACGGCATCCCCTGGTGCGGCGGGAAGGGCCTCCGCTTGACCTTTCCCGGATTCGGGGACGGGTTGGATCTTATCGGCCTCGACGAGCCAATATTGCAGGCGAAGAGCCATGTCTTGGGATGTCAATCCTTTCGTCGGACTGGTGATCCAACCGAGGAGACAGGGCAGAAACGATGGTGAGCACGAGACGAGAACGTAGTCTGCTGAAGAACACGTACATCCCACGTTCCCGTAGAGCGCTGGCGAGCTCGGTTTGAGTGAGGTTCGCGCCGTAGTTCTCCTTACGCAGGAGATCATCGTCCTGTGCGATGTAGGACAGGTAGCGATGTAGCCGTCGCCGCCGTATCGGCGGGGGACCAAACTCGGATATCGCTAAGAGCCTATCCACAGAGTATAATCAGAGGCTGTCCAGGAGAGCAGTTGGAGTCCGGGCGAGTGCACGGAGCTGACGACTCACCCGCAAAGCGCCCTGGACGACGTGCTCGATAATGCACTGATAGGGACAAAATGGTCGGGGTTACCCTGCTGCCGCACGACCTCGAAGTCCGGCCGGAGCGCATGGTAGTAGAGCACTTGCTTGTCCTGGGCCTTGGAGGCTATCCGTTCCCGCTGCGAGGGCAGAATGCAGGTGCTCGGAAGCATGAAGGGGGCATACAACACGATGAGCGGGATGAGCTCTTCAAGAACAATGATTGTCACGACGAAGGGTATCATCCTGTACAACGGACGTCAGTATCTGGCTACGTACAGTCCACAATGGACAACGCACTTCAGGACATCCTGCCGATGAGTACGGATGAATAGGGCCTCTTTTCGCGTCAACGGTTCTCCCCCGTCTGCCACTCGCTTGCGTATGGCCGACACTTTGCTGCCATTCTTCCATATCTTCTTGATGCCTCGGAAGTAGAATTTCTGGAAGAGAAGGGACACATTTGAACATATCCGCAGAGATTATATCTGAGGCGCTGTAGGTAGCTTACCGAAACCTCCTTCAGCGGATGCCAAACCTTCTGGAAGACGTTCGCATCTTCAGGCGTCGGCACCATCACTCCACGTCGCATCGCGTCCTGTATGTCCTCCTTCATCACCGACAACACCGAACCTTGCGTCGGCGGCGGCTTCGGCATCTCCTTGGGCGGCGTCCTGGTGGGCTGTATCTGTTGCAGCTTCTCCGAAGCCAGGGGTGTGGTACCGTTGGTGGCTGTTGAAGCCGACGATCCTTGCGAGTCATCGGCTTGCGACTGGGGCACTTTCACAGGACCTGGGCGCAACTCAGCCTTGGGCTTGCGAACGGCGGAGGGCGGAGGTGGTACCACAGGCCCCGAAGTGGAGCCTTCTGGTAATGGCGGCGGCGTAGACAACAGCCTTATCCCTAACTGCTGAGCGTAGATAGATTGTTGGAGGTGTATCCGGCCAGCATATTGGGCTGCCCGCCTCCTTGGACACGCGACTACGGATCTTCAGAAGGGGTCAAAACTCAGAACCCGCGAGTGCTGCACAACGAAGCTGAAAATTCGCACCTCGCCACCAACCCATCTCGACGAAACGAGCGAATCATACAACTGATGCCAAAGCTCGCGACAACTCTCCAATAATGAAGTTGGAAAGGACACGGATTAGAGTGGACACGAAGGAAAGAGGATGAGAAAGAAATGTCTGGAGCTCGGCCACCTGCCGGTGCCGCTGGGACGCGTTACGCCGCTACGCGCCGACTCGGGAATCCGTATCTTTGCATGCGACTTCCTCCGCCCACTTTCTTGCAACGTTTGTATTCGGTTGGGTTTCTATCCAAACGCTGCTTTTGTGTCACGAACACTAGACCATTGGCCATGTCCAACCCAACGCTGCACCCTATCTTCAACCTCTCCCAGCATAACTCAGAATTAGTTGCTCGGAATTTATCGGCAGCCGGAGGCGAAGCAGCCATGTCTGCTATGCGAGCGACTCTCATGGCTATCTATGGCTCGAAAAAGACCTTGAAGCCGCCGTCGTTCAGTGACGAGCACTTGGCACTCGTCGCAGCCGACGTATCGCCATCGACGGCATCGCTCCAAGCCACCGGCGATTTCGGGCGCGCCGTAGCGGAGGCTGCATTTGCTACGGCGTGCGGAAGCATGCTCGCTGGTCAATCGAGCGAGAGCGACGAGTACGGTGACGTTGCTGTCTTTTTGGGTGACGGTGAATACGGACCTGGTCACGAGGGAAAGGTTCTGGAGGCGTTGGGACTCGTGCACTGGAAGGAAGGGGTGCGTATCGACTATTCATCAAAAGAACATGTTCATGTTGCTGATGCGCGACTTGCTAGATTGAACCAATACCGCTCGATCCATCCACGGGTCTCCCGAAGACGACATCCGGCACGGGCGAGGCGTTCTCTCATCTGACGTCTCTCTTGCAACAACTGAAGGACCGCTATGCGTTCTTGGCCAAAAGTTCGGAGACCCCGGAGAAGGTGTTGTACGTTTTGGTTGGACGTCTTTCGGATGGCTGGGTTGGTTTAGTCGGCGTTGGAATCTGGTCGGATTTGTGATTGACGGGTTAGAAGTTTCATTGACGACGCGACACGAACATGTGCAAATGTAAGAGTAACGCATGATTACCGTAGCAATGTACCTATATACAATATAACGACATAAATAGACATTCCGTAGATCTAAAGTACAATACTGACCAGGATGATTCCTCAAAACTCGAAGCTTTGGTCCAAGTCTTTCTTCAGATGGTCTTTCATTCCTGGAGGTAGCAATGGTTTATTGTCCCCTGTCGCCATGTACCCTGTTTATTCGCAATGAGCTATGGATTCATCTGATTGGGGTACTGACTCACTGAATGGCATCTCAACGCTCTCGTTCGCCGAGAAGGTGATCGTTGGGTAATCCTGACGCAGAATACGTTCAGCAGACAACTCCCTAAGTACTATTCAACAGCGTACGATATACGGTATCTTGTCAAGCGGAACTAAAACACAAAAGCTTCCAGTCCTTCGTCCCAATAAGAAAGGAGATGACACACCCTTATCATCGACTACTTTTTTGGTGACTCCCAGTGCGGTATCCGTTGTCATCTGTATCGATCCCAGATGGCGGGTCGGGAATCCAAGCACTCGCAGCTCCGATGTGCGATCACGCGGAGGATCATCACCTGAGCGATTCATCCCAGGACATATTCAATCCCGGCGTTGCAGCGCCGCTTGTCCTGACTTACCAAGTATGCCCTGTTATTTTGGTCAGACCATGTGTTGAATATCTTAAGAGGAGGATGCGTTGCTTACACCGAATAAGAAGCAAGAAAAAACCCCGTTGCCATCCTCGGGTGTCAACGCAGAGGTCGCTTTCGGGTCGAGGAGACAAACTTGGTCAATCGAGATGGATTGAGATTTCAGCCAGCTCAGGATGTCGTCGGTATGTGCTGCTCCTTTAGCTGTCGATGGATCCGACGATGCGTTGAGAGAGGACAACAGCGAGCGAGCGGAGCTGTCCGAAAGATGGGTAAAGTGCACAGTGCTGTCCTTGCCTGCAAGCGCGAGCATATGCTACTGCATGGATCGCAATTTAGTCTGACCCATCCTGTGCAGTGACCCGGTGTTCCATGCACCTTATATTCGAGTTCAACCCATTCCGGGAGAGCCTTCGGCGTATGGTCGTCGGCCTCCATGTGCTCTATCGATAGCCGCAAGCTCGTAAGCATGAGGGTTCGCCCATAGCTGCAACAACATACTACCAACCGATGATGTACGAGTATCCCATTGTGGTAAGGACAGCTTGCTCGATGGAGGTCACTGCACAGTGCAAAACAGCTTTCTGCAGGACGCCCTCACATGACCGTGAATACTTAATGGTAGGATATACTTTATTCTTATTTACAGATTATTTACAAACTGCCCGATGTGAATATTTTATGGTTAGGGTTAGCACCATCCAGAAACAAAGAAAAAGGCCTGCCCAGCCCGAGGGCCGAAGCAGGACAGGGAAATATTTAGAAAGTGCATGCGCCGAAGCACATACAAGCCGCCGTTCCTTCCTGTATGGACAAGGTCGCCGTGCTCTGGGAAGGCCCAACAGCCCGCACTCCCAGGACATGAAGGGGAGCACGCCTTCAAGGTAAGTATGAGTTGTTCGTAAGTCGGGAGGAGGGTTATATACCAGGGGTCGCGCACGGACCAGGCGAGTGTTTGGTCCAGCTTGACGGAAGGACCGTGAACGCATACAACGTAGTTACATAGGCCACACTAAGTATTCCGTCTTCCAATGAAGGATCGATCACATTTCATGTTCTATTCGATAACCGCAAGTCTACAACACTCCGCGAATGGTACGTTACAAACAATAGCCAAACCACTATGTAGCAAGTCCACGATGTACACGATGCGTTTTGCGACTCCACGTATAACGGTGATGAAAACAGCGAGGAAAACTATGTAATCTATCCGCCCATCTTGCGCATTTGTACCGCATGCTCAATCATCTAACTGAAGGCACTGTCCTTTCTCTGATCCAGAACGATGCCCTTACAGAGCGTCGGGAGAAATATCACCAAGCGTGTTGAGCTCGGCCGCGCTCCTGGCACTGAACAAAGACTGAGGGTCATCACCGAACTCCGATCGGGAGTCAATGTTTTCCTGAGCGTCGCGTCAGCATCGTAGACGACGTCAAGGAGTCTCAAGAGAATACTAACGTCGAAGTAGTGACGCGCAAGACTACGGGGAGCTAGAAAGCGAGCGCTATGATCAGAATCCCAACGACTATGCAGAACATAAGCAACACTCACTCTTTGGCGTCTTCGGCAGTCGACAACTAGCACCACTCTGAAGGATGTGGTACGCTACAAGGCCAGACCAGCCAGTCTGGTGGGACGCGCCGAGACCGCGACCATCGTCGCCGTGGAAGAACTACACGATCCACTGTCAGCACGGACAGACTCAGTGACCACCCGTTGTGGATGTGACGAACCTCGTAGAACCACACATAATCACGGAAGTGAGGGTCGAAGTCCAACTTCGGGTTACCACCATTCGTCGCGCGCCTGCCATCCATATCGCGACTGAAGATGTGGATGATCCGGTGCTGAATCTCCTCCGCGACGCCAACAAGGTTCATGTAATCACCACTCCCGGTGGGACATTCCACCTTGTTCGCGTTCCTCAGCATAAGCGGCACGAATGAGATGCGAACTGCGTACCTGGACGTCATCGCCGTAGTATTGGTAGAATCGTTGCAAGCTCTCAATCAGGATGAAGTTGACGGCAAGCCCTGCGCGCCGTCAGGCACCGAACGCGTGTTTTTTTAGTAGACACTCACAAATTGGCCCTCTCCAGTTCGAGTTGCCGCCGAACATGCCAGACTTGGAATCGCCAGGCCAGTAGTTGACCTCGTAGCGCTGTCCGTTGACGTCCATTCCCCAGGGGTGCTCATTGTGGTACTTCGAAAGACTGAGGAAAGAAAGGGTTAGCCGTAAGTGATAGCCATGGAAACTGGGTCCACATACGAGCGAATGCCATACTCGCTCAAGAACTCGTCTTCATCGAGCATCTTCTCCAAAATCCTGACCAAGCGCTCCTTGCTCGCCAACGCCAGCAACCTTCGTTGACCCTTACCACCGGCTGATCAAGCGCGACAGCCATCGATCAAAACTCATCTATCACAGAGCTGAGGTGGACTACACACCCTTCATGTTCGCCATGGTGCGGTCCGAAAGCTCTGGCCGGTTGTCGATGAACCACTCCATACGCTTCTTAAAACCTGGGAAGCGGTCGATGACATTTGGTTCGAGCACAAGCGTCGCATAAAGTGGTATCAGCCCAACGAGCGACCGCACGGGCAGTTGCATCGAGTTGCCCGGTGAGTACTGAGAAAGGCAGGCTGAGCACGACGGGCATCGCCCACGGTATTCAGTGCACGCACCTGGATAGCATCGTAGTACATCCCATCTTCTTCGTTCCAGAGACTGAATTCGTCGTCGCCGGTCCCACGGAAGGTCATGGCATCCGCAATGAATATGAAATGCTGGAATGAGTCTGAGCGATGTTCAACCAAGTACGGTGAAGTTTAGCATACCTCGAAGAACTTAGATGCGATATCCTCGTATACTGGGTTTTTCTTCGCCAGCTCCAACGCGATGTTGAGCCTAGATCGACCGGTTAACACACAATTCATAGAAGAACTGATAAAGAACTGACATATTGAGGCAGTAGAACGCCATCCACGCGGTCCCGTCCGCTTGCCGGAGCGTACCACCCGTAGGCAACGGTTCCGAGCGGTTAAACACACCAATGTTATCCAACCCAAGGAACCCACCCTCGAAGATATTGTTCCCATCCTGGTCCTTCCGGTTTACCCACCACGTAAAGTTCAGCAGCAGTTTCTGAAACACGCGCTCCAGGAACGCGTAGTCCTCACGCCCAAACAGCTTGCGCTCGATCTTGAACACCCGGAACGTCGCCCACGCGTGCACAGGCGGGTTCACGTCCCCAAAATTCCACTCGTAGGCGGGGATCTGCCCGTCCGGCTTCATGTACCACTCGCGCGTGAGCAGATCAAGCTGCTTCTTCGCGAAGCTCGGGTCGACGACCGCTAGGGGCAGGCAGTGAAACGCCGTGTCCCACGCCGCGAAGAACGGGTACTCCCACTTGTCCGGCATGGAGAGGATGTCGGCTATATGGAGGTGTTTCCAGTCCTATACGACTGATCAGTTTCCTCTGGGAAACCCCAATAGAAATTGACTCCGCTTACCCTGTTCCTGACATACTTCCTTCCCGGAGGTGGGGGCGGCTGCGCCGGATCACCCTCCATCCAGGGCTTCTGTATGAACTGATAGTATTGCTTGGTCCACATCATACCACCCAAGGCTTGGCGCATGATCTGCTTCAAGTCGTCGCTGATCGGGCCCAAGACGAGCTTCGAGTAAAACTCGTCGGCTTCCTGGCGGCGCTCCTCGAGTGTCTCGTCAAACAGACCCTCATCTTCGATCGACGGGTCCTGCGCTGGCGTGCGCGGCGTCAGCTTCAGGCGTACAACCGCGCAGCCACCATGAGGGGGCACGTCCTCGAACGTATAGTGCGCGCCCGCCTTCGTACCCCGTCCCTCAGGGTTGACGTAGTTTGGGCCAGGGAACGGCGTCCTTGGGCCTTCTTCCGGTGTGCTGTCATCCTCGTACCGCGAGTCCTGGCGCGAGTGTACCTTCGTCTCGAAGTAGTGCTCCGGATCACACTGCGGCCGGTGGGAATGCACAATGTGGTCGTGGAATGCGTCCTTGACGTACTGCGCATCGTTTTGCCCTCCGTATAGCCGATGGAAGTTGGTGTTGTTCTCGGTGAACATCAGCTCAGGCTCGATCGTCACGTCCTCATCAAGCACGGCATCCGGCTGCGGGCCAACGGGCGGCGGGGATGGCAAGGTGTAGAGGTGCGTCTTGCCAAAGGTTGGGTGCGATGCGGTAATAACGTTGTCACCCGCGCGGCGGAGTGAGGGCATCGGCGGTTTCTGTGCGGGCCAGGACCAGGTGTTCGTAAACCATAGCTGGGGGATAACGTGCAGCGTTGCGGGTTCTGGGCCGCGATTGTATGTTGTGATGCGAATATATATACTGTCTGGATCCTCTTCATCTTTGGCGTACTGAAAATAGGCGTTAGCATGTCCTGCGTCATGTGACAGCGTTTACCTACCTCGACAAACACGTCCCAGTACCTGTCTTCGTCAAACAGGCCCGTGTCCATGATCTCGTATTCGGTCACCTCGCGGCTGCGGTTCTGGTTTTCCTTGATAAGCTCCTCATACGGATACGCCTTTTGAGGGTATTTGTACAGGAACTTCATATACGAGTGCGTCGGCGTTGAGTCCAGGTAGTAGTACAATTCCTTGACGTCCTCGCCGTGGTTACCCTGGTGGCCGGTGACACCGAACAGACGCTCCTTGAGGATGGGATCCTGACCGTTCCAGAGGGCCAGCGCGAAGCATATACGCTGATGGTTGTCGGAGATGCCGGCGATACCATCTTCGCCCCAGCGATATGCGCGCGAGCGAGCGTGCTCGTGCGGGAAGTGCGACCAGGCGTCGCCGTTTTCGGAATAGTCCTCCCGCACCGTTGCCTGTACGTGCATGAAACATCGGAGTATATGCGCATCGATCTTCACTTACCCACTGCCGCTCGCTGAGATACGGACCCCAGCGCTTCCAGTGCTTTTTCCTGGCATCGTCTTGATCAAGTCGATACCGTTCGGCGCCATCGTACTTGGTCCCGAGCTTCTCGAGCAGACGTTCACGATAAGGGCGGCCATCACGCTCGTCCTGCACTGTCGGCGCCGGCGGTTTCGATACCTTGGGCGGCGTTGGGCTGGAGGTGATCACAGCGGGCTTCGGGATCTGGATGGTAAGCGATGGATCTGAGCCGGCGCGAGCCGTCCCGTCGCCGCCGTTGCTCGCGGCGGTCTTGCCAAACAGCCTGTCTTTCATTTTCTGCGCTTTCGACATGGCGGGCAACAGAGAGCGATAAGACGGTGAGGGCGGGGAAAGAGAAGGAGGAATGGAGAAGAAACTCGAACGCGACGCGCGGGGAAGTTGGGACGCGTGAAGGTGAACCCGACGTCATCAATCTGGAAACATATGATGGCACCGCCGGGTCTCGCGCCGGACAGGCATTTTCTCAGGCGAAGGTCAGAGATCTGGCGCGAGGGAAACTGCACGGAGCGATTCCAGCAGATAGGAGAGTGGGACTGGGCTGAAGTTTTGGTGAAGCGCTCAGATGGTAGTGTGGACCGTGTCTAAAGCGTATCTGGAGCTTGCGTGGCAGCTTCGAGTCCCACAGCAAAGGAGGGCATTGAGTTACCGGTATGATGCTAAGGAACACGGTCATCGGTGGCAGCTAGGCGTTAGAACGCGACGATTGAGATAGCAAATGCAAGCTGCAGGGCTGCTGTAGGAAATGCAGGAATATGCTTCGCATCTGCATGCTCGACTTCATTCGAGCCAACTTGAACGTACCCGGGCAAGGAAACCCGAAATAATTGGCACCGCCACTGCGCTGACCTTCCCACGGCCGGACTCCCTCCTCCAGGGACTCCTACCACCCCCGCCCTCGTCCGCGATCTGAATCTGGACCCATGGCACCTCCACGCGTCCGTCGCGCCCACCGCGCCCAACCGGCACCCGATGAACAGTCCACGGAGCAACAACAACACAGTAGCAACAATGATGCCGACGAGGGCGAGACGATCTTCGTCGACCTCATCATGGGCACCCCGCTCTCGATGTTCGTTGAGAAAGACGTTCCCGATCGGGAGGCTATCGTCGAGTTGATCAACGTACGCACTTGCGCCAACTGTTCCTCAATGGACATCACGTTGATCGTGCTCGATGTTGACAGAATCATGGAGGCATCGTGGCGCCCGGCTACAGCGGCGTGTCGTATATCCTCGGTATGTCCGGTCCTTTGAAGGACACGAACATTTACCCGATATGATATGTCACCTGTAGTCGACCCTCAGCAAGAATCTGGTCAAAATCTGTACCGACAATACGTCGGGAAGAAGGGCAAGGTTGTCCTCGATGCTCGTTGGATCCAGGAATGCGTCAAAGCAGGCGCCCTGCAAACATTCCAGCACAACTGGGCGGGCTGCAAAGTGACTGGAACAGAAACGTACGTGCAGAGGTCAGTCAGAAACCGAGTTGCCATTGACGATATTTCCTAGCGTCGTTCCTCGGCCTACTCAACCTGTACCCGCTCCAGCCTCGATCCAGCCCGGTCCAACTACCTCGCCCTCTAACAGCTCCGAGGCCATACCACAAGCGATTCCTCCGTTGCAAACACAAACGGTTCCCGGTCCATCTCAGACCCAACCTCGTCGGCGGCGTACTGCGCAACGTCAACAACAAGCACAACCGACGCAAATCCAGCCAGCCGCGCCCATCCCCCAATCTCAAGCCCCACCACAACCACAACATCACCCGGTCCAGCCCGTACCCGGTCCCTCCATTCCGAACGTCGACCCTCAGCTCCAGCTCCCACAAGCACCTCCCCCTCACCAACCCCAGCCTCAGCCCCAGCCACATGTCGCCCACCACGCCCCTCCGCATCACATGCAAATCCCAGCCCCTCCTCCTCCGCACACCTTCTACCCTCAACTGTTCGTACCCCCTCCTGTCCCACATCAAGATCCCGCGGTGCCCACAGCGCAACACACCCACCCCTGGCATGGACACGTTGCCCCACACCAGATGCACCACCACCCCGGCCCGCACATGATGCCTGCCCGCCCTCCGGAATGGGGCGCATACCACCCTCAAGCCCAACCCCCTCCGCAAAACGCGAACCCTACTATGGTGGCACCTAGCCCGTACGACTACAGATACACCGATGACCGTACAGCCACTGGTGCACCCGCTCCATGGGTTAATGGGCCGAACGATTACTACGAAGAACCCGTAAGGACACCCCTTCCATCCGTGGCTCACACTCCATGGCATTATTATGCGTATACTCACAAAATCGATGACAGTACCACACCGCCTACCAAACTCAGGATCCGTACATGGAAGAACCTGCCCCCGACCCAGCTGCAGAAGCTGCAGCTCAACCCGAACAGCCTGATGTAGGAGTAGGACCCTCCTCAGAGCCTACCGACAAACCTCGCGGGCGGAAACGGGCACGCACACAGGTTCGCTCTCTATTGATGCAGCATATGCAGCGCCGACTCTTTTCATGTAGCCCGCCCCTGCACCTCCACCTACCGCGCTCGTGGCGAACCGGCGCAACCCGCCGCAGCGCTCGCCGACGCCTCCGACGCGTGTCATCAAGAGCACTTACGGCGGCAACCTCTTCACCTCCGATGACGTGCTCTACCTCAAAAAGTACATCGACTACTGCCAGGAACAAGGCCTCGTCCTCTCCCTGCGCGAGATTTGCGAACGTGTCGCGGTCAAGGCGCCTCACCACACGTACGTCCTCAGCCCTTCCTCGCGACGATTGCGCCCTCGTCCGAGGCTGAGTCGGATACACATTTAGGTTTTACTCATGGAGAAGGTATTGCAACAAGCACCAAATCCGGCTCGGCGGGTATGCCATGGACAACACTCGTGCTCAAGACGGCACGGCCCCCGACGGCGGAGACGAAGATATGATGCAAGACGGCGCCGACATGGACATGGACGAAGCGCCGTTTGGACCTGGGCCTTCCGCCCCCACCGCTGGTCCCTCTTCGTCCGTCCCTCGCCACGGTATGCCGATGGACATGGATCAGGACACGGACGGGCCCAGTGCCGCGATCGACTTCGGGGTGGGCATACCGACACTTGGTCATGGCATGACGCAGGGGGGCAGAGCGGGACCGGGAGGGCCTCAGAGGGACCGATCGCCAACGCCGCCCAAGGCGCTGTTCCGGAGCACGACGGGGAAGGGCGTCGCGTTCACCGAAGAGGACACGCAGTTCCTGGTCAGGTTTTACGAGTATCGGCAGTGAGTTTAAGTCTCCAATCTCGACGCTTGGGATTCCGTGCTGACTTCGATGGGCGTGGCAGGTCACAAGGACGGATGGATATGGTCGCCTTTTGGCGAGATGTTGCCACGAAGGTACGAGATCCTGGGTGACTTACGATCGCGATTGGACTGAGCTTGGCGCATCGTGTCGTAGGCTCCTCATCATTCCCGAGCGTCGTGGATGAAGTTCTGGCGAAGGCATAAGCACGAATTCTTCCGCTCGGCGGAAGACGCCCCGCTGCCTCAGGCGCCGGAGAAGAAGATGCGGTATAGCCATGCCGACGACGTCTTGCTCGCCAAGTTCTTCTTCCACCGGCCCGAGGGCACGAGCGATAAGATATTCCAGAACTTTGCGCGAGAGGTGCGAGCTCTTCACTCTTCTGTGCAAATCCATATGTTGAGGTCTCACTCGTTTTATAGCATCCTCATCATCCATGGAAAGGATGGCAGGAACATCATCGCATACACAAGGCCACCATCGATCATTATATCCAGAAGCTCCAGAAGGGAGAGAATATCGATGAGGAAGCCCCACCACCGAAATGATGTGTTGCACCTCATTGTATTTTTTGGCGTTGTACACACGCTCGTGCAACTTGGGCTTGCGCTTTCTGACCGTTCATCGACCTCGCGAGGCTCACAATCATGAGGGCGTCGTCAGATGTCACGGACGTCAACCTTACAAACAGGTGTCAAGGTGGACGCGGAGGGGCTGGAACAAGTTTCTGGGTGTGGTTGCTCACTCTACAGTCTAACCTCCTCTCGTACAGCGTCTGAGCATAAGCACCTGCAAGATGGAACCCGTTGACGACTTCGGCACCAATCGACATTCCCCGCATCGACCCAAACTTGGCAGACCGGGGGGGCCGTCTCGCTACCCAGATCTGTGCTTCGCGGATGGCAACGTCGCTGTCGTTGCTGGCGCCCAGTATTTTCTCGTTCATTCTGGTGTACTCTGTCGACACTCGGAGGTTCTAAGCTCGACGATCAAGGAAATCAGGGATCGAACCCCACCCACCACCGAAGAATACCCCGTTGTGCAATGCGACGACAGCGGAGATGATATGGCTTACTTCCTTGCCGCCATCTACGATGGAGTGTGAGACGCGGAAAGAGCTGATACAAGGCACAGCTAACCTCGTAGTCGTAGATCGGATATACGATGCGACGCTCACGATTTCGCGCGCGCCGCAGGCGTACTGAGGCTGTCGACCAAATATGACGTGAAGCACCTCCGGTCGGCTGTGCTCGCCGGGTTCGCGCGATCCTGGCCGAAGACCTTGGAGGAGTGGGAGACGAGGGAGATCGAGGCGACCAATCCGTCGGGGCTGTATGCGCCGTGCATATCGCTCCCGTACCCGATGTACTCTGCATCCTTCCTTCATGAAATCCGTCGCTGATGCTTCGTCCAGTCTCGTCATCAACCTCGCGCGGGAGGTCGGTGCGCCTGGCCTCCTCCCGTCGGCGTTCTACGACCTCTGCCGCTACCTCCCCAGCGAAGCTGCGTCGGGATACAAAGCGAACGATTCCAAACATCACCGTCTCGCGCAAGAGGACCTTCTCCGCATGCTGCAAGGCCGCGAACACGCCGCCCGCTTCCTCTCTACCTTCATCGTCAACGAGCTCGAGGGTCGCCAAGCGTCGGAAGAGTGCCTGAATCGGTTGTTGCTTTCAGCAGAGGGCGCGATAGTGAGACGCTCGGAGTGCACCATGGCGTTCGAAACGGTGACGTTCGAGCTCGTGCGGGACGTGAACGGGCTGGTGTGCAACCGCAACTCAGACGTGCTTTACGCGATCGGGCATAGTTTGATGTTGCAGACGAGAGACGTGAAGACGGGACATCCTTTGCAACCTCTTCCGCGCACGTGTGAGCCGTGCAGAATGGTGTATGCAGGAGTTGTCGACGATGCGAGAAGGGAATTGTGGAGTCTGCTGCCAACGTGGTTCGGGGTGGAGGTGGAGGATTGGCCTACGCGACCATGAGCATCCGCGATAGGCGATACATATACCGGCGTAGAGCTTTGGAAAATAGCGGATCAATGACTTGTTCCCTCTGGTACCGTGGTCATCGTTGTACCGTACTACGTAGAGAATTGTTCGGTCCGGAACAGGGGAAGATGGACGCGTCGGCTATTTCCCTGAGCGTGAAATAATTATAATGTGGGAGTGTCATGAGCGCGACCACGCTCGCCGCTTCGGCCTTGACATGGCTTCTCTATCCCATTATGTTGTCGCTGTACATGGTGGAGCAGGTTTTCATGACCCGAAACATGACAAAGTCATCAAGGAGAATATGAAGGCGTAGGTTGCCCTTTGTGTCCTTTGACACTGAAGCTAACCTCGGCGGTTCCTTGGTCAGCGCATGTTCCCGTGGCATCGACCTTCTGTCTAACGGATCCCAAGTAATTGACGCAGTCGAAGGCTCCATATCCATGTTAGAAGATACGGAATGTTTCAACGCAGGTAACTCCCGCGTATCCCAATCACCAATGCGTACAAAGTACTGACACTGCACAGGATACGGTTCGAACCTAACATGGGATGGCGGAGTGGAATGCGACGCATCTCTTATGGAAGGCACAACATGTGCCTTTGGAGCCGTTGGTGCCGTCTCTGGTCGGTAGATTTACTCCATGACAGCACCGTCACCGACAACACCCAAGGCATCAAGAACCCGATAACTGCCGCCCGTCGAGTGTTGGAACATTCGGGCGTGCAAGATAGACTTGGTCGAATTCCGCCACTGTACGCGCTTTCCTATATATCAAGATCGGCTCCCCTCAGATTCAAAAGTTTGCTAGTGTCCGCAGGTGCACATAACTACGCTGCTTCCCGCGGCTGTCTGGTGATCCCTCCGAACGAGTTGGTGTCAACGCGTGCGCAAGAAGAATGGAAGTATTGGAAAATTCTGGCTCAATCAAACGATACTGGAGACCCGATTCACGGCGGCGCTGGCCCATCTCGTCCCAGTGGACTTGATCTCCGCCAGGACACCGTTGGCGCGGTGGCGCTCTCGGAGAAAGGTGTTGCGGCGGGGGTTTCAAGGTGAATGATTCCTGCTCATCCCAAGGTCCCCATGTATCGATGCCTCCGGTACAGCGGCGGACTTCTCCTCAAGATGCCCGGGCGCATAGGCGAGGTTAGTTGCTATAACATGCGTCGCAGGAAAAGAACGTTGCTTATCAATGGCATGTTGACAGGCGGCTGTCTTCGGCGCTGGCTGCTGGGCAAGCCAATCCGATGATGGTGATGTCGTCGTTGCTTCCAGCGTATCCGGCATGTGTGTTCTGTGTGTTTCCATCGGCACTCGACTGACCGCATGAGCTCGTAGGCGCAGGGGAGCGAATCATACGGGCATCTGTTGCTCGAACCATATGCGAGAAATATCTGTTGGAGAATGAACCAGACGTCCATACAATATTGCAAGACGTGCTTGTTGAACCCGCGCATGGTACGCGTGAGGCATCACTGTTGCGCGTCATATCTCACCTGTTGTCTTTCCATAGAAACCCAATTCGGAAGCTGGGACGTGGGCGTGATAGTGATCACCAAAGACAGAGAGGAAAGCACTCGTGAGCTGCCTTTTTACTTTTAACGCTCATTGGTGACGCTTGAATCCGTAGCACATTTATGGTGTGCATTTACCACTCAGAGTATGGCGATAGCATATGCTTCGAGGCTCAATTCACGACCGAGAGTGAGTCATTTCGCCCCCTGCTATGACTACGCTGATCGGGTGCCATATGCAGACACGAGTTTTACGCCGGCCCGTATACGCGGGTCGCAGTGGGACTCGCTCGGTAACCATTGAAAGCTTACCGTTAGGTGCTGCTTGAACTCCTACTTCATCGGTCTTAGCTAATGATCGCGAGACGCATTGTCACACTCTCGTCGACTGCTGTAATCGTAATGACCTCTGCCCTTGCGTGCCGAGTAAGACTAACCACGTGGCCCAGATCTGAGATGGAGGAAATGCACCGCCACCTCTAGACAGAGCTTCTATGAGCACAGCCGCTTTGCTTGCACCACGTCACCACCTCCGCGCTCAATATTCTTGCTTTGCTCTTGCCTCTGTCACTGCTGCCGCGCTGTCTTGTGGAATGGCGGAAACGGACTACGACTTAATATCATCGTACGCTGGACTTTTGAGTCTTGCTGTGACATCGATTGTGGCTGGCTCGTATGGTTCTATTCCTGTGAGTCCTGGTCCGCCAGAGGTTCGCTCAACGCTAGCTTCAAGGTGAACGGTCCATGACGGGGTAGGCTTCAAAGCACAAGAAAGAAGGTGTCACGGGCGGAACGGAAGATGACGACGACGACGAAGATATCACTGATCGTCTTTCGTCGGAAGACGCCTGGCTGTTTCCTGTGGTCCGTGCATGTCCAGCAGTGTGCCACTTAAGGACCACATTAACGTTCAGTAGTTCGGATCCATCACGCTTTTTGGAATGTACCTTGTAGTGAAGTACCTTGGAAAGGAATGGATCAACTGGTTCCTCGGCTGGTACTTTGCGATCACTGGGGTGGCTAGCGTGTGGAAAGTGAGCAGGCGCTTTCATATCCATGGAACCCGCTCATTCGTCTCTTCAAGTCATCGATTGCGCTTTATCGATGGACAATAGGCGAAGAGCGCTGGAAGAAGTACGACAGGGTTCGTTTCCTTACGACAAAGGGTGGCAAAGGTGCGCGGTCAATACACATATCATTGGCCCGTCCTCGGCTGAGCACCCCATCCTTGTTCCAGAACTCCTATCGATATCTTTCCGCACACCTTCTTTTGTGCTGCTTCCACTCAGCGCCATCCCGTCGGTTCTATACTCCTTCCCCGAACTAGTACCCTCCCTTCTGGCCGCCGTCCACGCGCTGGCACCCACGGTTTTCCCTGACCTTTCAGAACAATTCTCCTCGACGAAGGATGCAAAGCGCTCCGCACTTCTGACGGACATCCTTGCGCTCTCTTTCTCCCACAATGCTCTTAGCCTGCTCAAGATTGACTCCTTCAAGACGGGCACGATCCTTCTTTCCGGCCTGTTCCTATATGACATTTGGTGGGTGTTCGGGACGGAAGTGGTGCGCGCTATATCAGAATCTGTATATTGCTTTCTCATTGACCTGCTGCGCAGATGGTGAAAGTTGCCACGAACCTCGACGTCCCCATTAAGCTTCTTTGGCCCAAGAGCCTGGTGTTCTCCACAGAACGCGGCTTCACCATGCTCGGCCTCGGCGACATCGTCATCCCGGGCACATTCATCGCGCTGGCACTGCGATATGACCACCACCGAGCTTCTCTCTCACAGGCTCAAAGCGGCGGTAAGCAGGTTTCCTGATATGCGTCCTATCACAGTGCGAAATGAACCTCGTTCAACCTGACCGATAGGTGGATACCCTAAGCCGTACTTCAATGCGGCGTTGCTTGCTTATGTCCTCGGGCTGGGCACGACGATGACGGTGATGCATGTGTTCCGCGCTGCGCAGCCGGCGCTACTATATCTCAGGTACGTTATACACCTCCTAGCAGCCACTGCGTGGTGGGCGTGGGCCATGACACGGCCTTCCGCGCGGGGGGTGGCCTTGTCGTAATGGTGCATAGTCCCACGACTCACGTCCTTCTTCTCCAGCCCGGCGTGCATCCTTTCGTTTTTCATAACCGCGTTCCGCACGTGTCAATTAAAAGAAGCATGGGCGTGGCATGACGAAGCACCGAAACCCGAGAAAGAGGGAGACTTGACCAAGGAACAGGTGGAGAAGAAGGACCAATAATCGATGTTGCGAGTGAGTGGACGCCCGCCATCAAGGTCGTCCGACACTGATGCTAACTCTTGCCGCTCGCCATTAGAACCTTAATCTTGACTGCAGTGCATAACGCCAATATCTATATCGCGTTACGCAATCCTATACCCGTGCAGCAAGTGACGCTTCGCTGGCCTCTCGAATGCGCCATGTCTGCACGTGGATAAAAACACCGCGCTTCTCAGTTCTCGTGGTCAAACGGAGAAGGAGACGTATCCGCACCAACTCATATGTGGCTAGCGCGTCCCGGTAGGAACTGAGAATGCCGTGCGCCGCAGCTCGGTCTTCCGCCGCGTCGATGAAAGCACTGATCTCGCTGTAAAAAGGGTCGTCCTGCGATTCAAACCCAATGCGACGTCAGAACGAAGTCGTCATATGACGCCCTCGTGCCACTGACGTTCTGGAAGGTATGGATCTCTGTGGATGAGGGTCAGACCGCATTAAGCTTTTGGGCGTCGTGAAAGGGTGGCACGCGTCCTCGTACCTTCTGCTTCTACCCCGGGACGCCGTACGGAGAGCATGGGCGAGATGCCGTAAGGGTTCACCAGCTTCATCTGGTAACCGTCCGCATACACCTCGAATTCGGTGGAATACGTGTTTCCTGCACGATGTGGGCCCCATGACGTTCACATTACCTGCACTGTCCTGGAGGGTTGACCCTTACCATGCAGGGCGATGACGTGCGTCAGGCTGCCCACCGCGCCGCCCTGGTACTTCCACGTCGCGGAAGTCATGCGCGGCACCCGGTTCGCGGTAGGGATGGCGTCCTCGTCGAATTGTTTCACGGACAGATGCCCTGGCGGCTCGCTGTGCTCCACGGTACGCGCATAGACGGAGGGCAGCACTACCTCACCCCCGAAGTACCGCGACAGATCGCCTATCGCAAAAAAGAAACATCAGTGTTCTGCCCCTCTTCTCCGCCACGCGTGTCCAAGCGACCACGATCAAAGGCTCATGGTGTACTTACAAAAATGGGTCGCCTGCTCCACGATGGCTGGATATGGGCAGGCCCACGTTAGTCCTAGTTCTGGGCAGCCCTGCGATGAGACGCCGCTATGCACTCACGTCCGCCCGATCGGGTTTTGTCCCACCATGCCTGTTCCGCGTTTCGAACCGCGGCGCAAGCACGAGTCGGAGCCACCACGCACCAATTTACGGGCCCACTCACTGAATATCGATTCGGGGGTGAGTTGGTCTCGGAGAAGGCTGGCGGTCGATGAAAGCGCCGGAAACTCACTAAGCCATCACGTATCTGGCGTTGGTGCCCATGACGGTGAGGCCGTTTTCGTCGATGATCGTCCTACGTTCCGTTGCTTAAACACCGGAGCGGTCGCAGCTGATGGGGCCTCGTGCACTCACTTCATCATCTGGACCGCTAAGGATCACACCATCGGGACGCGTCAGACCCCGCTTCTCGATCCGCAGCATGGGGGGAGGGGGGGTGAGGTATAGGCTTTTGACTTGCCTTTCAGGTAGCGCAGCATGTACCCCACTCCGACGAGCGTCCCGGCGGCCTCGAGGGCGGCTGCTACGCGGTGGCAGGCCGCTGGCTCGACGCTGCACACGGGCTTCTCGACGAAGAGGGGACAGCCGGGGAAGAGCTTGACCGCCTGCAGCTCGAGGTCTTGACCGGGAACATCCGTGCCCCTCGCGAACGGCGGGACTCCGAGGATGATCAGGCTGGGAGGGGGGGTTTACGCAGCGGTCGAGCTCGGGCTCTAGCGGGCAGGAGGGGCACGCACTTGGGAAGCTGATCGTCGGTGAGAGCGGCGCGAGCCTGCGTCAGGGAGTCGAATATCCCCGTGTCGCGGTAGTTGTCCGAGGCCGCGGAGGTCTGCTTCGTCTTCAGGGCGAGTTCGGCCCTCAGGACGTCCGGATCGACTATCGCGACGATGCGGAGCCGGTCACCCAGTTTCCTAGCCAGAGAGATAGATCAAGGTCAGGGTCGGGAGGTGGCCCGTGTCGCTCGGCGGGAGAGATGGCATCACTTCTCTAGACGTAAGGACTGTGTGCATGCGAAGAAACCGGTGGGATTCGGGTCAGATTACTCGGCGGGATGGGATCCAGTAGGATGATGCGCGGTGCCAAACTGGGCTGGGCGTGTAAGAGGAGGAGGGGGGACACGTACGTGGTTCCACGGGCCTTCCACTGACCCTGCGGATCGGAGGAGTGCAAGAGAGATCCCGTTTAGCGAGCTGCAGGGCGGTCTGCGTAACATCTTACCAAAGTTGATCTCCCCCGCGCCGATCAGGATGACGTTGAAGCGAGAGGCGTTCATTGTTACCGCGCTGGAGGCGCGTGTCTTACCGCGATGTTGAATAGCGGAAGTCGCCTACTCTGGTTCAGCCCTGAATAACGTCGGAAAGACGACGCGCGTCGATGATTAGATGAGGTGAGATCGAAGGCCATGCTCGCGGGCCGTTGATCCGGGATGCGAAAGAAGCGGTCTCGTATGCATGAACCCTAAGTTGGGACATGGGAAGTGCTCGGTTTAGGTACCCGCGGTGGGTTCCGGTGTCTTTGCAAAGCCATACATCAGCACTGACTCGCTGTAGACGCGCGACCTTTGTTCTCATGGACTGTCAAAGCAGAGATCGAACTCGAGCGCAAAAAACATCCGTATACCCGACCGGGATGATGACAGTCCTCAAGGAAACATGTGAAGCCAAGGACAATATCCTCCGCATCATGGATCATGATGTTGTGTCGCTGTAGAGCCGCGTAGAGGCACTCGTGATATTGCAACACAACGATACGGAGTGTAGCGAGAGCGGAGGATGTACCGTAAATGTACTTTCTTGTTCCGATCCATGCACGTCAAGTTCGTCATGGCTACCCCATGACGGGGGCTTCCATCCGTTCGCTGGACGCCTCTACTACCATTCCGCGGCGTCTATGTTGATATGGACGCGTGATCGCAACTCGGAGACACCCTAGATCCACGCATAAGATCTCTCTCCGAACACCGGGTCGCCCGTGATGTCGCTGCGAACGAGAGATGGGTAGATGGCTGTACTGTACATACGAAAGGGTTAGGTTCAGAAGGAGCTGCTGCTGCGTTTGGCGAGGATCAGGGAACCTGGATCTGTTTCTCTTGGTGGTGTGGGAGCCCTGGGCGAGCCTGAGAACGGATGGGGGGATCTGGGATTTTGGTTAGTCGCCGACGCTGCTGGTCCACCCCCATCCTGGTCCTGGTCCTGCGATGGCATGAGGGGTGAGTATGGCGTAGTGGCTGGCAGAGGATAGGTTTAAACGAGATCCTGACCTGCCACGAGATGGTTAACCTCCTCGGCGTCGTCCCTCCTCACCCGGGAAAAAAAAAGCAGATGCTCTGGGTCTAAAGCGAACGCGGCCTCGGGGTGGAACGTTCAGCGGGGACGAAAAGTCGAAAGGATGGCGCCATTCTTGGGTGACGGGTAAAAAATATCGAGGGGCTGTCTTCTTCTGGCCCTTTACTTTACTTGTTCTTATGTATACCGTGTGAGAGCGGCGAGTGCGCCCAGAGGGAACGGGCGCGCGTGCAGTCGGCCCGCCGCCAGGGCGTTCTGCGCCCAAATGCTCCCCCCCCCATGTTCAGAATCGCCCAGGGAACACTGCGTCCGACATGGACGGAAGAAAAGGAACGAGCCGAGACATCGGAAGCTTTTGGCGCCTGTGATCGCGAGCAGGTGGTTTTTGTTTTTTTGGGTGCGTTGGGCAGGGGTGCGCGGGTGCGATGGGCGGATGAGGAAGGTTAGAAGACGTTTGGAAGAAGGAAAGGAAGGGGGGCACGAGGCTTGGGGGAAGCGCGTTCCGGTCGGCTCGGGAGGGTTCTCACGTCGCAGCCCAGCGAGCCAGCCTTTCCCCCCTCCTCCCCCCACCTCCTCCTCCTCGTAGAGACCATACGGAGAGCACATCAAAGCTCGGAACGGCGTTGTCGTTCGCTTCGGTTGCGGCAGCGGAAATGTCGTGAAGAGACGAGCGGACCTCTTGAGACGCAGGAGGGGAGGGGATGGCGGTCTCGCTCCGCTCGCTCGTCCCGAGTTGCCTGAGAGCCACTCCCAGCGCCCGCTGCGCCCAGCTGCCAGTCGATCTTCCGGGGCCTTCGCGGGCCAGTCCGAGAAGGCGCTCTCCCCCCCGCGGTGCCTTTTCCGGGTTCGCCCTTCCCAGGCGCGACAAAGGAAAAGAAGGGGGGGAGAAGGGAGGGGCGGCGGCGCGCGAAAGGGGCTCGGGATATTCCCTTAATGGAGGGATTTGGTTTGATGGAAAGGGACCCCGGACAGTGGGGGATTTCTTTGATGAATACGGAGTTTTTAGGGGAGGAGAGGGGCTTTGCCATCAGTGAAATTCGGGATATTATGAGGTGATGGCATTTCGAGTCCTTAGCGCTTCACGGGGTTGGAGGAGAGGAGTCATAGGACCATGATGAACATACATACAGAGAGGGTATGTATGCAGAGATCTTCAGCAGGCTTCAGGGCGGGTCGACGCAAGGGAAGTGCATGTGGCGTTCCGCCGGGACACCGGCGTACGTTACCTTTACAAACCAAACACTCTTTTTCGTGAGAATTCTTCTCTCGCTGGCGGCCCACGTTCTGCCGAAGTTCTTCGGTCGGACGTTCGGAATTTTGAGTTCGCTGGCTGGTTTTAAAAATACTTGTGTATAAAACAGCGGGTCTAAACCGCGTTAGGAGGTGGGGCGTCGGGACCGGGGGCGTTACGCGTGGTGGTGATTTTTCACAAAGGTGGGTTCGGACGAACAGAAAGTTGTGGGAGGGTTGGCTGATAACAATCGTTGAGTCTAGGACGAGAGGATGAGGAGCGGTTTGGCGTAAGGTCCGTCCGAGAGAGAAGTACTGGTCGAGCCCGGGTCACCGTACCATGCGGTAGAAACGCAGAATTTTACCCCGCCCCGGGCTGTCGAAGCGCTCAAGGCGAGTCACACGCACGCACACAAAGGAGAGCGTATTACGGTGGATGCGTGCTCGCGCGCTTCGCGATGGAACCACACTCCGTCGCTGGCAGAGAAAAGGGGGTCAGATGATCCGTTAGGGCCGCGATGTGGCGCGCGAGCGAGAGGGGAGAGTTGTTCGTTTGCTTTGGGCGCTCCGCTTAACACCGTCCCGCGGATTGGCCAGAGGGTGGAAGATCAGTCCCACAGACGGATGCTGGGAATCAGAAAGTAGTGAATCATGTACGATGTACGTACGGAGAGATCGAGGGCGACAGCGAGTCGTCGCGATCATTGCGCTGCTGTTCCCGGCGCTGCAGATCAACGCCAGCGAGTAATACTCACGGTGTGTCATGCAAGCGGGAGCAGCGTTGCTCCTTCGAGGGGAACACAATGCACATCGATCCGGTGCCTCGCCGCCCCCCTTCGATGTCATGCCTGTTTTTCTTTTCGAGGAGCGCTGCGGGAGCTCGTCCCCGCTCGGTCGCACACCCCTCGGCCGTCACCGTAGCTTGGCGACCTGGGCTGGATCAGACGGGGCTGGATGAATATTCAGGGAAAAATGATCATGAACAGGGCGTGCTGCTATAGATCGGGCGGGACGATCTCAGATGCCGAAGATGCGCGGGTGGAGGACCCCGGACAGTGTCATGGCTCACGGGATGGGGGTTTGGGTATGGCGCGAGCGGGGCGAGGGAGGGCGTGCTCGTGCTGGACCACGGCCTCGAGGGGCATCACAATGAATTGGGTCGGATGCACGGTGCAGCAGGGGGGGCGAGGGCGGAAAGGGGGGACGCGAACTGGGGAAGGGGAAGGGGGGGCGTGTGTTTGGGCCGTGCAAACATCGGAGAGGTGGGGCGCATGTTCCGGGAGCCGCGTTGCAGCGCTGCCCTGGTCGTCGGACTGGCCCCGTCCTGCAAAGAGCGACCAGTGCGTCGACCGCGAGCTCAGCCCCCTCCGCCCGTGCTCCGTCTGCCTGCGCTGCCCCTGATCCGCCGCCATTTTTGAGCAGATTACTACCCTCGACGTCCCCAGCAACCCTCCTCGCTCATCGCCACGCCCAGTGCCCGCCCTCACCCGCCCCGCGCGCACTACATGGACCACGCCCCGCCCGTGCTCTTCGACGAGCTCGAGCCCGGCCGTCCCTGGTCGCCCGCCCGACGCCCGACGCTCAACACCACCGCCGCCCCCTCCCTCTCCGCCGCACTCAGCTCCCCCGGCGCCCTCGACCTCAGCCCCCAGGGCCCGCCCTCCCACCAGGCCCACTGGCCGCAGTCCCTCCCCGCCACCTCGCCCCTCCAGGCCCTCCCCGGCCCGTTCTACCCTCTCCACCCTCATCAGACCGGCGGCCCTCACCATCGCGCCAGCCCGCCCCCGCAGCACCCCGACGACTGGGGCCACATCTTCTCCGCCCCGCTCGACCCCGCGATGTTCCAGGCGCTCGCCGCGAGCGGTGTGATTCCAGGCGGAGGAGGAGGAGGAGGAGGAGGAGGGGTAACAACACCCTCGTCCCTTCCCGCCGGTGCTGCGCGCCATCGCCCCCACCCCAACGGCCCGCACCCGCACCAACACCAACAACACCATCCCGCATATCAGCAGCAACAGCACAACCCGGCGTGGCCGGCTCAGCCGTATCCGTCGTCGTACGCGATGCAGCAGAACATGAGCGCCCCGTCGGGCGGGCCGTACAGGGTCCGCAAGGGCTCGGTCGGCATGGCCGCCGCCGCCGCCGCCCAGCCGTACGCGCGCCACGCGAGCCGCCGGTCGGACGGGAACATCGTCGGCCCCGATCTGCTGGGAAACGTCGTCGTCGTCGGCTCGCCGTACGCGGACCACAACAACCACAACGGCGGCGGTGGCTTTGGACCGCACTCCCGGCGCTCCTCGTCCGGGGACGATGGAGGCGGCGGCGGGTTTCATCCCGGCTCGGTGCCGGGGAGCTTCGACCACTATCGGGGTACCGGCGGCGGCGATCGGCCGCCGGCGGGCGTGCACCCGAGTTTGTGGATGTCGCCCGCGTCGTCCGCGAGCCCGAGCCTCGCGGCGTCGCCCGTCACGGGGCCTTACGGATCCGTGAACGCGCTCATGATGTCGCAGCAGCAGCAGCAGCCACGCTCGCACTCGGACGGGAACGGCAACACGCCAACACACAACGGCGCTGGCGGTGCGTCCTCTCCCGTCGCTTCTTCTTTACGCGGCGGTCGTCATGCTCAGAGCGGATCGTCGAACGGCGCCGCTGCTACTACAGACTCCACGTCGTCCAGCTACCCCGTCACGCCGATCGACCCGAAGCAGTCGCCGCTCTTTCCCGACGTGTCCGCGGACGCGCTGCTCGGCGCCGGCGGCGGCGGCGGCTTGCTGCTCGGCGCGGGCGGATCGCCGCCGGAGTTGCTGCAGGAGATCTCGGACGCGGATCTGGAGGGGATCGATCCGGAGCAGCTGGCGCAGGACGATCCGGCGACGGCGCAGGCGCTCAAGATGTACCGCGCGGGGATGACGCCGCAGATGGATAATTTGACGTGGAGGATGAAGGCGCTCGCGCTGAAGAGGAAGAAGGAGGACGAGGTGAAGATGATGGCGTATATCGCGGAGGGTGGGGTGGGAGGAGGAGCGGGGGGTGGGGAGGGAGAGAAGCAGCAGCAGCAGCAGCAGCAGCAGGCGGATGGGGAGGAGAAGGAGGAAGTGCAGGTGAAGACGGAGTCGGAGGGGTCGGACGGTGCTAGGGGCCGGACGATGAGCAAGGGCAAGGGCAAAGTGAGCATCGTCGGCTTTGATGGCAAGAACCAGGACGGGGATGACGACGTGTGCGTATCTTTTTCCTATCGTTTTTTTACCTTTTTTTGCCTCGATTATTTGCGCCATCGTTTCTGACTGACGGCCGATTGTATGCGTCGATAGCGAGGACAGGATGGACTGGAGGACGATCAGCCGCTCGCGTTCGCGCGTGCCGATGGACTGGAAGTCGTCCTCGCGCTCGCGCTCGCGCGCTCCCGGCGCCAAAATGTTCGACGAGCCCGGCACTTTCCACTTCCCGACCGACGGCGAGGCGACGGTCAAGATCGAGGAGACGCAGTTCCAGTTCCCGCTCCTGGACGGCGGCGACGCGGGCACGTCGCCGCCCGCGATCCCTATCGGCCGACGGAGCCCGGCCCACACGCTCTCCCTCCACGGCGACCTGCACACCGTGTACGAGGGCGGAGAGAGCCTGCACGACATCGTCGGCCCGTCGCCGCACCAGCAGCACCAGCAGCACCCGCAGCAGCAACACCACCACGCCCGCTTCTCGCAGCCGTACGTCGGCAGCTTGCCCACCTACGGCACGCACTTTGGCGCGCACCCGTCGTCGCTGCCCGCGCACGGCTTCCACGGCCCGCTCCGGATGCCCGCGCACGCGCACCACGTGAACGTGAAGATGGAGCCGGCGGCGCTGGCGTTCCCGCGCCACGTGCGCAAGACGAGCTTTGACCATACCGTCGCGCGCGAGGGCATCTTCCAGGGCGTGACGGGCAGGCACCAGGTCGACGGGAAGCCGCGGTCGCCGGATAGCTTGGTGGGCACGAAGCGACCCGCGGACGCGCCGCATGCGGAGAGCATGCTGCGCGGCGATCTGCCGGAGATGACGATCGACACGAACGTGCCGAGCGAGCATCAGCATCAACAGCAGCACCAGCAGCAGCAGCAGCAGCAGGAGAGGCAGAGCCCGTTCCCGAGCTCGTCGTTCAATTTTTCGTTTCCGACCCCGGAGAGTTATGCGTATGGGCTCGCGGTCGGTGGTGGTGGTGGAGGAGGGGGGGAGGCCTCGCCGCAGACGGATTTCAGCTCGATGTTGCCGACGCCGGAGGATGGAAGGCCGGGCGCGGGCGCGATGCTGTCGCACTCGTTGCCGTATTCGCCGCTGAGCGGGTCGCCGCGGATCGCGCACGACGGGCTGTCGGTCGCGGCGGCGAACGCGTCGGCGGTGATCGGCGACAATTACGCGTCGCTCGGGTCGGTGGAGGATTACCAGCAGATGATGAACTTTGTTTATCCGTACGGAGGAGGTGGGGGAGGGGGAGGGGAGCCGCCGTATACGCACGTGGATCCGACGCAGATATTGACGCATGCGAGTTTTCATGCGAGCCCGGGGAGCGACGGGTGGGGTCCGAGCGTCGCGTCGAGCGCGACGGCGAGTCCGGAGCCGTATACGAGTAACGGGTCGACGCCGCCGTCGGCGGCGGAGGGGTCGTCGTCTGCGAACGTGTCGCGCAATAATTCGAGCCGGAGGGTCGCGCCGGCGAGGCACTCGGAAGGGGGAGGGGGAGGGGGAGGGGGGCCGGCGAGGGGCGGCGCGACGAGGAAGAAGTCGGCGCCGACGGTGAGCTTGAACGGGTCGAGCGAGCTGAGGAGTTCGACGAGTACGCCGGATTATGCGACGGCGAGGGGAGGGGGCGGGGGTGGGAGCGGGGGTGGGGGCGCGGGCGGGAGTAAAGGGGGCGAGGACGAGCCGCCGCCGACGGTGTGTACGAATTGTCAGACGACGAATACGCCGCTGTGGAGGCGGGATCCGTCTGGTCAGCCGCTGTGTAAGTGGATCCAGCGGCTGATTTACTTTCATCGTGATGCTCATTTTTTCGATCGCGTTGCAGGTAACGCATGTGGTCTGTTCTATGTAAGTTTTTTCATCTCGCCGGCGCCCAATCCAGGATAAATGTCTAATGGCCTGATCAGAAACTGCACGGTGTCGTGCGCCCACTCTCTTTGAAGACCGACGTCATAAAGAAACGGTGAGCAGCGATTTTTTTAAAAATTCTACTTCCCCACGAGGCGCAATATTGACCCACGTTTGACTTTCGCAGAAACAGAGCATCTGGCGCCCCGCAAAGCGCGACGACCCGCAAAGCCGCGAACGGGTTACCCAAGGTACCCGCAGGCACGAGACCGCGGTCGGCGACGACGGGCAACGCGCCCATCTCGCTGCCTGGACGACCTCCGGCGGGGATACCGATCGCTATGAAGCGACAACGACGGACTTCCAATGCGGTCCCCCCGCCGTCTTCCTACAAGACGGACGATACCGCGGTATAACACCCCCCCCCCCCCACCGCAAGTCCCCCCACCCCTACCCCCCTTCCTTGTTCTCCACCACAAATCAATGTGTAACAGTGTGCATGCTTTCCACCTGGTGTATTTGTCTGCCCTTGACGTCTTTTTTTCTGTTTCTTCCCTTCCTCATCCCCCTGGGGCCGCCGCTATATGCTTGCCAACCATGCATCCACTCCCTTGTCTTTGCTTTAATGATGTTGTGGTTGTGTACGACCAACACGAACCGATAGAGTAGCCAGTTAGAGATGTAACACGGGCGGGTGACAATCAATACATGACGAGACGAGCTTCGAGCGTCTAAATCTATCCCAGGCAGCTCGCGTTATAGCCGTGGGCGTGGGCGTGGCCGGAGCGCCGCAAGGAAGAGTAAATTCCCTCCCTCCTCTGCGATATCTCTAGATCATCGTTTTTTCTGGCCCGTATCGCCCACCCTGTCTTCGGTATTCCGCCCGACGCCACGGTCGCCGGTGCCGCCCAGCTCGTTCCCGTCGGGGCTGGCGCCGGTGGCGAGCAACGACTCCCGGACGGTGACCCGACGCGTCTCGCGGACGGACTTGGACTTTGAGCAGGCGCTGCGGGGGGAGGGGACGGTGCAGTTGAAGGAGGGGCTGGACATCAACGCGCTGGGGACGGTTGACAGCCCCGGGCCGTCGCCCAAGACGCCGCTCTCGCCTCCGAACCACCGACCAAGGGGGCCGCGCATCGGCGTCACCCCGTCCACGCCCACCGTCGAGCCCCCCACCCCGTCCCCCGCGTCTGCCGGCCCCGCCGTCGGACAGCACACGATACGCAAGCTGCCGTCGCCACCGTCCAGCACCTCCACGGAGGTCTTCTACGACGCCGAGGATGCCGACCTCCCGACGAAGCGTCGCTCCATGTACCGCTCCCAGGGCACCGCCAGCAGCCCCGACCTCGCCACCCTCGTGAGGAAGGCCAAGGAGCGCGGGACGACGTACGATCGCAGCAAGGACGCCCGCGAACAAAACAAGGACCCCGCCCCGCCTCTGCCGTCCTCCTCGTCGTCGAGCACCGGCACCTCGACGACGCGCCCGCGATCGTCTACGCAATCGCCGGGGACGGCGCGACTTCGGCGCGCGGACCACCCCGTCCCTGCAAGCCCTACCATCTACGACTGGGCAGGCAGTCCCAAGCCCAAGGTCCCCGCCAAAGATTACGGCACCATCAAGGTGCGATAAAAACGGGTTTCTTTTTGCTTGCTGTATACCTCTTTGTCATGCCGACCTCTCTCCATTGCTCCAGCCTTCTATGCACAATCCCAAGTCGATGAGGTCAAAGACGACGGCCTTCTTCGGTAGGATGTTGGGGCAGGGTACCGTCAGGGACCGTTCTGTAAGCCGTCTATTCCTGTTCGGGATCATCAGAGTGCGGCTGATAGAGCGCCCAGCAGCAACGGATGGACCTTCCTTCGCCAACTTCCTTATCATCCTCTATGACCATCCCCGCCTTGTCCTCATCGTCGTCCTCCATCCCTACCCCCGCCCGAGAGGGGAGAAGGCTGCCGATCAAGTCTCCCGTGAAGGACGTCTTCGGTGACGCGCTCGCTCCGACGCCCACCCCCAATATGGGCAAACCTCTTCCTCCCATCCAGAACGGTCGCTCGACGTCGGACGATTTCGATGCCGACGATCACTCCTTTGTCCAGGTCGAGCAGCCCTCTCAGTACATCGAGGACCCACCCGTCGCTTTGTCGTCCAAGACCATCACCAAGTCCACCGTACGTCGTCTACCCGAGCTTCCGAGCATCAACGCGACGAAGCGGAGAAGCATGAGCGTCAGCGAGTTCGAACTGAAGCAGGCCATGGCCCAGGCATCCTCCTCCACGCCGCTCCCAGAGTCATCTCCGGTCAAGGACCGAAAGCCTCGCAGGCCGGAGGAGAAGCGCTCGTGGGACTCCCGCATCAATGGGATGATCACCGACCTGAAGGGCGAGCTGTCCCAGTTGGAGAGCATCTCGTCGGGGTCGCTGGACCTGAAGGATCCGTCCACCCCTGCCCGCAGGGCGGCGCTCCATCGGGCACAGACGGATAGTCCTACCGCGTCGTCCAGGAGGACCACGTTGGACTCCCTTGCGTCGTCGCCTGGTCCGTCCACGCCCGTGGTCAAGCTCGATCCTCCAGCTTCTCAGGAGGGCGCTGCGGGCTCGCAGAGATCCTCGCAGGAGAACGCGGAGATACTCGACATCACCGACGTCCCGCCGCGCACGACTTCTCTGCAGACGCCGCCACGACACCGATCCGGATCCAACTCTACCGAATCGTGGCGCCATGGCATGGGCAAGAACGTGCCGCGCACGATGAGATCGTACACGGCGGACGCGCCTTCCGCCGTGGCCGCGGGGAATCATCAAGCCGCAAACTCCCGTCTTCGCGTGCAGCATCGGTCTGCCGCGTCCAGTTCTGAGCCTTCGTTGATTTCCGCGGGCGACGAAGGGGGTCGAACATGTAAACATCGTTTCGGTTTTGGTCGACGTTTGAACTGACTTTGGCTTGGTTTTTTTCCCCCAGTGTCGCCTCTGATGTCGATCAAGGCGCAACATGAACTCGCTCAGAGCGAATTGTCCCTCAATCGATACGCGTCCAATCCCTCCCTGGGTAAATCGGATGAAACGTCCGGTGACATGGAGGCAAGGGGCAAGGAACTGGCTGCAAGGTGCTACAGGGAGGACGAGACCTTCTTGCCGCGGGAAAAGATTGCGGAATGGCTTGGTGGGCAGTAAGTGCATCCGATCAACGGAAGGCGCAGACGTTGACGATTCTCGTTGCAGGAGCCCGATCAACGCGGTCGCGTTGCGCTATTACATGGACTACTTTGATTTCTCGGGGCTGCGGCTCGATAATGCCTTCCGAAAACTATGTGGCAAGCTGTACCTCAAGGCCGAGACCCAGCAGGTTGACCGTATCCTGGAACAGTTCAGTATTCGGTATCACGAGTGCAATCCGGATAACCTGTTCGGCAAGGCGAGTAAGTACACAGCATGTTCGCCACCTTCTACCTCGTTTGATTTGAACTCGTTAGGCGTGGTGCATGCGACCACATACTCGCTGCTGTTGCTCAACACCGACCTCCACGTTGCCGACCTCGCGACGCGCATGTCCCGCAGCCAGTTCGTGCGGAACACCCTGGAGGCCATCCTGATGGACCTCCGGCACGAACGCTCCCCCGGCGGTATCTCGACCCCAGATCTCGTCGACGATGCGAGCAGCATCCGCGACGGCAGCGACACGAACACGACCGCGGGCACGCCGCAGCCGCGCCAGAAGCGGAGCGGCAGCATCGCGAGCTGGAACAGCGTGACGAGGGACGTGATGGCCTCGCCTGGGGCGTCGATGAAGAGCTACCCGGTGTCGGTGCAGGGCGACGCGCAGGACCCGGCTAGCTTGAGTAACAGTACGGCTTCCGTGCCGATGGGCTCTGGCTCGGGCGTGGGCGGCGGTAGCTCTGGTATGGGCAGTAGCTCCGGTGTGGGGAGCAGTTCGGATGGCAGAGTTGGGCGTAATTCGAGCTCGGTGTCTGTGGTCTATAACCGCGCCTGGGAGGCCGAGATGGAGATACTGCTGAAGGTCAGTTCCAGAAACCTGTGCGCAAATACGCCCATTTGACGTCGGCTTCTAGGATATTTACAACGCCGTCAAAACGCAACAGATCCTGCAGCCGCTCGGCAGTTCTCTTGCGGCGCGTAGCTCAACGTCGTCGCTGACGCCTGGGACTCCCATGATGAGGCACCGTGCTGGTGGCAGGCAGCCTGACCGGCTGGCCACGCTCAAACGCGGAAGCATACGAGGACTTTCGACTCTTCTTGGTGCTCAGGCTGGAGTTAGTCCATACAGCAGTAACAGCAGCATCGACGGGCGCGTCAGTCCTTCGCCCAGCTTTGCTAGCCACGAGGTGAGCACATTGCCACAAATGCTCGGATGAAAGCTCATAACCGTCGTGCAGGCATTCCTGGCCCCTACTCTTGGTTTTGCATCCAACCTTTCCCATACTATCATTCGCGAAGCCCAGGAGGACGACGATCGCAGTCACCACAGTCAGGACTCCATATCGACGGATATCAGTATCACAGACGAGGAGCTTGCCCTTCTGGGCGCCCCGTGGGCCAAAGAAGGTATGCTCTGTCGGAAACACTACTGGGAGGCCACCGGCAAGAAGTCCAAGTCGAGGAACTGGATGGACGTCTTCGTCGTCATACAGAAGGGCGAGCTGAACATGTTCGTGTTCGGCGAGCATCACGGAGGAGGTTCCAGCGTGGTTGGTGGGGGTAACTGGCTTGTGAGTTCATCGCATTGGTTGCGGTGTTTGGGTTTCTTCATCTCACACCTCTTCACGCAGGAAAATGCCCAACCCGTCGGCACGATCCAACTGGCGCATTCTCTTGCGCACGCCTTGCCACCTCCAGGGTATAACAGGGAACGACCCCACTGCATGGTTCTTACACTTGCGAACGGAGGAGTGTACTTCTTCCAGGCGGGCACCGAAGAGCTCGTGAACGAGTGGGTTTCGACGTGCAACTACTGGGCTGCTCGGCAAAGTAAGGAGCCTTTGGCCGGCGGCGTGTCGAACATGGAGTACGGCTGGAACCGCGTCGTCGAAATGGCCACCCATGGACGCTCCATGTCCGAAGATCAGAACACTCGTGAAAACGATACGATGAGCGTCCGAAGCGGACGCAGCACGCGTAGCAAATTCGGGCGCAAAGACAACGCTGCTACGATGCGCACGTCGCCCTGGTCGGATCGCGTCTTCATCAATGACTGGAAACCACCGATGCCGTCAACGGTGCCAAGTAGCCATGATGAGGAGGCTCAGTTGGATGCCCTCAAAAAGCATGTTGCTGCCCTCAAAAACGACTTGAAGGGTCACAACAACCTCCGGGAACCGATGACTGCGCTGGTAAGTCCATGCCCTTGCTCACTCAGTTTATTGGCTCCTTGGGCTGACCTCCGATATAGTACCAGCCGCGATCCGCGAATGCGACCAGAGCCCAGAACAACTGGGAGAAAAAGTCGCAGTATCTTCTCACTGAGATCGTGAAGTACGAGTCGTACATCGAATCCCTACAGTCCGCGATGGCGCTCCGGTTGAAGAAGCGGGGCGAGAAGGCTCTCGACAAAGCTCTCTCGCAGCCTGATCCAAGCGAGGAAATCACCGGGTCGAAATGGAAGGGCTATCCTGACCAGGAAACGATCATGGAGAGCGAAGAGCCCCCGGCCACTCCTACCGTGTCGCAGCACCACCATCGCAGAGAGACAGCAGAAGGCCGCGCCTCTGGATAAACCTTCCGTTGATCCTCCTCCCATCTTGCCATTCTGTTTCCCCTTTTCACTCTCGAGATAATGGCCTTATTTGATATACATATTTGTCGCGGATACTCAGGGCGACTGTTCACTGATCTTGCATCCTTCATCCGCTGGCTATCGCATCCCTTTTGACGTATCGTATCGCAATGCTTTCATCCTACATCATGGCAGTACCTGTGTACAAACAGCGGGTGGAGTTGTATTGTATATATTGGAAGCTTTGTTTAATTTAGGCGCCTTCTCCATCGTCGAAGCTGGCCCGTAGAAAGCGAGATGCATGGCCATTAGCATGGGCCGTACTGCAGGGGAACTTCATGAGGTGCATCGTGCCACCATGAACGGCGTTTGCTTACTTTGGCAGCTGCGAGTGTTCCTGCTAAGCCGCTCGCGCTAGGCTCAGGACCGAAGATGGAACCGCCTTGGGAAGGCGCATACCTTGATCATTGTTGTCAGTGCTTGAGACGTAAACGGGGTGCAGAGGTCATACCAGACGTTGCCGACGTCGTTGTTTGCGTCCTTGCCGTAGTGGAGGATGGCAGATGCCTGCGAGCCCAAGAAAGCGCTGTATTTTGCTGTACGCGAGGCGTCGTTGGCAGCATCGAGGTAGTACTGTACGTGCTTCGTCCAGATCCCCTTGAAGATCTGCTGATCGTGGTTGCAAGTTGAAGAAGCGGCATCGTCGCACGACTCCTTGAGAATGTCGTTGACGGTCAACTGGGCTATCGTGGCGTCTAGGGTGATCTCGGCTTGGGAGAACAGTGTAGTGTTCCCTGTGATGGAGGCTAGTGTACCGAGGCCAGACGCGATGACCCCCTACGTGGGCGATCAGCTCGTCATCCGTGCGAACCAACGTTGGACACTCACTTGGTTGTAGGTCCACGTAGTTTGACCGTTGTTCTGGCAAGTGTCCGAGTTTAAGCCATCATTGAACAGTCCCCCTGAGTTCCGCATCCCGGAGCCTTCCACTGCAGTGGAACTGTGAGCACCGTCGCGGGCATATGACGGAAAGATAGCACTGACACCAAGCCCATGTCTTCTGCGCGTTATCTAGCATAGTCTGGTCACCGTACCGTTTGTAGCCCTGCGCGGACGTAAGCAGGAACAGCTCGTTCGTGATGGCATTCTTGTAGGTCTTCGCGCTAGACCACCACACGCCGCCGCCGCAAGTGTCGTCCCACTGCTCGGTGATGAGGTTATAGATCGCTCGGGCGCTGTCCAGGTAGTTGGTCGCGTCTTCGCCGTGAGCGTTTTTGTAGTCAGCCACCTTCCAGTACGCCAGGATGACCCATTGAGCATCGTCGTAGCTGCCGCCGAAGAAGCTGTCCCAGTCTTGACCCGGATCTTGAGCGGCGATGCCGATCCGCGTTTGGTCCGCTAGGCTGTCGTAGGTGGTGGAACCGGCGGCCAGCATGTAGTTGTGAATATCCTCGATGGCATTCTACCGGGACAGAAACCGGTGTCAACATGACGCAACAGCAACTGAGCATCGGCTCACGGTGTCCGTCCACAACTCTCCGCCGTTGTCTGAATCAATCTCAGACCGGGCTTGGTACAGGTCATGAATCCTGATGCTTACAGCCTGTGCCCGAGTAATAATGGGTTTGAAGGGCATCAGCGAGGGTCTAGACAATCACATGCATCGCGTTCGGATTATCATATCACGATTACTGTGAGGCGAACAGTACTCACCGCTGCAGTGCTCAGCGTCGATGCACATTGCGCCCTGCGATGCGGGAGGGCAACAGCGCCGGACGCGAGTGACAAGGCGAAAGAGAGCCACCGGGAGACGCGAAGAGACATCATCATCGGGATGTCACCGTAAGTCACATCGAATTGTCCGCCTTATATACTTCATTTACATCCTGATAGAACGACCAGTAGAAGCTGGATGGCCGTCGGTCGGCGCGCATAGTCCGTGTCCACGTATAGGATTGTGGTGTGTAACGTAGCCTAGCAAACCCCGTAGCATCCTCGAAAAGGCAACCATGAATATGAGATCGCGTCATCGTGCATGATTCCGGTCGTCCAAGATTGAGCAGCGTGGGTTGGTATTATTTCGGTCAGATGATCAATAGAAGGCGGAGAAGAGCTCGACATCATTCTGTCGCTCATGTACGCTCTTCAAGCAAGCCTTCCACCCTGTCAGGCGCTCCGCTGTTACCGCATGAGCAACGTCCATATGGTCGAAGTAGAAGTGATCGGCGACTTGCAGCGCGTGAATCGCTCACGTTTCTGAGGCGCATGACATCGTCGTCGAGCAACTTGCTAAGTCATTCGTCATGGGACTGGGACCGATTTGATTATTGCGCATCGATATTCGAATCATATGCGCTGTATAGTATATACGCGTCTCTGTCGTCCGCGAGCTCGGTCCCGCGGCATGGCCGTGGGGAATACAACGCTTCAATGCGGAAAACGGACAATCATGGCATGCATGTGCGCACCTTAACGTGCAATGAACGTAGTTCGTGTGCTGAAGGACTTGGAAGGTTGGACTACCGGTACATAGTCACTGTAGCGTCATTCAGGATGACAACTATACCGTATCGAAAGCGGTAGACGCCGCTGTTGCTGCTAGGTGCGCTATGCAGGGCATTGTGCCGTAAGTAGCGTCCAACTGTATATAGCGATTCGAACACTGGCCGTGTGCGTTTTGAACGACAGAAGTCGAATGCCTGGCGTCCGGACTTCCGTCACAGGGAGAATCTGCGAAAACGTGGTCATGTCAAATCTTGTGTAAACGGGCTTATGCTGGTAAAGTAAGGTCATCTCATGGATGGGATCATCCCACCGCGAGTAGCCATTGGATTCGAAGGATGGCTCTCATAAACATGGGGATGACTGAACACTCATGCTTTCGCCATTCGAATCAGCTGAAATTGGCTGAGCCTTCATACCAAACCTGCATGAGTCCTCGAAACCCGCGGCCAGATTTCATCGCCTCATTCATTGGGTACGCGTGCCTTGAGGCGTAGAACAAACTTGTACTGCGGCGTGCAGCTAAAGCAGTTTCTTGTCGTGAAGGCGTGAAGTACGGTGGTAACCACCGGAAGTGAAAGCCTCGCGTCACCCCCAGCGCGTTTCGTGACGCATAACCATCAGGCTCCAGCGCCGAACACACCACCCCGATTCTCCTCTCCTCGCGCTCATTCTTCTTGCCAGCTTTCACGCTCACAGCACTGCAAGGCTTTGACAGTCCATTTCACGTTGGACTCGCATACCACCTCTCATCCGACAACACTAGAACGGCCTCAGGTTTAGGACCGCAACGTTATGAACGGCCAAGCGAACGGTGACGCGACGCACACTGTCGACCCTAGCAGGGAACGGCTACAAATCATCAACGACGAGAAGCAATTTACGTGCGTATAACCCACACACGGCCTCACGTCAGCGTGTCCTAACCTGGGGCACAGACAAGACCTCACGAAGCAGATTGAACGCTGGGGTCTACGAGATGCTGGCTTCAACTACAACATCGTTTCCGTATTCGGTTCCCAGTCTACGGGAAAAAGTACGTGATGACTTGCAGACTCTTCGAGGATATAGACCCATCCGCTATGCCCAGGTACATTACTGAATGGCCTTTTTGGTACCACTTTTGACGTCATGGACGAGACGCGGCGGCAGCAGACGACGAAAGGTCAGTATCTCTATCCCCAGGCTTGAAGTATTGGACTATGCTAATATTTCATGACTCACTAGGTGTTTGGATGTGCAAGGCCCAGGACATGAACGTCATGGTTATGGATGTCGAGGGCACGGACGGGCGTGAGCGTGGCGAAGACCAGGTTGGTGCTCGTATCCCGACACACACTCTCGCGTGTCTATGGGTGGTCTCAGAGGGTCCCTGACACTTTCTGCCCTGTAGGACTTCGAACGCAAGTCCGCCCTCTTTGCCCTCGCATCATCCGAAGTCCTCATCATCAACCTGTGGGAGCACCAAGTCGGCCTGTACCAAGGCGCGAACATGGCATTGCTCAAGACGGTCTTCGAAGTTAACCTCGGTCTGTTTGGAAAGAAGACGGGCGGCGTCGAGCAGCGCACGCTGCTCCTCTTCGTCATTCGCGACCACATCGGCACCACCCCGCTCGCCAATCTGAGTGCAACGCTATCGCAGGACCTACACCGTATCTGGGACGGCCTGTCCAAGCCCGAGGGGCTGAAGGATTGTCAGCTGGAAGACTTCTTCGATCTCGCCTTCACAGGGCTGCCGCACAAGATCCTCGTACCGGAGAAGTTCCAGGCAGAGGTGAACGGACTGAGGAGGCGGTTCGTGGAGAAGGAGAAAGAGGATTATCTCTTCAAGCCAGCGTACCATAAGCGCATACCGGCTGACGGTGTCGCGTTCTACATGGAAAACATATGGGTGCGCTGTCTCCTCACCGTCGTCGCGCTACTATGAGATACTGAAGCAAGGCTGCAGGAACAAGTGCAGAGCAACAAGGACCTTGATCTACCAACTCAACAAGAACTGCTTGCCCAGTTCCGGTGCGATGAGATTTCTGCGGGTGCGCTGGTGGAGTTCAACGAGCAGGCGAAGTCTCAGAGACGGCCCATCGAGAGCGGCAAGGTTATCGAGGGCCTCGGGAAGATGATGCGCAGCTGGAGGGCCCAAGCTCTCGGTACGCGGTACCTCTTCCTACCTGTCACTTGCATGATTATTGACCGACTGTTCGTTCAATTCAGATCGGTACGATCGCGACGCTTCGCGCTACCACCAAGGCGTATATAAGCGCAAGCGCGCCGACCTCATCTCTACCATGGACGCGACTCTGTCGCCCCTGTTCCTCGGCCAGCTGAAGAACCTTCACAAAGCCTGCCTCTCAACCTTCAAGCGTGCTGTGCTCGACGGCCTGAAGGGCGATGACTACAGCTTTACGGACGTCGTGGGTCAAGCGCGCGCGAAGTGCGAGGGTGCGTTCGAGCAGGGCGCGAAGGAGGCGGTCGTGGAGGAAGACACAAGCGAGTGGAACTGGGAGGAGGAACTCACGCTCCTGAAGGAAGAGATCGGCAACGTGGCGGATCAATGCAGGAAGGACGAGACGAAGAAGATGGTCAACATGATCGAGGTGAGTGGCCGTAAGTGGAGCCCAGAGGAAGACCGCTGACATTTACGGGTGCGCAGCGGAACTTCAAGAAGCAGATATCGGAACCGGTTGATCTATATCTCAACCAAGCAACGCCGGACATGTGGGACAAGATCCTGCGCGCCTTCAGGGAAACACTCGACAAGGCCGAGGCCACGTACATGACCAAGGCAAAGAGTGAGGGCAATGACCCTCCGCACTTTCGGGCGCTGACAAGTCAACTATTTGACAGGCTTCAACTGCACCGACGAAGAGAACGAGGCGTTCCTTGCCGATCTGCGCAAGCGTGCATGGCTTGCCCTCCGTGCAAAAATCGACGAGCAGACGGCTGACGCTGCCTTCCTTGGCAAGCTCCGTGCGTATTTCGAGGAGCGCTTCAGGTACGACGAACATGGCGTGCCTCGGGTCTGGCGCCCCGATGACGATATCGAGGGTATCTTTAAGAAGGCGAAAGATCAGGTGCGTAACGCGTCGCACACGGGCATACTGCCTTATTGACAAGCCCGCCAGACTCTCGACCTCATCCCTTTGTACTCGAAAATAGCCCCCGTCGATCCCTCGCTCGCATACACGCTGCCCTCGAGCTCTTCCGATACCCTCACCTCCTCCGACGAGTTCGACTTCCCTGCTACCTTAATCGTGTTCTCCGAGGTTAAGGCGGTCGACATCACGAACCGCTTCCGACGAGACGCAGACGCGTACTTTGTCGAGGCGAAACGAAGCACGGTTTCCAGCGTCGCGCAGATCCCCGTGTGGATGTACGGCGTGCTTATTGTCCTCGGCTGGAACGAGGCCATGGTTGTGCTCTTCAACCCCCTCTATTTCGCCATGCTTCTGTTGCTGTTGGCGTCAGCGTGAGTACCTGCGCTCTTGCAGCCGTCGAGACCCGACTCTGATACCGAGCGTCCTTCAGATGGACAATCCTGAAGCTGGGCTTAGTAGGACCCCTACTCCAGGTGACGCAGACTGTCGGTGGGGAGGTGCGCGGCTGAACAATGGGACTGGCGTTTCTCATTGCCTAACGTGTTTCATAGGTAAATCGGCAGGTGCAGAACCGCTTGCGGGAACACTTCTCGCAACCGGTGCTCACGGAGCCCGTACGTACGCGTCCACTGGAGGATGCCATGGAAGACGACGGCGTGGCAAAGGAAGTGAGGAGGAGGAGGGCGGAACCGTTGTAGTTCTCCGGGAGATATGGTCGTAGGAAGGATGATTTGGTTAGACGACTCTCTTCATGCACATGATATCGCCGACTCACGTAATCCTCAGCTTGTACATAATTATTGGATTATTGACTGCTGTTACTTCAGGAATCCAGATTTCCTCAAGGAGTCGTTCGGGGCAAGTGCGTATCCATCCTCGCACGCATACACTGCATTGGGACTTGCGCAAATTTATTTTGGACTGTGTTGGGTCTGCTGCATGGCCCAGGTGATTTATGGCAGATAATTCAAGGTTCGCCGATATTCCGTCTTATACCACCCGGATCAGTATCGCCGTTGGACATTAAGCGTGGAGAGTTACATCTTTACAACGTGTTCCAGTGCGACAATCGGAGACTGAAATCCGATCGTTGGCGGAGAATACAGACCGCATAACGAAACCCGCGTCCCATTTACTACCGACCTATAGACGTTGCGACACCAAATACAGGTCCGACCCGCTTGTCACGGTGATAACCTAGTAACGCCGGATGTTATGCTCGGCCTATGGAAGCCATGGCGTCGCATCGAAGCCAGATAGGATCGTATTCCCGGCTGAACTGTCAATCCACCTGGCGATGTCGCCGGACTTGAGGTGTTCCTAGTGTAATGAAGTACAGGCTCATGAGAGTATAAGACACTTCACCTTAGGATCCCTTCTGACACATCTTACGCAGGTATGGGATCTCTTGCTATCGACCATGCCGAATTAGCGGGTTTCGTCGCAGAATGCGTATTGTATGGTGAGTATCACCTCTCCTTCCTTGCTTTACGAGCGTCAGTTAAGGAACCCCCACAGGAATGTCCTGTTTTCTTCTCGGTACCAGTCTGTTCTTTCTCGTACGCCGCAGGCGTCATTCAAGGAACTGCCAAGGCTCGTTATCGAGCTAACTACTGATAGGAGGGACGATCTCGCTTCTGCTCCTGACAACCGCGGTGAATACTCAGACAATGAGAGTACGACATTAAACACTCACAGTATACCAGCAGTGGAGCATTGACCTATCTCGCATCTGGAGTGGTTACGTCCTCACTCCGAGCTTCCAAGGCAAGCGTGGATCTCTCAGGTTCTTTGAGAACGCGAAGGAGCCACGGATTGTTGCGAGATCGATGGTTGCCACCCTCACAACCACCATTTTAGATGCCACCTTGGCAAGTGGGGTTTAACTCAGTATGTGTTGTTTGGAATTAACATGATCCCATCAGACTTATCGAGTATATGCAAATGCAATACCAGCTTCTTATCGGGTTCATTCCCCGCGTTGACAACCCTTGGCATGCTTAGTATGTGCTCCACAGTATCCTTGTGAACCTTCTCATTCGAGAAGTCGCAGGATGCGGCTCCTCCATCATTATCGCTCGAGATCATCCTGAAGGTGGCGCTGGGTTTCTTACGTTGGTGCAAGGGTGCTTCTTTTCGAGTCAATACAAGCGGCACGACGCTGATGTGCCCATGGCATAAACTTCTTAGGTGGACATCAGCCGGTTACATTCTAGCATTGAGGTATGTTGTGCGCAAACATCGATATTGGCTAGTGCTTACAACGAGGCTCAAATGCGTAGTACGAACATTGTGGCCATGGGTCTGTCGCATTGCCAGAGCGTGTCACAATCATTGATTGCATTCTTTCAGCTTTAATATCCTACCGCATCATCAACAGAGATAACGCCATGAAGACTTTCACATCCTTGCGGCTCGCAGTCAGTACATATCGTCACCCCTACTAGATTGCTATGTAGATAGTGTTCACAGCCGTTGCTTTTGATCATCATCGAAAGTTCTGCCCTAACAAGGTACGAAACTGCTTTTGTGAATACACCTTTGCATACTAATACGGATGTCAGCATCCTGAACATAATGACTCTGGTCACTCATTGGATGAGCAACAATCTCCCATATGTTTTCACGTCTGGGGTGAGTGGCCATGAAACAATCAGTACATGCGTGTCTAAGACACGAAACAGATCCCGTTCGTGAATGTCAGTAACGATCATCATGCACGCTCCCTATAACCTGATCTGTTCGTGCCAGGACATCTCTTTTGGTCTCATCATCGTGCGTGTCGGTCTAGGTATACCTGGGATGAAATCTCCTACGTTCTTAAGATCGAATGCCCGGGAAATAGCGCGAGATGCTCTTCCGATGGAGGTGCATATCACGACAAATATTGAGCGCGCTGGAGAAGAGAGGAGGAAGGAAGGCGTATGGGACAAAGATGTAGATGATAAAGGCGAAGATGTGTAATGCTTATGATGCCCCACTGATACTTCCTCCAGTGCAAAAGCAACATGGCTCGCGTTGACAGAATCGTCCTGATGTCTATTCAATTGTCCGTCATAATCACCTTGTCTGTACACTGACGATAGCAGTTAGACGATGCCACGTTTTGCAGTTGCCATGCACTTGTGGATACACTACGATGATTGCCGCGTTCTGTGCGCGACATCATGGTGTGTGTTAATTCGGGCATCGGACAGGATAGAATTCAAGCACCACTTGAACCAACCATGTATCACTTGTTCATCACCCGCAGTGGAAACGACCTGTATAGCGCACACAGAAGCCGTAGCATGTTGGGAAAAGTGTTTTTTTTTTTAACCAGGCTGTACAACAAAATGAATTGTATCCCGCGTATGCCATGCCGTTATGCTCAGCACGAAGATGCGCGGCCGTGCATGCCGTGGCCGTACTTCGGTGGGCAGGTGAGGTTCTGTGAATTGAATCCAGGGGTGCGAACTTCGGTTCTCTCGGGTTTCAACTCTTGAGTCACTAACCAAGCACTTTATTGCACTGCTGGTGACCATTGCTGTCAAACACACAAACTCATTTGTGGGTTTTCTCCCATACATAAGGCACTGCAACTTTCCCCGTGTCATACGCAGGCCACAGCATCGATATGGTGACCCTACGTACGAGATGAATCATACATAGTCTGGCACCTGACGTCTTCCCATCCCCGTATCCGATCATACATCTCCCCTGTCCTCCTGTACAATAATTGCCTCTGGCCAGGGCATCATACATGTTCCGTAAACATTACACTTGTCCGCTGCCGCGTTGTTGGTAGCCCCGTCAAATATGCTCCCTTCAACATTCTTTCCTCAGGTTACCACTATGGGCTGGTGGTTGTCATACCAGCTACCTCAACGTAGTCTCGCCGGCTTTGAGCGCCATGACTGGCCCGGTCAAATAAAACCCTCTACTATAGTTTCTACCTGTGTACACAATGCGCTTGTCGTGTCATACGCACTTCTGCAACTTTTCCTCAATGGTCGTCGCATTATTTCTGGCCCATGAAACACGATCCCGCAAGTTTGCAACCTTGAGGGCACCCCTGGCTGTGTAATATCCCTCAACATTTGTGCGCAGGTTCCGGCTTCGTCAAATATATCGCGACAACATGATCTAGGGGGTCGTGCTGCGCCTGGGTGTGCTATACTTACTCCCGTGAAATTTCCTCCATCCGTCACCGCTCCGCTTCTAGCCCGTCAAACAAATCGCTGCAGCATTAACGTCTCTCGCCAGGGAGCTCCTGGCCGTGTCATACATGTCTCCTCAACATCGCCCTCGCCGGTCCTGCTCCTGTTCCGGCTTCATCAAATACATTGCCACAAACACGATCCTCCAGGGGGTTGCGCCGCACATGGGTGTGTTATACCTACTCCCGCAAGATTTCCTCCATCGCTCCTGCGCCGATTCCAGCCTCGTCAAACACATTGCGACAACGCGATCTTCGTCAGGAGGTCGCACTACCCATGTGTGTTATACATACTTCCACAATATCCTTCCTATCCATCGCCGCTCCGCTTCTTGCCCGTCAAACAAACCCTTGCAGCACAATTTGCATCTTTCGCCAGGGCGCTCCTGGCCGTGTCATTCCTGAACATCGCCCTCGTCGATTCCTACACCAGTTCTGGCCTCATAAAATACATTGCGACGAACACGATCCCTCAGGGGGTCGTGCTGCGTGTGGGTGTGTTATACCTACTCCCGCAAGATTTCCTCCAGCGCTCCTGCGCCGATTCCGGCCTCGTCAAACACATTGCGACAACGCGATCTTCGTCAGGAGGTCGCACTATTCATGGTGTGTTATACATACTCCCACAATATCCTTCCCATCCGTCACCGCTCCGCTTCTAGCCCGTCAAACAAACCCTTGCAGCACGACTTGCGTCTCTCGCCAGGGCGCTCCTGGCCGTGTCATACATGATCCTCAACATCGCCCTCGTCGATCCTTACACCAGTTCCGGCCTCATCAAATACATCGCGACGAACACGATCCTTCAGGGGGTCGCGCTGCACGTGGGTGTGTTATACCTATTCCCGCAAGATTTCCTCCATCGCTCCTGCGCCGATTCCAGCCTCGTCAAACACATTGCGACAACGCAACCATCGTCAGGAGGGGGCGCTATACTTGGGTATGTCATACATACTTCCACAAAATGATCCCTAATCCGTCACCGCTCTGCTTCCAGTCCGTCAAACAAACCCCTGCAGCCAATTTGCGTCTGTCGCCAGGGCACTCCTGACCGTGTCATACATGCTTCCTCAACATTACCCCTGTCGTTTCCTGCGCCAGTTGTGGCCTCGTCAAATACAATGCGACAACATCCGATCGTCAAGGGGTCGCAATACCGCACGGTCATATGTATTCCCGCAGATACTCACTATGTCTTCGCTCTTCTACCAGCCCGTCAGATACACTCCGGCATCACCATTTCCATGCTCGCCGGGTTGCTCCCAACCGTGTCATAACCGTGTCATACTTCATCAACAATCCCCTTATCGCTTGTGCTGCTTCCGTCGTTGTGAAATACATTGCTGCTATTCACGATGCCCGTGCTCGATTTGAACTCACTCCGCGAACTTCATTTCTACACAGATCATGTTTTCATTGGTATAGAGATACTGCGTACAATAGGAGAGGGTGCAATAACATGGGTGCAATCTTAAAGTACAAGAAGCAGCGCGCGGGGGCAAGGAAAATGTCAACGAACATAAAATACACCAGGTACGACTTGATGAGCGAGGCATTGTTCAAGACCGAGACCAAGACTGAGAAGGAGGTATGTATGACATGGCCGCTGTTTATGTGGAACGAGATTCGCGCCTCTTCCTATGTGTGTATGTCAATATCATGTCGATGAATGTACTAACCACGTACTTTGTAGGTTTCACGTTCTCGTTATTAGTAGGGGCCGCTCGCCTATACAAGAGGACAATCAGCATCTACGACTTGTGCGTAATTAACGCAACATACTTGCGAGGCCGTTTCGCGGGTTCAATCTCCCCGCGCCCTTGCGTTACCATGGTGAGCGTCCATGTGACATCATCAACCGCTTGGGTGACTCGGTTGCAGACCGTTGAGTCGCCTTGCGCCGAAGCACCAAGGAAAATCCAAACCAAAGTCAAAAGAACTGCAACCACCCCGTTCTTTCCAGTCTTGATCTCCGGAAAGTCCGAGGCGGCGTTGGCCGGAGCCTCGCGGGAGAGCGATGTGGCAACTCGCCGTCGCCACTCGGGTTGAAGCGCAGTCCACCACCCAAACCAGGCCTGTAGGTCGCCGGCGGGATCCGTACTGACGACTGTGTAGTCTGTCCGCTTCGTCGAGAGCCACTTGGTGGTCAATGACGGTCGCATCGCGGACGTCGTGCTTCCCTGGGTACAAGAACAATAAGCTGCGACTCCATACGATGTTATGTCCTTAAACGTTTACCTTCCGACTATCGAAGCGCCCCTTGGCTTCGAACAATATAAAAGCGCGAAGCATGGCGTGAAAGTCGGCCTGTGAGGTGGAATCTGTGACAAAGGCAATCGTGTCCACGAAATAGTCGGGCAGGTCCGATGACGCCCGGATGTGCTTCACGAGATCGGCGGTCGACAGCGAGAAGTCAACAACGAACCCATTTCCATTGATCTTGATTTTGGGTGTCCGTTTTGACGCGCGCACGGACGTGAGTACGGGGGCAGTGCTGGGACTCGGGGAGGTAGTTGCTGACGGTGGGGTGTTGGCCGCAGTGGAATCATTAGCCGCCGTGCCCTCGTCAGCACCCTGGTTACAATCGACATGAGGGGCGGACAACGTCGACTCTGCGGCATTTGGCGTGATGGTAGATGACTCTGAAGTGGTGGGAGCGACGGGTGAAGCAGACGGCAGCAGGGCAAGGGTATCAGGTACGGATGCATTCGGAGGATGGAGAGCTACTACAGGCCCGATCGGATGCTCAGGGACATCTGGCAATGCAAGAAGTGCGTCCATGTAACTGAAATCTTGGGGGAACATAGCAAGAGCATTGAACTGGTCCATATAACCTTGAGGGTAAGCGGAATTGAAAGCTGTTGGATCCATGATGTCAAAATTCGTGGTGTTCGGATACGGAAACTGTTCAGCGTTTTGGTAAGTCATATCAACATTCAGGGGTTGCAGAACCTGGCGAGCGGGGAGTCCAAGATGAGGAATAGTGCCCAAGGCAGCTTGAGCAGTGCCAGAGACAGGGGCGATGCCATCAATGGGAGGAAATATATAGTCGGAAGCCTGGGGCAGAGGTGGTCCGTTATCGATGAAAGGCACAATGGGAGCAGGCGCGAACTCGGCAGTAGCCGCGACGGGACCTGGTTCAACCTCAGCGGTAGGCACGGCGGGCGCTGCTAGGGACCCGGCGGTATTCGCGGCGGGAGCTGGTGGGGAACCCAGGGCAGTCGCGGCGGGAGCTGGTGGGGAACCCAGGGCAGTCGCGGCGGGAGCTGGTGGGGAACCCAGGGCAGTCGCGGCCGGAGCCGGTGGGGAACTCGGGGCAGTCGCGGCGGGAGCTAGTGGGGAACTCGGGGCAGTCGCGGCCGGAGCCAGTGGGGAACTCGGGGCAGTCGCGGCGGGAGCTAGTGGGGGCCCGGGGGCAGTCGCGGCAGGAGCCGGTGGGGAACCGAGGGCAGTCGCGGCGAGAACTGGTTCGATGGCAGTAGTCGTGGCGGGAGCTGGTGAGGACCGGGGAGTCGGGGCGGCATCTGACTGAGACCTGGCGGTAGTCCTGTCGGATGGTGGAGCAGACTCGGTGGTAACATCAACAGGGGCTGGTGAGGACTCGGTGGTAGCTGTGATGGCCGGAGCCGGCTCGCGCTCGTTGGTAACCACAGCAGGAGCTTTGGCGGTGGAGATGGCACAAGCGGGCGGAGAGGATCCTGGAGGGGTAGATACTGGAGATGTGTCGAGCGCTGGACTACCCGCCTTGCACGAGGATGAAGCTCCCGCATCGACAGGGGAGTTGCGCTCCTCCTTAGGCCGAATATCCAACTCCGCACATTGTGCGTTAGCTACGTCCGAAGTCAGACGCAGAATCCCATGAGTAGTGGTTGAGAACGTACTCCACGATCCGTCACAGAACGCGGCAAATGCGCCCTCAAATTGATCCTTGAACGCGGGGTTGGCTGCCGAAAATTCTTTACCCTGGCGGTTCTTACCCGAGCCATAGCTGTGAGAAGCGTCAAGATACCAGTTAGAAATGCGAACAAATGCAACGAGCGGACTTACTATAGCGTCCTGATCTTGCCACCTAGCGTGGGCAAGGGGCCACCTGCGATGATTGAGATGTGCCATCCGGTTTCGAGAGACCAGCTGTCGGCCATTTTCATCAACGTGAAAGGAAGATTATTGAGAGCCCTGGATTATCGATCGCATTAGCACGTGGAACACAGAAAATGGCAATCCCTACGAACTCCTGCTTGGCGAGAGCCTGCTGATATCTTGCTTCCTCAGCATTGTCGTCAAAACTGATAAGGGCTTGGTTTTTCAATAGATAGCCGCTGTTGTGATATTCGTTCACAGCACGCATGGTGTCGGCGTCGGTCGTCGGGATTCTCTCCTCGGCGAACTGGCGTTGGAATTTGAGCTATCCGATGTTAAGTCAGTTATTGATTCGACGGTAAGCATGATTACGTACCGAATTTTTCTTCGACCACCCAGATTTCTTCGCTGCTTCCCAAGCCGCGTCAAAAACGGCTCTCGTCTCCGGATGAGACAAGGCGACATGGATCCAGGCTTGGTAAAGCTGAGGTTTTTTTGGTTTTTGCTGAGGCTGGAGAATGCGAGATCGGACCGGACGCGCTAAACCGGCTATGGCGGGACCGGACGCGCGAACCCTGCAGTTGTTGCCAAACCAATTTCGGACTTGCTACATATGGTTGTTAGTTAGATTTCACGTCGTGAATGTTGTTTACTTACATCCATGCGGCTCGAATGGCGCTGGACGCAGTCTGGGTGCGCCATCGCCTCCCCGAGATTACCGCCACAGCTTGCAAGCTCCTGGGCCGTGGGCGGCTCAGGAAATGACGCGAACCAGAGGGGCGCCAAGGTAAGGAACCAATCGTCAAGGTTGCGTTGTGACGAGTTGTCACGGTAATCGTCCATGTGACTCTCCATCCACTCCTCCTCCGCGTCAGTGAAGACTCGCTTCTTCGTCATGTCGACAAGAGCACAATATGTCAAAACCCAAGCGTAGATATAACAAAGTGCCGGCGTGGTAGACTGGAGTCGCTGGCGAGGGGGATGGTTCGGTGAGTCGTGGCAATCTTATATGCATCAGCAAGTGTCGCTCCTCCCGGTTCTGGCTTTTCACTCATGCTCCGATTTATTTTTCTGTTTCGCCAGTAGGTTTACCTCAAATAGCGACTCACCGTTGCTTGTTCGATGATGCTTGCCAAAAACGTGCTTGCCGAGGGCTCCCTCAGCCCTCTCGCGGCACGTATTGCGCCGGCTCGACGGAGATCATACCTAAGACGATCCTCTTTGCGCCTGTTCTCATTTCGGCGGAGACACGGCTTTGGTCGTACAGGGCAGAAATATGGCAACGTGTATGACTTCGATATCGCAATGGGCTTTGCCCTAGCGGAGGCTAGTTCCACTCGGACGATTCGGACTCGTTAGTAGAGATATCCTTACCGAAAACTCGAACACGATCTGCACCGTCTCAAGGGCCCCATGGTAACTACTACTTCTTCAGATCGTCGGAAACTATACTCAGAGTCGAGCCTTACTGCACTTGCCTCTTCTTGCACCAGAGGCAAGGCTTGCGAGCTTGCAGTGATATGCGGCGGTGTATGACCTAAATGTCATAACAGGTTTTGCCGCTCGGAGAGTTTAGTTCAATATCGAGCAACTCCAACCGGTCTGTGAAGGTGTTTTCTTCTTCTACCAAAACCTCGATCTGATGCACCGTTTCAAGGTCGCCGCATGGTTAGCTCACCGAAGATCATACTCAAGCGCGCAACTGCCGCGCTTTCTTCTTCGTGCGCAGAAGACAGCGCTTGCTTCTTCGTGCGCAGAAGACAGCGCTCTGGAGCCTGCAGGTCTCCGACTTTGTGGAAACACGTTTGACTTCGAGGCTGTGACGGGCTTCACCGCATTGAATCACTATCAAACGACTCAGTTGCGAGCATGCAGAATCCCTGACTTGAGGCAATGTGTATGACCTGAACGTCATCACGGCTTTGTTGCCCAGAGAGGCTATCTCAACATCGAACAACTCAGGCTCGTCTGTAGATGTGTTTTTACCGAGAACTCGTTCTAACTTGCACCGTTTCGAGGTCACCGCATGGCACGCACTTCTCAAGCTTGGCGGAGATCGTACTAGGATACGACCTTCACTATGCCTGTTTCTTGTTGCGCCGGAGACGGGGCTTGAGACTGCAGAATCATCAACTTGTGGTAGCTTAGATGACCTGAATCCACTTGGGGTAACTTGTATGACCAGCCCACCGCAGCAAATGATGTTCGCTGATATCGACCTGCAGTGTTTCATACTCATGCTCCTCGGCTTCTGGCAGCACCCAAGTTTGCCGCTCCCTCGCTGCTATTCTCGTCGACACCCAAGGTTTCGCCTAGGAATAGGGTGGACACGAGTTCGTCGGAAACGTTGATCAACTTACCATGCCGCCCTTTTTGACATTTCTTTGCCAGACACAAGCCGCCTCGTGTGTGGCGTGCTCCCACGATCACTGTTTCCAGCATAAGCAACACCGAGTTTGGGGTCGGCGCCTGCGCAGCGGCTTTCTGCTGCTGCACAAGTCAATTAAAGTTGTGGTTCGCGGTCCTCTCGTCCATAGCGGTATAAGACCGGCCGCGTTCGCCCTGGTAGTCCAGTTCTGCGCCCTTGTCTCTGCTCCTTCCCTGCACCCGCTCCTCTGTTTCTATCGCTTTCACTCTTGTTCCGCTGCAGCCATGGTGAAGTCAAGCCGTGGCAAAGCCGTGCGTAGCGTTATCGTACTTCATACAGTGCTTAACCCCCTGTTTCCTGACAGCGTCGCACCGAAGTTGACGAGTTAATCGCCCATCTCGCCGACGTCATCAATCGCCTGTATCTTGGTAAGGTGCTGCATCTATCGCTCTGTTAGTTCTGAATCTTCGTGTACAGACTCGCAAGAGAGAGACGGGGACACAGACGAGGAAGAAGTTTCCTCACCGCCGCCTCCGTCTCCGCATCCACCTCCGCCTACCGTCTACTCGCCGCCTCTTGGGCCCACTCACGCCGCTGAGACGACGTCGTCTGCTATCAATGTGCTTCGCGACAGCCTTGCAGCCCTGTCCGGCGGCGGTGGCGGCTCGATTGCCGTTCAAACATCCGGACCGACGGTTATCCCGATCATGCCGAACGTACACACCGTGAAGGCCTCTGCATGCGCATCGACCGCCGCGTCTGCTTCCGGTAGTAATGCAGGTGGCAGTCAGTCTTCGTGCCCCTGTGACGAGGTCACTCTTGCCGAGACCGATATCCGCTGGTATACGGTGATACGAGGCCGTTCCGTTGGCGTTTTCTCCAGCTGGCAAGTATTTCTCACTTTATTGTAGTTGTAGTTACACCTTCGCTAAACTCGAGGACAGGGACATTGTCTCCACGCTCGTGAGCGGCGTGCCTGGCGCGATCTATCGCCGCCACACCTCTCGCCAAGCTGCCGAGGATGCCTACGCCATCGCTCTGCAGGCCGGCCGCGTCTCCATCATCGTGTGAACATGTTGCAGGCTGAGGATCTCTGCTCGGACCATATGTGTACATTATGACTCCCCTCCCCCGCGCGCATCGCCTTCTTGATCCGTGTGTATGTACGCTACCTGCTGGTGCCGTAAGCTTGGTCGCTGTGTGCATGTACGTTAGGTAGTCGTTGTTGTTGCCCCCATGTTCATCCCCCCCCTCTGACTCACTAGTCCCCAATTTCGAAGCCCCCGACACCTGCTTTCATAAAAATGTAGTTCGTAGATCAATACTCGTGCAATATACCCAATCTGAACTATCATCCACGCGAGATCAGTAGCTTGCGCGCCTTGCAGAGCCCCGTTGTTACACCGTGAAGAATGAGTAGGGCACGAATGTGATACATCGACATAATACAGACATGCCTGCTGGTGTATGTTACGCACAACGCACAGTGCTCTCGTCTGCGGGTTATATAACTACACGAAGACACTGCATCACAGTGTTGGTGACTGCACGCTCGTATTCATCGTTTAGAGTACAGTCTCGATGTTTTGAGGATGAACATGCTGCCAGCGACTTGGGAGTGACGCCGGGTGGGTGAAGACGGAGACTCGAGCATGATAAAGCTAACATCTTAATCGCATGCTTTATTGTAGTAACATAGAGAATGGGCACAGGACATAGGGATTGTGATATAAGCCAGAGTCGGTGATCTAGATGACATTCTCTTCGAAACACTGCACGTCACAGAGCTGTAATCAGCACACTCATTCATGTCTTGTGATAGGAGGAATGCGCGAGGAGTGGAAGTGTATTCATTGCCGGCATGAGACACATAGCCCTGATGATATATGTGCAATGCGTCTCGGGATGCTTGCAGCTACAGGCAATAGAACTTGACGAAGCTGAGAAGATCACTACATCACAGTGCTGATGACTAAAGCCCGTTATTTGTAGCTTAGGATGACTGCGCGAGGACCGAAAGTTGTATTTGTTGCCGGTACGAGATGAACAGCCATGATGATGTGCAGTCGCGTCTCGGAATGCTCGCGTCTCCAGGCGATAGAACTTGACGAAGCTACGAATATCACAGTGTTCATGACTAGAGTCCGTTATTCGCAGATTAGCATACGCATCCATGTTTGGTGACAGGAGAACTGTGGGAGGACTGGAAGTTGTATTCGTTGCTGGTATGAGACGAATAGCCATGATGATGTGCCGTTGCGTCTCGGAATGCTCGCGGCTACAGACGAGATATAGACCTTGACGAAGCTGAGAAGATTGCTACATCACAGCATTGATGGCTAGAGTCCGGTATTTGCAGCTTAGCTTAGGCGATCTAGTCTCGACGCCCCGACGATGGAAGAGCTGTTAGGAAGTTGCAAGTGATGCCGGATTGTTGAAGATAGAGACGGGAACTCCGGTAGATGAACAGATAGGGAAATGAATCGCTCTGCTCGGAGCGGTTTTGCTATCTTTCGAGTTATCTAAACGACATAGGCGTTGGGTACTTTGTTGCTTGGTTTATGGACGTGACTCTGACACGCTGTAGACCGAAACGCTGCCAATCGTGGAGAGTGTGACACAAGGTTGAATGTCTTGCCCACATTCCGATGTACGTGCACAACTGTCAGTACATATGTGGCACTCTACGACCTATCCAGAGTCGCAGAATGGTGAGGAAACGATGGCGTAACACTTTAGTCTGTCGAACACCGTTGCGATCGAGCTGACAGCTTGAGGGGACCTTGGACCGTTACGCGGATCTTATCAAACTTCCCTTCAATAAGCGGAATGTCACGATAAGGATTAGTTTGCTCACCGGAAGTCTGTGTCGATGCTACGCAGACATGGCTCCACGACGCCGTCAATTCTCAATGCAACTGGTGACGGAGAGCGCCGCTTGAGGCTAGATGGCTTGCTCACATTCTGATATACTCGCACAACTGTCAGTACACATGACGCTCTAATAGTTATTCAGTAGCTCATAGTGATGGGATTTGGTGACTCCGTACATCTGTTTCCCGGAAGCTGCCGCACACGAAGCGATGACCTGATCGAATAGTTTTTGCCGGACTTGTTGAACTGATACACGGTAAATGTTGGATTCCCATTGATAAGCAGAACACCACAATGGAGAGTAGTCTACACACCGGAAATATCAGCCCATGTTACATGGACATGTCTCAAAGCGACCGCAGATTGTCAATGTATCGATGTGACGGATGAGGGAGAGCTGCGCCGCTTTAGGGCAATTGCCTCACGTATGCAGTTGCATATTCCCACCACTGTTGATGCACGTGGCATTCTGGTTGCGCGTCGTCTAAGGACTTCACCAAACCCCCCGATTCTCTCGTACAAATACATGGCTCCGAAGAGAAAGAAATTACCCAGCTTCCTACCGACTCGCAGTGATTCTTCCAGTCGAGCGCGGCCTAACATTCCTAGATCTATCTTGCTCAGACCAGCTAAAGACGGCCGCGTTATTGCATCAACCTCTAGTACAAAGCGGGCACATACGCCTTCTCCCGACCCGGAGTCCCTAACCGGGACGGACCCTTGCGAGCATGGCAACAATGACGGCTGGGAGGATGTTGTTCCACCTGATCCTCTAGCTCAAGCGCGGAAACGGCCTCGTAAAGACGATGGACTGAAGACAGGAACAATCGGGGTACGTTCAGTTGCCCATTCTTATTTATATCCACTCTGATCCCCATTGAAGAGCCGTATGCGCTCATGGCATCCGCATTGCGCGAAATTTCTCGACAATCTCATCGCACGGGAAGCAATACCCACGGAGCAGCCCGTTCCCTGCGTTGAGTGCCACAGGACCACAAACCCGGGCGTATACCGATGCGAAGACTGCCACGGAGATCGCATGTTGTGTGCACAGTGCCTCGTTGAGTCGCATAAATGGCTACCTTACCATAATATCAGAGTGCGCATACGCTGTTCGCATCGATTTTCGGCGTGTATGTCTAACGACGATTGAAGGCGTGGAAGGATGACTGCTTCCAGTCGATAACGCTGCAAGAACTCGGCCTCAGAATTCAGTTAGGGCACCCCGACGGCTCTGAATGCTCGCAAGCCGTCCCGGCTCACCAGAATTTCCTGGTCTTCGATACCACCGGATATCACTACGTCAACCTATCATACTGTCAATGTAAATTCCCGAATGTACAATCTGCGCGCGACCAACTTCTCAACATCGGCCTTTACCCTGCCTCAAGCAAACAGCCGCGAACCGCGTTCACGTTTCGGTTTCTGGATAGCTTCCACCGGCTCACACTTCAGGGCAAGATAACCCTTCACGACTTCTTGTTGGCTATAATACACACGACTGACAGCGCTGGACTTCGAGACCGTGTGGTAGGTACTCACAGCAAATCCCGTTTCTGATTGATCATAATCTACCTCACAGTTCCGCTATCATGAAGCAACCTTGGCGACACGCCAATATTTTTATCTGCTTCGCCTCAAGCGAGCAGGACGTGCGCACGTCCCAAATGGGGTTTCGGAGGTCCCATCAGGAGCCCTGACTGTCCTCTGCCCGGCATGTCCGCAGCCGCTCTGGAATCTCCCGGATAACTGGGAGCAATACCCGCCAGAAGTCAAGTAAGCGTCTAATTCAGCGGTTTTAATGCCCCCTAAGCGAAACCTGATTGATTTGTAGATGGTTATACACGCAGTTCGTCGCGCTGGACGCATGTTTCAAGTTGAAGAACAAAAACCGCAACACCGACGATGCGGATATAGGAAGCGGCGAGGGTTACTTTGTGGAGGAGAAAAAATACCAAGAACATCTTGCAGCCTACGTCGAAGAACCCGAGGTAAGTTATCAACTGTATGAGATAGCCGCATCTGAAATTTGTTGCGATTAGCAACCGGATCCGTGCGACTCCAACTTCAGCGCAATCAAAAGTATCAACGCTACGAAATCGCGGACAGATGTCATGGCGGTGTCAGGCGCAGCTGCTGCAAAATGCAGTAGACATGCAATGATGCTACCCAGCGGCGTCGCTGACTTACAGCGTGGAGAGAAGTACGCCTTTCGCTGTCATGCATCATCAGGCACCTTTCTTACTCGAAATCACACAGATTCGTTACCATCGATTATGTTTTTTGGAACGCGCTGAAACGTACGGGTGTGTCGATCCCCGTCACTGTCAGTTACGACCTTGCATGCCAGTGGAAGAAAAATTTATGGCGAAGACACATGAAGTTACCGGCTCCCTTCGCATCCCTCGGCGGCATGAAAATCAGATATTTCATTCCCAACATGCACATCCGCGATCACAAGACCAAGTGCAGGACAGAACTGTACTTCCTTCTACACATGTTTTGTGCGCTCACGCATGGAGAGACGGTGGAGCAGGAATGGGCCCATATTGGGGGTTTAGCAACAAGTACTGTGGAAATGGGCCGAAGTGCGCGGCATCTCACCCTCGACGACCATTGGAGCCACTGGAACTTCCGGAAAATGGTCGGTTTCGGTGCGTTCTCCACTTACTTAGGCAATTCTTTGAGAATCAACAAAGTTCACAGGTGACGCGTTTCGTAAATCGCTCGTCAATACCATGGAGGAGGGGCTCAAGCATCGCGATGTCCTCGCTGACTTCACCCAGCGGTTCGAGCCGGAGACGATCAAAGGCTGGGAGGTGATGATTCATCGTTGGGAATCCGATCCATCCCAACCAAACCCATACGAAGAGATTGAAGAAGGTGGGAGTTGCAGCTTCACAAACATCGACTGGAACTCACACAATCCATTATATAGCCATCAGCGTCAACAAACTCCGTCAGGAACTTGCGAAGGAAGACGAGGTGAATACAAGTTCGAACAAGACAGCGCTCCATCAGACTTCTCCCAGCGCGTTTATCCAACAAGGTTTCGCCTTACTCACTCAGCGGTGAGTACTCTGTTTTGTCTCCTAATCGTCTACTTACACAGCTATGTCAGACGCAAACTCAAGTTCAACGGAGATGATACCAAAAGTAGCGCAAATGAAGGGGCGAAGGCAAATTTACAGGAGAAACGTGCCGCGTTCCGTCGCCGGGCCTTCGAATTCTACGAAGTTCAAAATGTTTATATGCCCGGTTCGATCACGCTACGGTCAGAGCAACTCAGTGGAGAGGACGGGTCTGGGATGACGAAGAAAGCTGAAGACCTCCCGATACTGTTGCCGTCGGATCTGGACGAGCCTCGCCGGGATTGCGGATGCCTTGGCGGAGTCACAGATACCGAGAGACGGTTTGCTGACGCAATGATGAAGGATAGCCTCATCAATGTTCGACGTTATCTTCGAACGTTGACGACGCTCAGGCAAAAGACGAAGCATACCGCTGGCAGTAAGTCCACATGCAGAGGTCGAACATTTATCTCACCAGAAGCACGTACAGGCCAACGCGAAGGGACTCGATCTCGTAGTCTCATTGATATCGTGTCACGTAGGCTCCAGCTGGCGGCGGACTCTTATCGCATGGCATACAAGTCTCTTTCACGACTTGATCCCACCGGTACCTGGGTCTCGCGATATAAAGAGCTTCGCAAGGACGATCTACGTGGTCCTTATCGTGATGACGCAATCCCCAACGAGAAATCAGAGCGGCACCGCACTCCATCTTGGATATGGACTCTTCCTTCCGGCGACCAATCCAGCGGTGCTACGTCTACCGAAGTGACGGACAAGAAGGGTGGTGAGCTCTACCTTCGGGGTGAATGGGCGCGGCAGCGTGCGAGGGTTCTGAGGCACGACGAGGAGCTAGTCCTGCTTCGGGAGGAAATGCGACGAGTACTGACTTTTCTGCGAAACAAGTCCCAATGGTGGCAGGAGCAGTGGTCGTGCAGGGTCAAGTCAAAAGACACACTCCTTGCGGCTGGCTCGCGGATCGCTCGGGGTCTTCGAGCATATGGATTACGGCAAGCACATATTCACCTTGACCTTGCGAAGGTGTTCGCTGGTCGGTGGATCCCACTTTTGAAGCACCACAACCTCGGTCAAGATTGGATCCTAGAATACGAAGACTTGGTGCCCTCGGATTCAGGTGAGCATTGAACATTAACACGATATATTGGCACGCTACTTGTGATAGTTCTAGAAGAACTGCTGGCAAAATGGTTGCGCGAACGCAGACAGCGCCAAGAGACTGCGGCTGCCAAGGCCGGTGAGCAGTAATTCCGTTTCTGGCATCTCATAGCTCACCACGTTCTCCACATTCTCAGCTAAAGCGCGTCCGGACAACACCGAAACATCATCTGATGATGACGACGTAGGGGCAGAAGCAGACGATTCAGAGGAGGACGAGACAACCGGCAAGCTATCGTGATTATCTTTACTTTGTATGTATCACTAGTCTGTACCCATACAACAACGGTCATGGCGCATCCGTGAACATCATACGCGGCCCACGTCTGCAGACATTGTACCCGCGGCCCAGGTTGCGGAACCCGTACTCGCGGGCCACAATGTGAACGTTGTATCTGCGGCACACGTCGCAAACACTGTGCCCTTGGTACACGTTGCACGTGTTGTGCTCGGAACACGACAGCAACCTTACCAGGTACATACATCGTTCCATCTAATGTTATGTGCCTATAGCACATTGTATACTTCATTCATGCAAGCATAGTATAAGTATACATATACGCAAGGCATACTCGTCTGCGTCTGATGTCATAGCATGTGTGATAGATGAGCGGCTAATCTGGACAATAGGGATGTGACGGGAGCAGAATGGAGCATGTCATCAACGTATAGCGTATTCAGCGCCGGCGCCTTTCGCAAACAATCAGTGGAGGGTGCATGAGGAGCAAGAATGGCTGCATACTGAATGTTAACGACGCATAGCACATCCAACGTCCGATGTGATGGGAAGCAGAATGGAGCATGGCGACGACGCATAGCCCGTTCAGCGCCGGCACCTTTTGCAAACGATCAGGGAAGGCTGCGTGAGGAGCAAGACTGGCTGCATACCGAATGTTAACGACACATAGCACATCCAGCGTCCGACCCTCTAACCGGTGGGAGGAGTCAGGATGTCTGCATACCGAATGTCGACGGCATATAGCGCATCCAGCACCGAAATCTATGGTACACAGTCAGTAGCGGCTGCGGGAGGAGCAAAATGGCTACATACCGAGGGGGTCAAGGGACGGCGGACTGTAGGTGACGCTTGAGGGGCCTGGCCGGTCGAAACGATGAGTTTGCGGTGTGTATACGATACTCAGGTTACTCACCGAGGAACGACATGGAAGGCGGAAGAGGTGGGAGCCAATGCTGTAGGATGAACAAGACAGGGAGGGAAGAGATGCACGGGGAGGAAGAGAGCAGATGTAGAGTACGTGGAAGTTGTACACTTATATAACCTGTCTTCAGGGCCGATGTTGTACCATGTATGACAGGTTGCAGTCCTGCGATTGTTTGACGGGCGCCGGAGTTGTCGATGGATGCCAACTAGTCTAAAGGGGCAGGACAAGAGCCATGAAGCGCCATGGTGTGCAGTATTTGACAACGTGCCCGATATCTTCACTTTGACATGATGCGTGTTCGGAGCAAGTGGATGCAAAAACTACACGGAGGATATCTATATGAAAGCGCCAGAAGATGCGTAGCGGGAAGAGAAGCGAGCGAGCGACAAGCTACTGTAAGGCTATGTATGACGCAATGGCGCGCAATGCGAGGTTGCGAAGATGAGAAGTTTGGATTATATGTATGACCCATGAGCGTGGCGTATGCGTACCAAACGAAGTGACATCGTGTTATGTTTGATCACCGTAATACTTGTCTTGTATGATGCGTGTCCGGCTGGAGCGAAGATCTGCGACAGTTGCGCGCCAATATAACACGAACCGGTATCGTCGGCGGTGAAGACTACAAGGTCCAGGATGTATGTATGATCTGCAGGCAAACGCAGGTGTGCGAACCAAACCTACGACGTGAGCCGGAACAGTTACACAGGTGTTGCCTGAGGCACGGTTGCGCAGCCGCATAACTAAGGCCCTAACTGCCGGCGAAGTCACTGATATTTAGTATCTGGGTATGATATGTGAACGAGGCGGGCGCACCGGAAGGCCTGCAATGAGCAAGTATGATGTGCGATGGTAGTCTGCCCGCCGTATGACACAAAACGGAGCGCAGCCGGTGAAATCACAAAAGTTCAGGATCTAAGTATAATATGTGAGTGGAGGCATACCACATAAACCTGGAAGGAGCAAGAAAGGAGTTGGAGATACCATGTATGCGCTCAAGCCGGGTTTTTATCCCAGAACGGCGCGTTCCCCCCCAGTGAGAGACTGCGGACGTCGACGAATAAGGTAGAGTATATGCGGTATGAGGAAGGATGAAGCAGCGCGGCGGGAGCAACACATGCAACCACAGAATTATGGTTGTATGTTTGACGTGCAACGATTGTGGCTGGTATGACACAAACCGGTAACGATCTGATCAGGAATGTTCAGGATCTAAGTATAACCCGTGAGCGGGGGCAGCGTACCAAATAAGCTAGGAACGAGCAAGAATGGAATTGGAGATGCCATGTATGCGGTCAAGCCGGGTTCTCCATCCCAGTGCGGCGTGTTTCCCCCCAGCGAGAGGCTGTGGACATCAACGAGGAAGGTAGAGTATATGCCGGATGATGAAGCAGCGCGGCGGGAGGAACGTATGCAACCACAGGATCATGGCTGTATGTATGACATGAAACGGTCGTAGCTGGTATGACACAGACCGGTAACCGTTGCCGATATGGTCAGGAATG